AAGGGTTTATTTTGACAAAACCAGCCATGGCAATTGTTGGAAAGACTAACAAAGGAGGGTTATGGTGAGTTTTATTTGGTTTCTGTCCAGTTTGAAGTGTGTTTTCTGATTATCTGTTAGGTAAAATTACTAGTTTTGTCAATGGAGTCTGGTCAGCTGTAGTACCCATTGTTTTGGTCTGAGATGCTGCTTCTCTAGTGCAACATCTAGTGGCAAGGGAATTTTGTATATATTAACAACACTCATGCTGTTTGTTTTCCAGAATATTGTGTAGCATCTGGATCAAAAAATATTTTGGACACTGCACAGTGATAAAAGATATCCCTGCTCAATTTGTAGGATGAATGTATGTTGGTGGATTTTTGCAAATACCATTAGGAGCAATAGGAGGAGCCAGAGGAACCTGATTGTTTCACAGATTATCTGTCTCATGTTCTACTGTCAGGATATAGTGAAAGTTTCAGCAAAATATGACAAAAAGTTATTTGTATAAAAATTACCTACTGCAGCTTTGAATAAAACCTTTGCAAAACATTTAGCAGTTTCCCTGAATCCTGGGTTCCCCTTTCACATGTGTTGTCCTAAAATGTGACTACATGTTGGAAATAAAAAGATTTCAAAATAAAATACTGTACTCTAAATTATCCATTTAGCGTACACAGGCTGAGTGGTTGCATGTTTGTGCTGCTGTAAACTGCACAGGGTGGCTAAGAAGCATGTTTACTGTGCGTGGTGTTTAGTCTGTGTGTGGCTTGCTGTGTTTGGACTGCCATGCACCCTGACCGATGTGTTGCTGTGTTGTCTTTGTTGTGGCTGAGTTGGCAGAGAAAAGCAGGATGACTAAGATGAAAAGCACTTGCGGATTCTCTGGAAAACACATCAGCGCAGAGGTGAAGTGGAGACACCTACCATTGCAACATGTCGTATTACTGACGGACTCATTTGTAACTTAAGTGGTTCAAAGTGTTTGGACTACAGTGCAGTTTAGCTGATCTTTGTGTTTGTATTCCTATAGTGGTTGTATGGGAACCTTTCATCTACCCATTCATCTATGGTTTGACTTGAGGAGAGAAAACTTACAAGGGCATGTACAAGGTAGTCCAGCTCTTTACTGTTACGCTTCAATAAAGTTGGAGTAAAAGACAGATTTAGAAAGAAAATGGTCAAAATCGAAGCCTAGGGCTATGCCATCCTGACCTTAGTTCCTGAGTTGGGTCAAGAATCCTTCAAAACTCCTAGATCCTATACTTTTTGGATTAAAGAGCAGCAGCCCACCACGGCAGGTGCTGTCGACCCAAGAGGAGAGGAAGAGAGTCAGATAGAAGGCATGCTGGCCCGGCTTCAATTTAAGGCTGCTCCTGGCTAATGTCCGGTCTGGACAAAATGAGACTCTGAGATGCTGACCAAACAATGGTAAATCAAATACTGTTGTTCCCACGTCTTTACAGAGACCTCCTCCACTAACATCCTTGAACGAGCACTCAGCACTGTGTTCCGAGCTGACAGAGACGGACGAGACGAGAGAAGGCGGACTCAAAGTGAATGGACACTGTTTCTTTTAAAAACTAACAGTTACGTGATACAGTCCTACCAATGCTGTCATACTATTCCACTGATCAACGGATGGCGGTAACAGGCCAAGATATGCTGCAATGCAGGGAAAAAGACTGCAAGCTAATAAACATGGATGTTTTGTTTGTAGTGTGATTTCTTCAAAAAACACTGTACACTGTAAAGCGATGAGTTATTTTGGCTCAAAACATTTTTTTAAACAGATTACATTGAAAATTCTAAGCAACACAAACTGTGTAAGTTATTTTGTAAGTTAAAAAAGATTATTGATTAAGCTTTTACTAGTCATTTAAAGTGACCCTAACTTAGTTTTGTAAGTTACAGAAACATTTATGATTAACTATTTTTACTAGGTATTTTGTTCTCACACTACAAATAAATATTACAAAACGAAGTCACTAAAAATTATTAATGCTTCAATAAGCTTCAATAAAGTTTTTTTACTTACAAAATTGATTTAGTTTTACTTACAATTTTTGATGTAATCAGTTTCAACAATTTTTTGAGGTAAATGAACTTATCTGTGTAGTCTAAAGAGGTTGTTCTTTATCTAAATGACCTCAGTTATTATTTATTCATTTATATTTACAGGTGCAGTTCACATAACTCTGTGCTCCATATGACAGGGACACAAATGAGAATGGGGAAATCACTATTTACTCTTAACATTACAGTTGTAAGCTTAGCAATGCTGGATATGAAATACTCAAAAAAATCAGCTTTGCAAATGTTTTATAAGGAAGGAAATGCACTCTGCACATTTGTTAGACCTCAAGGATACATGCAGTGAATTTTGGTGAGAAACACTGAATGTAAACACAGCTTTAGTTTGTTTACAAGAAAACTCCACAGGACACCTTTAAGACATAATACAAATAGTCAGCTTGGAACAATAATGTGTGTCTGATGTGTGCTAAAAGTACAATTTCCACATTTAAATCCTTAAAAAGTCATCTACTCCATCTACCTCAATGAAAAATTCCAGAATCTCTGAAAATGTTGTTTCTAAGTTGCATACTGGACCAGGATAGATTTCCAAACTATTTGTGATGTCACAAATCTTGCTGGTAGCCCCCCCCCCCTTCAAATCAGCTTTTCAATGAGCGCAGAGAAACTTGCACTTTCAGCAGATGAATGTGAAAATATTCTTCTAGTGTCAAACTCTGCACTGACAGCATTCTGCACAGTGAAGATCAAACATCACACTGTAACAAAAATAACACTTCAATTTTTGACTTACTGATCACTATGTATTCTATGCATACACCCTGGACCTCTTTTCTTTTCTGTTATCTCCCTCCTCCTATTTTTTCCTCCCCCTCTGCTGACTAACACAGCTTCCTGCAGGCGCTTGGCGCCCTCTGTTGGAATTTAAGTCCTAAACTGCACCATTAACCCTATCATTTCATTTATACATGTTAGATTTACACATGAATGGCCCCTTAAGAATCCAACTAGGGAAAACTTTTAGGCCTGACAGTCACGAAAAAACTATTAAGGTAAAGTATTAAGATGGAACCCTCCTCACAGACTCCAGATCTCCCAATGGATCCTTTCATTGGTAGACATCATCTCTCTGGAACTTTCTACAGCTCCAATCAATGATGTGAACGGAAAAACAACTGATACCCTGCAGGGCACTGGAGATAGTTAAAGTTAATTTAAGTTATATTTTATGATTGAGGGCTGTTTAGGTTGAGGGAAGGGAGGGGGGATTTTTAAAGACTGGAGGGACATGTTGATGAATGCTTGCAAATGGTAAATGGACTGTACTTATATAGCACCTTTCTAGTCTTTCGACCACTCAATACGCTGTACACTACATGCCACACTCACCCCATTCACACACATTCATACACTGATGACCAGCATCAGGAGCAATTTGGGGTTCAGTATATTGCTCAGGGATACTTGCAGCATGCAAGACATGCAGTGAAAGGAGCCAGGGATCGAACTACCAACCTTCCGATTAGTGGACGACCCAAACCCTAAATATCTAAACCCTAAATACATATATTTATGTTAAAATGACTTACATTTATTAGCCTGTTATTTAATGGTTGAACTTCTCTGTTAATCTAACCTCCAGTATTGAAAGATAAAAACTAAAAGAATCACAAAAAAGAATCCAACTCGGAAGATTTTAAATCTACAACAGGCATTGGAGCCATTAGTGAGGCAAGAATGGAAAAAGTATTATTCCACAACGAAAACACTGCCCTCTTCTGCCAAACCTTCAGCAGGACCCACTGTTTAACACGCATGTGAACTTTATTAGCTTGCACTTAGCCAACTAATTAACAAGAACAGCAAACCCTCACAAAGATTTCACCTTGGCTCCTGTACCGCGTGGTATAGAGGCCAAGTCAAACTTGTTTTGTATTCCCCAGAATCCCCAAGGCCAAGGTGGAGCTGTGCAAAATCTGAAGCTCAGATCGATGTGCTGAACAGCTAGCTCTCTGAGGAACCCATCAGCACAAGCGGAACTGCTGGCTACAACCTGGCACCGCTCTGCACTGCAGCTTTGATCATTGAGTGCTCCCTTTACTGAAACTGCACTACAGCACGCACACATGAATTAAACATAATGTCTAATCATTGACTGACTTAAACACCAACGAGATCAATTTGGTTCTTTTTTATTATTTATTCTCTGCAAGTAAAAATATATTTTCAAAGTGCATTTGTACAATGCTGAGTTGGCATATGGCAGGTGTCTTCTTTTTGTCGTTCGACATTCTGCACACCCGTTACTGCAAACAGAAATCCACCCGAGTGGTTTCCAGGACCTTGAACAGCTCAGTTTAGAATTACTGACATCAAAAACTCTAAATTAGTTAGAAAATCATCAGTTCTTGAAAATGCTCCACTGATGTAATGGACACAATGACATCATCTGCCATCAGCACAATCTGCCACAGTGCACTACATTATAACTGTCACAAGAGCAATTTCTTACAGAGAAACCGTAGATTTTAATTTTATTTGAATAATTGCTGAATAAAGTTTTGGGATCTCAGGATAAGCCCAACGGTTTGCATCATCATTAATGAACAGTAAATAGCAGACATAAGGCAGTGATTACCTAGCGTCTGAATCCTTAATGTTTTGATCTAATGTTTGCAGATGGTTTGGGTTACGCTGACATCTTGAAATAATTATTTTGTAATGGTTGACATTATTAAAATTTGTTTGTGATCCTGAGAAAATAAAACATAAAAATAATTACTGCCAGGTATGTAAGCAGAGAGCGGCCACAGTTTTGCAATTATTTTGCAGTCCTGTTATCTTGAGTTTATTAGTTAATTTTCTCAGGATAACAATGGTAATATAACTATAATAACCACTTCTTTATTTTTTTCCCTTTTAATTTTAAGTAACTGGATAAAAAGATCTTTCTCTTGAGGCAAATTAATACAAACAAAATATTGTTTTCAAATGATCCAAGATCTTATTCAGGGTTTCTGCAGGTTTCAACACGTTAAGGACTTAAAGCTGCAGTAGGTAACTTTTATAGTAATATTATTTGTCATATTTTCTAGACAGACAGCTGATACATGAGACAGATAATCTGTGGAAAAAATCTGGTTCCTCTGGCTCCTCCTAGTGCTCCTAATGCCATTTGTAAGAATCCACCATATCTGAATGTAAAACAACCAATCAGAGCCAAGGAGGATAGTTAATGGATAGTTGATGGAACTTCAAATGATGATCATATGTTTTTTTCACATATGATCTGTCTGAAAGTTTCACCAAATATGGCAAAAAGTTATTCTTATAAAAGTTACCTGCTGCAGCTTTAAAAAAAACACTTAATGTAATTAAGACCTTTTTTACATCCATACTGGCAAAAATAAAAAGTACTAAGGATATAAAGGAAAACATGTTGTTTTTGTTTTGTAGTTGTTACAGCATGATCAATAGAAATTATTCCAAAAAACACATTTAAAAGTGAGACTGAAAAATGCTACTTTATACAAGTAACACTAACTTCAGAATCATATTGAAGACATTTTAAGGCCTAAAAAAGTTAGATTTTACGGCTTTCATGGGAACTCTGCTCCCACGGAACTCGAACCCTGACATCAACTGCAAGATATTGAATCACACAAAAATGGCAGGTCCAAAACAAGTAACCATTAAGGTCAAACATAGTGGTCAAAACTTAATGCATTTTATACAGCAGAAATACACAATAACAGACATACATTTTTTTATTTGAAAAAAACATCTTCTGCTGTGCAAGCTTTCAGCTCGGCCCATAAATGCTCCTGTTCGGGAGTACACTTCATCGTCCTTTCAGTCTCAGATTGATAATGGCTTTATGTTTCCCTTGGCTTTATCATACAATAATGTGCTTCAGTGATTATTTGGCAACTGTCCATCAACTCTGAGCCCCTCAGAAGAAGAAAACTAATAAAAAAGTGGTCAAGAAAGAGAAAAGGCAACTGTAAATTGTCTGGTGTGGATACAGACTTTCTCAAACCACTGAGAACAATTTTGCACCAGGACAGGAGAAAAAAACTGTTAGGGGCTAGGAGAACATCTGTCCATAAGCATTAATAAGGACATACTGATACTAACTGTAACAGATAGAACACAGAGTGTGTTCACTAGTTTGTGAAATGTCATTCAAACATTTAGACAATATTGATATCTCATTCACATTTAGAACTTCTACAGTTCTCCATTACAAATCATAAGTTTGTTCCAACATCAGTCTATTTAATGAGCTACAATATTTCACTCAACTTTTTTTTTAACTATTGGGAACTTTATCACATTATGGGATATCCCATAAGTATGATAACACATAGCATAGTTATTAGGAAACAAGGTCAAAATGTTTGAGGAAGTTATAATGGCATAAAATGATTGTTCATCAGTAAAATATTAAACACCTAAGATATGAGATAATATACAGTGAGGTGCATATTGAGCTCTGAGGAAATTAAGACATTATAAGAAATGGACTAAATATAACTCAAGTTGGACATGAACAGGGATAGATGGCGGATTAACAGCTGAGCATTCAAGAATACATTCACTATTAACAAAAATATAAAATATATTGAAATACGCAATCTAGTATGCCCCTGTACCCATCTCCCATCTACTGCAGGACGTGTGTGCAAGAACAGTAAACACTGGAAAACAGCTGGCAGGTCCTCAAAATCAATGAAGGTTAATGGAAAGGAATCAAAGTGAAATCATTAGACTTTGAAATTAAGTCGTACAGAAACACAACATTTAGGAAACGGTTATTTGCTGTTAATCACGTCAGAGGAGGAGATCTGTATGAGCTTCACCTGCTATTGTTCAGATATCTCCAGTAAGAGACGGGCCCAGGATGTGGTTAGCCTAGCTCCGCACAAGACTAGGGAAAGTGCTAGCCTCCATCAAATATGAAGGGCTAGCAGTTGCTTCCAGTCTTTGTGCTAAGCTAGGCTATAACCAAAGTCCTGTTTTGAACAAACTAATTTTTCACACATTTTTTCAAAAATGATTTGTAAACTAGCTTGCTAGCTAGCAAACAAGACCCAACAAATAAGACCGCTTTAGAATTGTTCGTATTGGAGCGTATTATTGTCACTTTTGGCTAACCATTCCCCAGCTTTACTAAAATAAGACAAACTGAATAGCATTTTCTCATGTAATGCAACTGAGGGGTTTAATAGCAAACCAAACTATTTCCCCAAACACCTGACTGTGTGAACAACAGAATAAGTGTGTTGAACAAACAGCAGGTTAAAAGGTCTGCACATACCATCACTGTCAGTCATATTTCACAACAGTGCTCTCCTTATATATTCAAAGGTTTTCTCAAAAAAAGCTTCAGTGAAGAAGTGATGTATGATTATTCCCACCAGTTCCCAAATCCAGCTGCAGTATGTTTGAATCAGAGTGGGTATGCACAGCTGCTCTTCCAATCGGCAGGAATAAGACCGATGATGTGGTTCGGCCTGATCTGAAATTGTTGATAACGTTCCTGAAAGGAGTGTAATTAATGCCACCAGGGTGGATGTTAATTCTCAGTGTGAGTGGAATGAGGCAGCTTGTTTTAATATGCCCATCTGACCTTTAATGTCATCACCGAGCAAAGCAGTTGCCATCCAAACAAACAGACCGAGTGAACAAAGCCTCTGCTGCAGATGCCAACACACTGACAGACGATGAAAAAAATCAACTTGATGACTTGACCGAGATGAAACGGTGGTCTCAGTCTCTGGCCCGCTGACTAAACCAGACACCACACTGTATATACTCCGGCCCTGACCACAAGCAGCAGGCTTTAACACACCAGGCCACATCTGGGGAAAAACATCTCCAGCTGTATTCAATAGGCATGAGTACCTGTGTAAAACTCTTCTGTCTTTCTGGGAAAACTATTTTCCACATGGTTGTTTACTTTTGATTTACGTATGGAAGAGGCTGGTTCAAGTCCAGCTCTCTATGCTGTAAAGTCACTCAGGTCAGATCTCCTTCATGGCACTTTTGTGTACTTTTGGCCATCTTTGTTATCAGTTATAATTACACTTTCCTCACCAAGGCAATTGTCTTCAGGCAGGAAGGCTGTAAACACTTTATCTAAATTCAGATTATCTAAAAGCCTTTATTTGGAGGTCAAAGTGAGCACACCACAGGCAACTGTAATTACCTTGATGAGTGCAATGTTACCATTTCTGATAGAAATGATGGCCAAAACTACAAACGCAAGACTCAAGCTATGATTAACAAGAAATATTATTATGAAATATTAATTACCAAAGCTCAATGTTGATCATTTAAACTAAAGACTAAAGAATTAAATGAACTATGATAAATTGATGTCAGTGAGTCTGGGGTCTGGATCTGTTGTTGAATACTACAACAAAATGTCTTTAAACTAGGATCATCTGAACAATTTACCCTTCTTAAGTCCCACCCCTTTTTATTCTGTGCTCCAATAACAGCTGAGCAAGGCTTGGTCAACTTCCTCCTTTCCTGCACTTATATATGATATGCTATGTGCTAGGCTAAACTATGTTGAAAAGACAACCACATTTTGAAGATGGTTAAAAAGATAAGTCACATCTTATGTCATGCTAGCAAAACACCAGATTACAAGCTAGCTGATCTACATAATCGTTAACTAGTAAACTACATCTGATAACTAATGTTAGCTTGCTAACAATTGTAGCTTAACTACCTAGTTGGCTAGCATTTTGCTAACATGAGCTAACTTAAGATGTGACTATATACACACAATGTATGTAATGAGGCTGTCTTTTCGAGACAGGAAGGCTGTGTCCCAGGCTTGTCTAGGAGAAGGAGAAAGTGGACTCAGGTTCCAAAATGGGTGGGGCACAGAAGGTGTCAGCTGACAACAACTGAATCAGTCAATCATTGTGATTGACGAAGACATTTTTAATCAATTTGTTGGTTTTCATTTTTTTGTTTTAATCAGTAATTGTTATGGTCATTTTATATGGAATCAGTAATGAAAATGAGTCACATCTCTCATAATATTATAATACTAATAATATACTTTGGTCAGGGCTGTGACTTTGTTTGAATGTGGGAAAAAGTGCATTAAGCTATATGGCTGGTGTAGAAATTCCCTCAAACGAATGACATGTTTGACCCCAGTCCTTAAGGAGCAATATATTCATCTGTAAAGGGACAATAACTCAAACAATCTGACAGATGTTTACATTACATTACAAAAAAAAAAAAAAAAAAAAAGAACACACACTTGTCAGTCGTAAGAAACAAAATGGCTCTCCTGGAAATAAACCTCAATTCACTTGATCATTTGTTGAGCTTTCTGTCACCTTGGAAGCATCCTGATTGGTCCAGCCACCCCGGAACCAACTACAGCTGGACTGACCAGCAATGTGGAGGAGATTCTGCTGGCTAATAGTGAAGCCCGTTAGAGGGTTGCACGTGTACTCATAGAACTGGAGTTACATCCAGGTAACCTCCATTTATGTTGCTCAGCATTTGGCAAAAATGTGACCAGCCGCACTCTTCACATTCAAACCATCAAAGAAAGGAGGATAGAACAAAGCATTAAGTGGAACAGCGTTAAGAGTCACTTCAGTGAGCTGTTGGTCAGTATTTAGTACATTCCTACTTCTCCCCTGTCCGACAGCGGCACTGGATCATCTTGTGAATTCACAGCACCACCGTGATACCATCCAGTCAGTCAATCTCCCACGCAACACTCCCTGACTCCAAGTGTAAAAACAATCTCCACGAGTTGTGCTTGACCCCCTTCCTCCCTCACACCCCAGAGTCTGTGTACATGCCGTTGATCAGGTAGTCCACCTGGGTATAGTCCTTCCTCCTGTAGCTCTCGTAGGCCTGTGTGACAAACACAGCCACTGTGACCAAGAAGAAGAGCAGGCCGAAGAGCAGGACAGCCAGTAAAGAGGCCGTATCTACCAGCTGCTTGGTCAGAGCAGCCCCCGCTACGTCTACCATGTCATCCCTCGTTCCAGAGGAAAGCGGCTTATTGGGGCCAGCGCTAGTTGTGGTACCAAGCCCTACCACCGGAACTAGTGGGATCCCAGTAGTTGGGGCATTTGGCTGTGGCATGGCAGCTGATGATGATGGTGGCGGTGACATCTTTATACCTGTGGTTGTAGCGCTGGTAACAGTTATGTTAGCTTTTGGAAGTGTGGCTGTTTTTACAGTTGTTGGAGCATGTGGTTCTGCTGCTGTTGTTGCTGTAGATATGGATGGAGTTTTGGTTGTTGTTGTAGAAGATGTTATTGTTGTTGCAGATGTTGTTGTAGATGTTGTTGTTGTTGCTGCTGCTGTATTAAGTGTTGTTGTTGCTGTTGTTGTTGTTGTTGTTGTTGTTGATGATGTAGTAGTTGTTGCTGCTGTAGAAGACTGTGTTGTTGCTGTAGTCACCAGTACAGGGGTTTTGGGTACGTCCCTAACAGGCTCTGCAGGTGTGGATGTAATAGTAGCAGTTCCTGTAATGGATCCAGTATGAGCAGAATGTGGGGGTGAGCCTGTGGTGGTAGGAGGAGGCTGAGGGACCATCTCTGGGGATGGAGGCTGGAATTGTGATACTGGCTGCTGATTGGATGGTGAAGCTGGTGATGAATGGTTTCTTCCTGGAGACTGGTTGGGTGGGATTAAGGATGGTACAGTGTCATTTAATCTGACTGAGGTAGAGTTCAAATTCTTCTCTAGTAGTAATGTTGGCACTTCAGTGGAACTGGTCTCTGAGGAACAATTAACTGATGCATTCTGACCACCTGGGGGGGCGAAACAAAATGCCATTATGACTAAACTTAGTTCATTTACATATTACAACAGAAAAAAAATATCAAAAACACATACTGAGAGCAGAGAATCCCTTAAAATGAATAAACAGCAGAGGAACAACACAATAAGAGCATACATGACATGAAACAAAGTGGCACGCTCTATGGCTGCAAATGAAGCCAATACAGAAGAAACAAAAACCGCAGTTCCTCTAACGGCTGCTCTAACCAGGCTTCATTCAGCCCGCCTCAGCTCCACCTCTTTGCCTGTTTTTGGATTAGCTGGGAGTCAGTGGGTGAAGTCAGGACTCTTGTGGGATGACTGCTTAAAAATGCCCTGTCTTCTTATTTCAGGAAGGATTGTACATGTTCTTAATGAGAGTTGCTCATGTCCGTAACAACACCTTCACAAACGTCATAATCTTATAATCATGTTTTTTAACCATTTACCAAATGCTTTGACTGACATTAACATTAAAACTACCACTCTAGGCCATGGATGAATAATCCACTTTTATGCTCTGTATGACCTGATTTAGTCTTGAGACCTACTTTTTGTTTGTTTTTTTGTCTTTGTATGTTTAGCTTGTTTTGTAATATTTGGCTTAACTGTATGCTGTTATCTTTATCATCGTCTTCTTGTTTGTTTAGTTGTGTACTTTGTTTCGCTGAGGACCCCCTTGAAAATGAGATGGTTCATCTCAAGGGGTTATTTCTAATAATAAAGAATGTCCGTTATGTCAAAGGGACTACATCCACTTTTACAGTCTATGATCAAAACTAGTAGAGCATTTAAAATCCTGATGCAGGAATAGTAAGCAGAGAGTCAGTGTAGTGTTTTTTGTGCATGTTTGGTGAAGGTCTGTTCATTAATCCTGTATTAGAGATTATGGAAAGACTTGACTTGACTAGATGGTGCTTTTACATGTCTGGCTACAGCCGTTCCCAGGTTGACAGAGTGGGCAGTGAGAGGGGCTGCAGTGAAACAGTTAATTAAAATCTCTGTGTATCCAACACATGCTGCTTTGGCTCATGTGGTTTTTCCAATTTAGTCCTCTTGGTCTGTTGTTTGTCATGAGTTTACTTTACATTTTCTTGATTTGATCTGGGTAGTGGACACAAAACAGGCCTGTTTATGTTACCTTTCAACCACAACACACAGATACACAAAGATGGTGTGACCAGAAGACTGTACCATGAAGTGAGTTCAACAAGAGACAGTGGTCCTTGGGCCACCTGGCTACACTGAACCTTGGTGATCATGAAAAACTGCCATCACGAAGCTGGCTGTTAACTCTTGGTTTCTAGTTACAAACATGTTCATGTGAAAGAGTTGTTAATTAGGAGCAACATCAATAGGACCATGACATGACACCGCTACCGCTGCCACACGGGCGGCTGTGGCTCAGAGGTGGAGCAGGTCGTCCACTAATCAGAAGGTTGGTGGGTCGATCCCAGGCTTCTCTCGTTGCATGTCCAAGTGTCCTTGAGCAAGACACTGAACCCTGAATTGCTCCAGATGCTGTGCATCAGTGTATGAGTGTGTATGAATGATTAGTTTCCATTCTGGTGAACAGTTGGCACCTTGCATGGCAGCCACTGCAATCAGTGTATGAATATGTGTGAATGGGGTGAGTGTAACATGTAGTGTACAGCGTATTGAGTGGTCGAAAGACTAGAAAGGCGTCTATTTACCATTCCATTTACAATATAATTACATAACTAAAGTGGATTAAGAAGCTGTAGAAAGACTAAAAATATTATTACTATTATTAAAATTAAAAGGCTATAAATAAATGCAGAAATCATTGTCTATGTCTTGTATACTATTATTAACATGTGACGGAAATAATACATTTAAAAGAAATGCAAGACCATTTCTGCTGGCAAAGCAGAGAGGAGAGACGTTAATTCATGAGGAGGTCTATCCGAATGAACTGTTCCATTTACAATACTGGGAGCTAATTATCAGAGTGGATGTTCTTTCACAACATAAACAGAGGGAATAGTTTTTAATTGTAATTCTCATCATAAAGTCTCTTCATGTTATTCTGAGCTGCAGTGATGGAATAGGAGTGTATTTGTTTTGACACTGTCAGGAATCAAAGAATCTTTGTGTTACTAAAATTATATTATATTATGTTTCAGCCATCAGCAGCACGGCTCTCTAAGTACGGCATTAGCCATTGAACCATAAAAACCTCACTTGGCTTCAACTGTGTAGTTTTTATGTTGCAAAATGCGAAAATTACTTTTTGTTAATGTCTGTTAAGAACATGGTGGTTTATGTTGCCAATTGTCATTTTTGTGCTGGTTTATTTAACCATCAGTCAGCTTCAGTCCTTGCAAATATATTATTGCTATGCTGTGATGCAACTCTCCCACAACCCCTTGCAATCGGATGGCTTATCTGAAATCTCAAGTACTGGACGATATGACTCTAGTCGGTATCAGAAGAGCCAAACGCAAACTTACAGAAGTATTTACACCTGTATTTATTTACATTTCCGACTTTAGCTGGACATTTAGCCACAGCTCCTTTATGAATCCTGGCTCATACTCACATGCAGTGGAGGAGTTAGCTCGTGTTGTGTTGAGCTGGGTTAGTGGGTTGGCTGGAACCGGGCCCTGTTTGTTCACTGTGGAGGAAGAGTCAGCGAGGAGGAGCAGCAGGCAGAGGAGGTGAAGGCACGCCGGTGGACTCAGCTGGAGCCTCAAGGGATACAGGGACATGGTGGGGTGGGGGTGGGGGGCTGACAGACACAGACACAGACACAGACACAGACACACACACACACACACAGACACAGACACACACAGACACAGACACAGACACACACACACACACAGACACACACAGGTACAGTCAGGTCCACACACAAGGAGTTTGAGGCTCAGTGGAAATGGAGGATGGAGAGACCAGGAGGAAGTAGAGGCTGCATCCACTTTCTGAACCTACACAAGACATCAACATTAACACAAGCGCGTGTCAACAGCAGCTAGTAGTGATACTGTTTATCTTCCACACAGAGATTGTTTTAATATATTTCAGTGTGCTATGAAAATCAACTTGTAGAAACACTAAACTGTGATAGATAACTCATCAAATCAACCTCAGTCCTCTTTACTGTTGATTATGTTCTGGTATCATGTATTAATACACTTGAAGCGAGGACTGTTTTGAACTCTTCCGAGATAGACTTGATTGATTTCACACCAGTAGATACATTCAAGGGTGCTTTGACATTTGAGACTTAAGACAGCTGTTGAACAGCAACCTTTCAAACTGTGGTGCTCTGTCTGTGGCATTCAGGTTCCTAGTGAAAACATTAATCTTACAAAACTCTCACATTATCCCTGCATTATAACACTCGTAGTTTAGATCTCCATTTTACAATTCTTTTTACAGGGGGCAGAAAGCGCCAAGTCCACCACAGGCCACATGATTACATTAGTTTTTCAATACAGGATTTAATTTGTATTTGTACATTTACAATGACAATGCCCCCCTGATATGATCTGGTCCATCAGCAATGACTGCGTAACTACTATGTGACAAGCGGAGTTCCTCAGCACCATCATAGCGTTAGCTAAGTTACACTGCTTACTAGGGCTCCTGCATTCACTCTTAAAGAACCAGTGTGTAGGATTTAGTGGCATCTGGCAGTGAAGTTGCAGATTGCAACTAACTGAATACTGCTTGCCTTCCAAGCATTTAGGAGGGACTACAAAAGGCAAGTGTTAGTCAGTGACACATGGTGGTTCAACATGGCGGTGGAAGATGACGCGCACCCTCTGTAGATAAAAACAGCTCATTATAAAAAGGTAACAAAACCCACCTTTTCAGGAGATTATACTTACTTATTATGCTGATTATAATCACCAGTAAATGTTTTATTAACAGAAGTTTTAACTGTTTCTTGAGTAAGGGAAAGGTGGCTTTAGGCATGCCTGGCATAAAATAGCAGTTGGCTTTTCATACGGCTGTGAAACCTGCGCTGAGCCAGAGCTGATCTCCTGCTAGTTCTCCATCCAACTAATAAGCAGCCTCACTGTGTCGACATTCCTTAGCTGGATCATTAAAAGCTACAATACCTGCCTCAAATATCCAGGTTTTGTTGTGTAGGTGTATTTTCTCTCCCCACACAATAGCAATAGGTGCTAATGGTGGTGACAAACGTATTGATTTCTTGTTTCTGCTTAACAACAAACACCTGGTGTTCAGTCAGTAGAATGCTTTTATGTGAAGGAGCAGCAACAGGAAGTGTTCAGTTTGAATTAGCATTTAATGGCGCTGCATTAAGGGCTCCTCTTTGTAGAACAGTGACCACTGTTACACAGATGTGGTCAGACTTTGTTTTACTATAGACTATATGCTTTCCAATGTATCTATATTAATAGGTATAGAAATATGTTCATTCAGGAGGATCTATTTAACTTTTGAAATGAAATATATTATTCATAGATATGTTTTCATTAGTGTATAATCACTGGTTATGTTTTTGTTACCTTAATATAATGAAACGTTTTAGCTACAGACACAGCGGGTCACCTACCGTGGAGGACACCATGTTTCTACAGTAGCCCAGAATGGACAAACCAAACACTGGCTCTAGATAGGGTAGTTTGGGTATTTTGAACGCACATTTCACAGCCACGGTAGTTTCTCCTTCTCACTTGGAAGGGGAGGGTGAAGCAAGGGAATTACAATCTGCTACACCACCAGATGCCACTAAATCCTAAAAAATGGTCCTTTAAATACAGGAAGTTTAGTGGTGGCAATGCTGAAGTCATGTAACTGTAGTGTCGTTCAATTTCTACTTCTGGGAATCACATTTCATCAAAAAATCCTAATAGTGGTGTTTGTTAGTGAAGATTATCTTGCTGAACGCGTAAGCATCATAAACCTTTGCTCACCACAGAGCTTATTTTCTGCAACAATCCAAAACCAAATGGAACAACCCCATTGGCTTTTTGTCGACACATCCAGGGCGATGCTAACTTCTGGGTTGGACTACAAAACCAGTAGTTGTTATGCTAGTATGAGTAGCGTAAATTAGGGCTGCACAATTGATCGCAAAATCATTGAATCGCAATATGGCCTAGTGCAATATCCAAATCACAAGAAGCTGCAATTTCATGATAAAGGTAAAATGTGTGTTATAAGAGAAATTTATGTTCGACACAGCAGCACATGGGAAATGTAGTTCGAATAGTCAAGTACAGCATTATATGAAGTTTGTTTGTTTTTGATGATTTTTTTAACCATATGGTGCAGCCCGAGTAGCAACTGGTTTAGCCAGAAGACCACTCAATAAATATCTGATCCAAAAAACAGAGAGAGAGAGAGAGAGAAGAGGGAACTGATGGAGAGGGATGACACAGTATGACCTGTGGTGTTGCTTTTGGCTCATATCAGTTTCAGGACAGTAAACTGCCATTTCACAATAATAACACGTTTTTAACTATTATCTTAAGATAAGGTGTTCCATTATTGATCCCACATAGGGGGAATTCAAATCTTCCATTATCTTCTACCTGCAGAAACAGTATGGATTTTTGTTTGAGAACCCCCACCCTCACTACTCTCGTATGCCACCCTGACTAAACTTATTTCCTCACCAATCCAAGTCAGCTTTTGATCTTATGGCCCATTCTGTAATATGACAGCCCCTGTCGTTAAAGTCACTGGGGTCTCCAAACTGCACATGGCATTAAAGGACTGGTTCCATTTAGCTTCAGCGCAGAGCTTTGTATGGCGACCTGCCCTGAATGTAAACAGAACTTAGTCAAAGGTCGCCACTGCTGCATACGTGGAGAGAAGTTGCTTTGTCTCTAGTCAGCACCAACTGAAATGACAACGCCTCAGGACCAGAGTCCATTCAAAAACCTGCCCGTTTAACGTTTCCTCCGCCACTTCACAAAACTTACAGGAATTCATTTACGCATAACGTTATTTCAACAAAAACAACTTTATAATATATTACATACTTTCAGTACACTGTAACCCGAAGCATTTACATAATGTATCTAGGTAAATAACGTTAGTTAGCTGACGTTAATGTGTTGTCGGGTGTGGGGCGAGTTAACGTTACACTGAGCACCCAGCTCTCATTGAGGCACCGAGTGCCTGTCTGCTGGGTCAGTGAGCTAAGGAACAACAAAAAGACCCATTTCACAGCAGCCATTTTGATATTAAATAGTAGAGTAAACACAGGTGTTACCAGTGATACTAATTAAGGCTTGTTCCATTCAGGTCAAACAGAGTCAGTGTGCTGCTGTTGTACACGTTGGCTCACTGGAAAGGCTCTGCTACACTAAACGGAACGGAACCTTAATTAGGCTCATTGGTAACACATGTGTTTACCCTGCTATTTCCCGTCAACATGGCTGATTTTTTTATCAGAAAGGGCTGAATTATAGTGACTAACACTGGGCCAGTCAAGTAAAAGCTTGTAATAATAGAAGTCGCCAGCGCTAACTTCAGTTCAGCCTACATTCGACTATTGCTAACACTGCAACACGAACAAACGTGTTAAAGCCGCTATGATAACGCACTGACCGCTGTGTTACTGGCGAGGGAACAGTGTTTATAATGTCAATATAAAATGAGGTTGGGGTTTAAAATGAGTTACGTTCAATGATGAAAAGATACCAGAGAAGGCAGTTAACATCCAAACTGTAACGTTAGCCTAGCTAAGGCTAACACGCCGTGGGTGGGTTATCTGGATAATGTAATGTAACGTTAACCTCGAACATGCTAACTACAAGTGTCATTTTGGGAGACTTACCAGCGGTGTTTTGCGGTTCAGGTATTGGACACAACGAGCGCACACAGCAACTATCCAGGCTGAACTCAACACTTCCTGTAGGCAGGAGGTAAGCTTCTTCTTCTTCAGCTTTAATTCCGGCAGCTTCTTCTTTTCTAATACTGCCATCCACTATACAAAGAAGAAGAAGGAGTAGACAAACATTAAAATAATAATACAAATATTGTTCCATTCTCTACACCTGATCTTCATCTATTCTGTGTTGAACTACAATTTCTCTAAAATATTAACAAACAAGAAGGCTCAAACAGGCACTGTGCACCAGGAGATACACACTCTTTAACATCCTGTGGGGGAGTGCTGGGAGGTTTTCACTAATCAACTTAGCATTTATCAAAAGTCTTGTCTGGTATTAGCATCTAGATCACATGATTTGGTTCAGGCTATCTTTCATCGTTTTGTCAGCCTGATCAGAAAATATCATGGCCGCCAGTGGTGGAGAACCTGCTTCCTTGGGGGTAAGTAATGTATACAGTATAACATATAAATTAACAGTATAAATTCCTAAAATGAATTAGGACATTTGTCTAAACATTTTGATGAAGAAAAAATGTTCCAACTATGTTTGTGGTGTTACTTAGCAGCTTTTGAAATGTATGTATCCCCGGAGATACGTTGCCAGATTAGGGGTACAAATTTGGTTAATGTGCATTATTTAAAATTTAGTTTCAAACTGGAAGGCATGTTAATAATTACTGCAGTACCAGATATTATCATGCACAGCTGTGCCCATTACAACAGTATAACTGTATTTTACTTTTTAAAAAATCTATTTATTTTCAAGCAGGGCATCTCAGCTAGGTCCTTTTATGGGATGAAAATCAGGAAGTAATTTTCAGCCAGCATGAGATAGAGGCAGTGAGTGAAGGCAGTTCTGATGGGGAGGATGAAGAGATGGATCGCAGTTTACCAAATTTGTGTTCGGTTGATTATTTCTCTGTGGTGACAATGCTGTTCAATAAATCTTATACCGTTCAAAAGCCTGTTTAGTTCCCTTTCAAATGGTGCATCATTTGTAAGGAACATGCACTTGTGGGATGAGCAGCAAAACTGAGTATGTGGGTTTGGTGTTTGGTGGATTGGATGATTGAAGGTTGAAGAAACAAGACATATTGGCAATTTAACAATGTATTCATTTCACAAACAGGAGCCTCAGTAGCGTGTGGAAGAACCATACACAGCCACAACGGCCTGGCACCTCCTCCTCATGCTGGTCACCAGCCTGGTCACACACTGCTGTGGGATGGCATCCCATTCTTCAACCAGTATCTGTCGCAAGTCAGCCAACGTGGTTGTGTTGGTCACTCTGGCACGAACAGCACGCCCAAGCTGATCCCACAAGTGTTCAATGGGGTTGAGGTCAGGACTGCTGGCAGGCCATTCCATCCTCTCCACTCCCACATTCTGGAGGTAGTCTCTGATAAACCCCGCCCTGTGGGGGCGAGCGTTGTCATCTTGGAGGATAGCGTTCAGTCCCAGACTGTGGAGATATGGGATTGCCACTGGTTGCAGAATCTCATCTCTATAGCCCTCTGCATTGAGACCCTAACCCATCACACGGCCTCCACCAAAAGATGTTATTCTATCGGTGCAGCAATCAGCATAGCGTTCTCCGCGTCTTCTCCACACTTTGACCCATGATCCAACTGCCGTAGGCAGAATCTGGACTCATCACTGAACATAACGTTCCTCCACATGTTCAGGTTCCAGTGCACGTGTTGCTGACATCAGCGCAAACGGGCCTGACGATGAAGGGCAGTCATGGCAGGACTCCTGGCAGCCCTATGAGACCGGAGTTTGGCTGCGTGTAGTCTGTTCCAGATTGTCTGGGCAGAGAACCGTCGGCCATATTGTCCTGCAAACCTTGACTGCAAATCTGTAGAAAACAGCCTACGGCACCTAAGTGCTGACAGGGTGAGGAAATGGTCTTCTTGGGGTGTCATCTTCTTGGGACACCCACTTCACGGCCTGTCTTTGACATCCAGCGTTATATGGAACTGGGCCCTCAGTTTGGAGATGGCTCTAGGGCTCACTCCAAATAATACCGCAACTTGGTTTTGCGGAACACCAGCTTGAAGTTGCCCTATCGCAAGGGCCCTATCCAGATCAGTCAAACGTGGCATGCCGATTCTTGGAGCAGACACTTACTGACTGTAGCTGTACTTACAGTAGTAGGGCCCTTGCTCGCAGGCACCTGATTGGGAGCACCTGGGGGTACCAGAAGCTCAAAACAAGTGTCAATAGCAACAGCAAAATAAGCTGTTTGGCACTGGCAGAAAAGATTTGGCAAATTTTTCATGGGCACAACCCACATACTCAGCGCTGCTGCTCATGCCACAAATGCATGTTCCTTACAAATGGGGCACCATTTGAAAGGGAACTAGACAGGCTTTCCAACGGTATAAGATTTATTGCCAAAAAGCATTGTTACCACAGAGAAATAATAATAATAAAGTTTATATGTGCAATCTGTATGTATGTATGTGTGTATGTGTGTGTGTATGTATGTATGTATGGTGAAAAAACACAAACCTTCTGAATGGTTGTGATATTTACTGAAAGTAGCATGCCACTAACCAGCTAAATTCAGTCCATACTTACTAATAATACCACTTTGTACAAATAATAATAATTTATATATATATATATATATATATATATATATTTGTGTTTCTGCGCAGGTTCTCATGGATCCTGGTGGAGCCTCCTGCCATGGTCCTGCTTGACTGCCATTGCCAATACTGTTGTTGCTGTGCACCTGTCTGTCTGTCCCCCTCCCCCTCTCTCTCTCTCACCCCAACTGGTCGGACAGACGACCACCCACCTAGAGCCGGAGGATCTGTCCTAGGTTTCTGCTTTAACAGGCAGTTTTTCCTTGCCCTTGTCGCCGTGCTTGCTCTGGTGGTACTGTTGGGTCTCTGTAATTAATGTTAAGAGTTCGGTCTGACCTGCTCTATTTGAAAAGTGTCCTGAGATAACTTCTGTTATGAATTGGCGCTATACAAATATAAATTGAATTGAATTGAATTGAATATATCAACAGCAGCTGCCAGTTAATTCAGCGCACCTGATGAGCTGTCTTCTCCACCTAGCTACTTTCCCAATTTTTTGATGAAAATGAAATTGCTGTGTTTTGTTTTTATGTAATCTTCAGTGCACAAAAAGTTGAATATGTTCATCATGAAATGTTCCGTTTTTATGTCACTTTTTTATGAGATTGCTTTGTTATGAGATTACTAAAATGGATTGGTAAAAATGAATAAAATCAACTTTAAAAGTGCTGTGTGTAATGTAAATGACCAAGGAATACAACAATGTATAATTTTTCTTCATCAAATTGAACATTAATATGTTTATCATTGGGGCTCTGCTTATACCTTAATAGGGCAACGTATCCTGGGAGATACAACTCATAAAATCCAAAATATTGAATATATAGGCCGAGGACTAGTGAGCATCAAGGCCATTATCCAGGATGAAACATCAAAAATCCAAGAGTACATCAGAAAAATGGCCACAAAGGATGAACTGCTAAGTGAATGTCTCAGGCAACAGAAACACGATAAGAGTGCAGAGGAAGAGGAGCAGACAACCTGGAGGGACAAGCCCCTACATGGCACGTACCACCGCCAAATTGAAGAAGTGGCTGATATCGAGAAGACCTACCAATGGCTGGAAAAGGCTGGACTCAGAGACAGCACAGAGGCACTGATCATGGCAGCACAAGAACAGGCCCTAGGTTCAAGAGCCATAGAGGCCAAGATCTACAAGAGTAGATCTGACCCAAGGTGCAGACTATGCAAAGATGCCCCTGAGACAGTCCAGCACATAGTAGCAGGGTGTAAGATGCTAGCCGGGTCAGCGTACATGGAGAGACACAACCAAGTGGCTGGAATAGTGTACAGGAACATCTGTACCCAGTATGGAATAGAAGTACCCAAATCCCAATGGGCCGCACCACAGAAGATGGCTGAGAACAACAGGGCCAAGGTGCTGTGGGACTTCAGCTTCCAGACTGACAAACAGGTCCTGGCTAACCAACCAGACATAGTGGTGGTAGACAAGGAGCAGAAGAAGGCGGTGGTGATAGATGTGGCCATACCAGCAGACGCCAACATCAGAAAGAAGGAACACGAAAAGGTTGAAAAGAACCAAGGGTTGAAAGAACAGCTGGAGCAGATGTGGAAGGTCAAGGCGAGCGTGGTCCCCGTGGTAGTAGGAGCACTCGGGGCAGTGACCCCCAAACTTGGGGAGTGGCTCCAACAGATCCCAGGAACAACATCAGAAGCCTCAGTCCAGAAGAGTGCAGTCCTAGGAACAGCTAAGATACTGCACAGAACCCCCAAACTCCCAGGCCTCTGGTAGAGGACCCGAGCTTGAGGATGACACAGATACCACCTCAAGAGATGAGTGATAACATTAAATTATTTTTTTGGAACTTATTTTCCACTCCTGCCTGTTTAAGGGTTAAAACGTCTTACTTGCTCACTTAATTCTTACTCTACTTCTGTAAAAAAAAAAAAAAAAAAAGAAAAGTCCGGACCAGTCTTGATGATGGGAAGATGTGCAATGATGCAAGATATAGTAATAGCCAATAATTCCCCTCAAATATATTCCAACTAAAGTAACAAGCCTGTTTTGAAGAAGTTGAAAGTTGCAGATATTTGTGTAATAATGTAGGGAGTAAAAGTAAAAAGTAAATAAATACTCAAGTAAAGAAAAAAGTGCTTGAGTACAGTAACAAAGTATTTGTACTTTGTTACTTCCCATCTACGAGAATATTAGAGCAGGTCACAGAATCTGGTGGGTCACAGATCCTTTACATGGTCAAAGGAGTTGGAAGCCGAGCAGAAGGGTGTAGCACAAATTTCTGGACCCTGTACATAGATATTCTCCTTGGGCTGCTCCTCATGTCCACAGCTGTTCATTCTAGTCTTTGTGGGTCTCCTTTCCTTCCCTAGTCCGACACCCCTGGGCATCAGATTTGGAAAAGTCCTTGTTTGCTCTGTTGACAAGCTGCAGTTGATCCATTTTGTGGAGCAGGAGTGAACATTCACCAAATTCAATTAAATTTTATTTCTATAGTGCCAAATCATAACAGAAGTTATCTCCGGAGACTTTTTATGAGCAGCGGACTGTAAGTTTTTATTCTTTTCGCTGGAGCTTTTGTGGGATTGTGCCTAATCATGAATACATTTAATAAAACATTTCATTTTTCATTTTCATTTCCTGAAGGCTTCCACCAGTAAGGATTCTCAACTCCAGCGGGGTTACTTAGTTTTGATTCAGTAATAAATATCAGGCTCTAACATGATGGTAAATGCAAAATGGACCTGTACTTGTATAGCACCTTTCTAGTCTTCCAACCACTCAAAGCGCTTTTACACTACATGTCACATTCACCCTTTCAAACAGTGATGGCAAAGGCTCATCAAAAACAGAAACTAATACTCATTCAATCACATTCAAACACTGATGCACAATATCAGGAGTAATTTGGGGTTCAATTCAATTCAATTCAATTTTATTTGTATAGCGCCAATTAATAACAGAAGTTATCTCAGGACACTTTTCAAATAGAGCAGGTCTAGACCGAACTCTTTATAACATTATTTACAGAGACCCAACAGTACCACCATGAGCAAGACCTTGGCGACAAGGGCAAGGAAAAACTGCCTGTTAAAAGGCAGAAACCTAGGACAGATCCTCCGGCTCTAGGTGGGTGGTCGTCTGTCTCGACCAGTTGGGGGGGGTGGGCAGACGACCACGCATAGCAACAACTACACTAATAGTAGTGACTGATGATGATGAACATAAGGAAGATGATGATGACGACAACAACGATGAGAACTTCGGGGAGGAAGTGAAGTTAGTAACATGCATTAATGGAACATGAATGAGTGCAGAAAGAGAGAGGAAGAGAGGAGCTCAGTGCACCATGGGAAATCCCCCGATAGTCTAGGCCTATAGCAGCATAACTAAGGGATGGTTCAGGACTCACCTGATCCAGCCCTAACTATAAGCTTTATCAAAGAGGAATGTCTTAAGCCTACTCTTGAATGTGGTGAGGGTGTCTGCCTCCCGAACCACAACTGGAAGCTGGTTCCACAGGAGAGGAGCTTGGTAACTGAAGGCTCTGGCTCCTGTTCTACTTTTAGAGACTATAGGAACCACAAGTAGCCCAGCATTCAGAGAACGTAGTGTTCTAGAGGGGTAATAGGGTACTATGAGCTCTTTAAGATATGAAGGGGCCTGACCATGAAGAGCTTTATAGGTGAGGAGGAGGATTTTAAATTCTATTCTACATTTTACAGGGAGCCAGTGCAGAGAAGCTAGTACAGGAGAGATGTGATCTCTTTTTCTAGTTCCTGTCAGTACTCGTGCTGCAGCGTTCTGAATTAATTGGAGCGTTTTAATGGACTTATTGGGGCAACCTGATAATAAAGAGTTGCAGTAATCCAGCCTTGAAGTAACAAATGCATGGATTAGTTTTTCTGCATCTGTCTGTGATAGGATGTGTCTAATTTTAGTAATATTACGTAAATGAAAGAAGGCAGTCCTAGAGGTCTGCTTTATGTGGGAGTTAAATGACAAATCCTGATCAAAGATAACTCCAAGATTCCTGACAGTGGTGCTAGAGGCCAAGTTAATGCCATCTAGAGTGACTATATCTTTAGACAGTGAGTCTCTAAGGTTTTTGGGGACAAGTACAAGAATTCGAATTCGAATCCGACCTGCGGCCCTTTGCTGCGTGTCATCCCCTCTCTCTCTGCCCCCCTTTACTGTCTGTCTTCAGCTGTCATTATAATAAAGGCAATAAAAGCCCATGGTGAAAAAGGGATGAGCGAAATTTAAAAAATTATTCGATTTTCATTTTCTATTTCATATAAAAAAAATAAAATCACTCGAAAAAAGAAACGGAAAAAAGTTGTTTTCATATTCTGAGACCGGATGTTGTCATTTACAGGACGGTGCTGTGTAGAAGAAACAGTAGGCTAGTAGACTGCGGTCAATCCAGCCGTGAGTCCGATCTCCGTGGTCAAATCAGCCGCACTTAAATTTCGAGTGTACAAGTATTCTTAGCATTATGGTAAATGCGGTTTTCAAAATAAAGGTATTAAGAACAGTAAGCTATAATTCGAACCTACATTTAAAATAAAATATGTTACATTAAAGTGTTTCATGCGCCCCTGATGAATAAAAAACACTTTATATCAAGTATCTTTACTGCACCAGTGTGGAGAAATGCCAAAATAAAAGCCTCATATTTATACCTCCAGAGATTGCATATTTTCTTATATTTGAGCTACTGTAAAAACATATTGCTCAATATTTCCTGGCTATGGGTGAAGCATTTTCATTATACTTCAATAATGCTGCAGTAATCATGACAAAATTTCACACAAATGTTTAATAACATCTTTATAATATAAAGACAAAACAGTAAACACAAAATCCTACACAATTCTCATTTGTTTACTTTTCTCACAAAATGCAATTCCAGTCCACATTCTTCTTATTTTGCAGCTCTGCTGTGTCCATTTGTAGGTCTGTATGTGGAACCACCTGCAACAGCTGTCACACTCAATCTGTAAAAGGGAAAAATAATTAGTTTTAAATTCAAAACACCATTGTACCTACTGTCTCTTCCTCATATATTATTTTTCCCTTTACAGATGACATGCGTTTGCTAACAGCTGCAGTGGACGCTGTCTGCAGCGCCAGAGAGCGGTGCTGCAGTGACAGAGGGGTGAAAAGAGGACGCGTCCCGCGCTCAACGGTCACGGTGATACCGGGCGGTGAGACGGCCAATTAAATTCCGACGCTCCCTGAGGCCCGGCCAACACTCCCCCCCTAACCCTCCGCTCCACTCTCTCAGACACGCGCGCACACACATCCCGCCTGACCCGTGAGGAACAGAAAGTAAAGGTGACAGTAACAGTGTAACTGCAGTCCCCGTCCTCCAGCAGCACCGAACCCGTCGATATGTCTCTGTACACCGTCTCCCGGTTATTGAGGAGCGCTCTGAGGACTCAGCTGGTCCCTGCGGCTAATGTGTCGTCCAAACCTGCCAAACACAATATCAGTGCCGGGGTGAGTTCAAGTCCACTGACTTCATTAATGGGAGCGCAGCAGGTAGCTACTCCCCTCCAGCAGGGAACAGCGGACATTACCGCTATTGGCGGTAGTGTCATCTAGCAATTGTTCCGCGTGCTGATGTGTTATGACAAAGCATAATGCTTCCTGCAGGTTCCACTAACTGCGTCAAACTTTATATTGTCGCACCTCTCTCGTACTTATATCCATATATATATATATATATATGTGTGTGTGTGTGTGTGTGTGTGTAATGTCGAATATTTGTCCGTGCGCCATGTTGAAACGATAACTTATCAACTTATTTTTAACACTTTCGGTAAGTGCGTCAGTATCTCGCCATTATTGCGCCTAATTCCAACACGTACACATCTCTGTCAGCTCAGATAGGAATAGCAAGCTATAGACGGTACCCCGAAATGTTCACACTACCTACAGCCCAGTAGGTACACTTATTGTTATTTTCCACAATATTTGATACAGCACTGCAGACGTTTAATATGGCAGTATCAGTGTGATAGTGTGTCTGTGGAGACTGTTGAGCAGGTGCCAAGTGACCGACCTTCATGTTGAACACGGTCACACGGTAGGCCCGAACCCAGTTCATTATTTGGGTTACATGAAAGGAGCGTATTAAGGGACCAAAAGTATGTTTTTGCTCACTGTAACACATCAGCAGTCATAGGGACTATTTAACAACAACATTGACTAAGTTGCATTAAGTGTGAGCTTACATTAAGCTGCCCAGGCCTGGAAATACCCTGGCCAGAGAGCAAAATAAAACCTTAATACCACACATTGATAAAGCTAACATTTCCCCCTAGGGCTGCACATACAGGGAAAACTTCATATTGCAATTGTTTTTAAAGTTATTGCAAAATGATTCACAATTAGTGTGGAGTGATCATTTCTTCATCACAAATTCTTATTATTTTTAAATGATTAAAATCATGATGATGTGAAACCAAACAAACATCAACACTTTAATCAATAAATTATAGTGGGATATGCATATTGCACTTGGCTGTATTGGGATTGATTAATTGTGGTTTGTTTTGTGTTTTTTTGATCTGATTCATTGTTTGGCAGCCATAAAGAATGTTAGCTGTGTAATAATGTTGTAGGGGCAAGGACAAAAAAGTTAAAAAAATTTTGAGTATTTTTAAAAAAATTTCAAAAAAACCCCCCTTTCCCCCCCCCCCCCCTTTCCCCAAGTTAACCATTAAAGCCAATAAAAGCCCCAAAATATGTTTGTATACTATATATATATATATATTGTCACTGAAAAAAGAAATACAATCATGATGGTGTGAGAGTCTGTACCAAACAAACATGTTCCCTTTAGAACTGCAGTACTTGCAAAAACATCATATATATCAATACTTGCTTGGAAAATTTGAACTCATTATTGTGGTACATTAGTAAAGCACTGACCAGAAATATCAAAAGCCACCCCTCTAGATCCGGCCCTGCATGCAGTGTCAGAGAATGTTGATCAGTGGTTCCCTAAGCCCAAGGTGATGTCCCCAAATGTCTCATTTTAGCCACAACCCAAAGATATTCAGTTTACTGTCACTGAGCAGGGTTCCCAAACCTTTTCATAGCAAGTACCCCCACAGTAGATGCACATTAGACCACAGACTCCAATATGAGATGATTTTGTATTAACACTGCCTACAGTGCTGTATTTTAACCTCCATCATAACGGTGGTACTTGGAGAGCCTGATATTTTCTGAGGTGCTACGCAGTGTAAACAGTTTGAGGGGCGCTGCTTTACAGAGTATTTTATAGGGTTTAGTTTCTGTTTAGAACAATAGCCAACTGAGCTTGATATATCTTTATAGTGTATATTTAGTCTCATTCTCAGGACAGAACTGTAAGAACGCCCAGACAAAATCAGGACATGTGCACTCTACTGAAACACCACTAATAAGTCATTGGTGATTCGTTCTATTAGAAAAGCAGCAGGCTTGAGTTGTTGCTTGTTGGTTTTGGATTCATTCCCTGCAAACTACAGAATGTGTGTGTTCCCGCCAAAGACAGCAGCAACCTCTTCTTTATGTGGCCAAATATGGACTCAAGACGAGTAAACAACTACTTTTATACTGAATGCCACAATAAAGCATCACGGAGAAATGCTATGTTTTGGTGTTCAGTAAGTCTGACAATGTGAAAATGCTGTGTGTACACTGTATTCACCATCTTTACCCACTTCTCTGTGCAAATGACAATAGCGGAATGATATATATATATATATATATATATATATATATATATATATATATATATAATAAGGTATTATCATATGCTGTTAAGTAAATGGAACTGAACCATCTGTTTGTCTCTGTGTGTCCCTCAGGAGCAGGCAGTAGCTATGACAGCCATGTTTGTGGCCATCCTTGGTCCCTCCGGCTGGATACTGGCTCACCTGGAGGACTACAAGAAGAAGGAGTAGAAGAAGAAGAGGGAGAGCAGAGTATCATTCCGGCCCAGATGAAGATGCAGACCAGAAGTCATGCTGTTCTCCCTCCAGGTCCCTCACTCCGCTCCATCTCGCTGCAGCTGATGAGATGTTTCTATTGTGCACCTGTGCACCTGTGGGCCTCTACGAATAAATTCACTGTATACAACGCAGGCCTCAGTGTGTGTTTGATTCAGATAAAAGCTGAAGTGGCACTGATCAGACAGATAGAGCTGCTACTATAGAATTAGGCATTAATAAATGCTTTATAATAACTAATAAAGAGTGAATATGCTGCTAATAAGCAACTAATTAATGGGCAATGTGTGTACCATAATATAAAGTGTCGCCATATATTTTATCAGTAAATACAGTCAGCATTAACGGAAGCTAAAGTTTTACAGTTCTTATGTGATAGTGTGTGACTGTGGTGACCAGTACCAGTAAAGACAGTGAAAGGCTAACCTGCACTTGAGCCACATGTGCACAGTTTGACATCAGACACAACCCTGTGATGACAGTCTTGCTTTGTTCACAGACACTGGACTGGACCAGATTTTAGAAAAGCGTTCATCCTGCAGTGGCTTTGCTTTTGGAAACTAGAGACAATGGATAAAAATAGTGTGCAGCCCTGCATAAAGTGGGACACCTGGTCCCCCTGGTCCTGATTCACAGTAAAGTGCTGCTGTGTGTCTCATCACATCAGGGTTTTATAAAAACAACAAAAAGGAAGTCCCTGCTTTGATGGGGGCCATTTCATACAGATTCCACACATGTAAACAATTCAATACTTGGACACCAGTGAAATACAGTTCACAGTGCTGATGTAGATCTCATCCTCTGCTTTAGATAATCACCAATAAATACATACAGAAGGTGATTTATGAATATCTTATTTCCCTCACACAGATACAGACACTGTCAAACACTAATCACTTGAGTTCAGTCATTAAACTGTGTTGGCAATTTGTTTAATAAAGCAAACAAAGTATGATGTCTTTCTGTAAGGTTTTATTCAAGTCATCCATGAATGGTCTCAACGCAACCGTCACACACTCTCGTATGTGAATTGCAATAATCAATTAATTGAATCAAGATAAGAGTTCAGAGAATGTCTTAGGTTTTAGGAAGTGACTCCACGGATAAAAGACTTCAAACCCTGTGAAATAAGCTTATACAAAGATGTTTTTAAGAGAGTCTGACCTCCTCAAACACGTTGTTCCAGAGAGTGGTGGTCCTAACAGAAATGACCCAGTCACCCTCAGTCCCCAGCCTGGATTGTGGACGGCTAGCAGAGCCTCGGCTGAGGACCTCTGGGCTCGTATGGTCAGAACATCTGAAATGTACCTGGGAGTCCAGAGTGGCTCATAAAAGTTGTCAGTAAAATCTTAAAATCAGTTGTAAAATGTAGCTGCAGCCAGTGAGATAGATAGAGCAACATGCTCTCTTTAAGCTTTTGAGAGGAGTCTGGCTGCTGCATTTGGGACAAGCTGTAATTTATATGAACTCTGTTGACTCAGACGTGTAGAGAGAGTTACAGTGATGAAGCATGTATGAGGAGGACTGCTAGCGGCTCAGGTAAACACAGCCATCCAATCACATTATTCTGATGTGCACTTGGCTTTCAGTGGTTCACCGGCAGGTCACACTGCTAATCCGGGCAGTTCACACCGGCCAGACACAACACAGATTTATAGTGTAATCCACTCATCACCTCTTTATATTCTCACCTGGTTTTTCTCTTCATTGTCCTTTTCACTTTTCCTGTCTCTTGTTGTGTTTCCTGGCATAACATTTTCAGGGCCGTGTCCAAAGGGGGGGCTGGGGTACTGGCCACTCCTGAAATCTGACTGGCCACCCTGAGTGCCACCCTATTATATAATTAGAAATGTTATTGCATTTTATAAAAAGAAGATCCAGCAGCAAAAGAAAACAAAAACAGGCAGTAAAAACCACAGACAGTGACATGAAAAGCAGATATTTAGTTCCAATAATGTAGTGTGTATTAGTACATGACAACAATTACACAGTTACTGTTCAAGTTAGGTTGCTCCCTCTGGTCATACATCCACTAAAGCTGTCCCGCTGTTCGTTAACCAGCTTGGCCATTTTCAAAGGGATCCCCTGACCCCTGAACCCTGGTTCTATGGGTAGCCACAGGGGTTGTGTGTGTGTGTTGTGCAGGTTTAAAACACCTACACAGCCTACAACATGTGCAGGAAAACTGATGATTAATTAGAAAGTCCACTGTCTGGTCTTTTTCAGGATAAAGTAATCTTCATCTTCCCAAACGTCCCACAGACACAAGTCAATAATCAGTAAGATATATTAGGGCTCATTAGGATTTTTCTCATTTAGAGAGGTACATTTTAACTTCAACCTTAAAATGTTGTTTTTAGTTTTTGATGTCATAACCTACAATGTATACTTCTGGCAGTGTGAACTCGGTTTATATTATTACTGGAAAGATTATGTACACATTTTTCATATCCCTACACATTTTTTTCCACTGTCACTGATTGGATTTTAACTTATAATAATACAATATAATAATTGAAAATCAAACTCAAAACTGGAAAACCTGTCAGAGATCCTGTCCACCCTGCCTTCCGCATCCGCTTTATGATGATGTCTATTTACATTTGTCAAACACTTCAGGAACAGAGGGCGGGCCACAATAACACAAAGAATAACATTTTTACCAATATTTTATTTGTTCAGGGAACTGCACTGTAAAAGTTCCTACTGGCACCATGCCTACAATTGACTGTCACATTTTGCGCATCAAACAATAAATAACAAAACACTTTCCCAGAAAACAAAAGACAGTAAAAGAGGAGAATATTTGCTGAAGCTTTCACTATATCATGGCAGTAGAACATTTGATATGGTAGATCATGTATGAAAACATCTGGTTCCTTGGGTTGGAGGCTTGAAGATAGTTATTTGTTGAGTCTCATTCCCAGAATCCCAAAGTGTCGGTATTTGACGTCCTGGGAATGAGACTCAACAAATAACTATCTTTCTTGGGGATAAAACCCACGTTTTCTACTTCCGCAACTTCGACACAGCAATGTCATTATTTTACGGGGATGTGAATTAAGATTTAATAAGATCTTTGGTATGTCAGGTTGGTCCACTGTGATGAAGGCAGACTGGAAGAATACTCATCAGCTCCCTTTTCTTTAGTTAATTTTATTGAACGACATCATTGTTGATCACCAATGACATAACATAACTGTTTGCCTGGCTGGCCATAGGATTCTGGTTCCTAACAGCTAAAAACCAATACGGTATTCTTATTTTATGTTATCAAATTGGCAAAGACCTCGGAATTTACATTTACCACCAGTCAAATTAGGGCTGCTTTCACCCAAAAGGGGACAGGGTCTTGACACAAGGACAAAGTACCTGGATGGACTGCTCTCTATGAAAAAATAATAAAAGATTCTGTGAGGTATAATAAACTTCTCATTATTTAGAGATACCTAGTCAATACTTTGAGATATGAAGTCATTATTTTGGGAAAGTTTCTCATTATAATGCAGAGCCGGTCCTGACCTCCCTGGGGCCCTAAGTAAGATTCTGCTTGAGGGCCTTTCTACCTGACCTGTACACCTTGTAAACTATTTAGCACAGAATCATACCTGACACCCCAGTGCTCCCACTACATCCCTCCCTCCTTCAAAACTGTTTTGTTACATCTGTAGAATTAGTGGATCTGCACAGAACAGAATTCAATAGAATATTTTCTTTAGAATATTAACATTAACATTGTAGAAAATATAAATGTAGTAAATAATCATATGAACTGAGATGTTGTTCCCCTGCCTGGTAGTTAGTAGGTAATTAGTTTATTAACCAAAGCATCAGTAGCACTGTGTGACCACAGGAGGGCGCACCAGTGTAGCTAGACTAGACCACGCTCTGCAGTGTTCCTGCTGATGGGGGTGGCACAACATTTGAACAGACATGGAAGATCACTGGAGCATCATGGGATTTATGGTAAGTATTGTCCAGTGATGAATCTGCTTTAACTGACAGCAGGAAGCCGCCCATGGCCATGATGGAGGAGACTCCTTTTTTTTTTTCTTTTTAAACATCAGTGTTTCAGGAAATGACCAAAATATAACAATATAACAAATTCCTTTAAAGCTGCAGTAGGTAACTTTGATAAAAAATATTTTAATATTAATTTTACTTTTATTGCCTTTAATGGATAGTGACAGTGAATCCAGTGGGCCTGAACAAAGACAACCAATGACTACTGTGCAGTGAGAACTATACGACTGTCAGGATATAGTGAAAGTTTCAGCAAATATGACAAAAGTTATTTTATAAAAGTTACCTACTGCAGCTTCAAATGTAAGACTGAGTCTAATATTTGAACATTTTGCAAAGATGATAATTAATTATTTTTAGTTTTGTCTCGAAACAATATTTGCTGGCAAAACATAATTCCCACAAATATTTTGTCTTCCTGTATTTATAGCAGTGCATTTGATTATTTTTTAATTTGCATTATATTTTCCATGTTTGCTGATTAAGCATCATTAGATTATTTATATTTCTGTTGTGTTGTAGTGAACTATTTTTGCACACTTGCTCAGTATTTCCCCAAAATTCTACCTTTTTTGTTTATATTCAACAAAAGAACAAATTTGTTTACTGGATGCATCTGCTGTTAAATTCTCTGACTCTTTACCAGGACACATTCCTCATAGGCGTAAAAACCTACTTGGCAATAAACATAATTCTGATTCTGATTCTTATCACCACTATGGGCAGCTCTCTATATGTTCTCCCATTTATGTGTATCAGCTATATTGTGCCATATTCAGTTCTACCTTAATGCACATGGAACTTATCATCAACATACATTATCAGTGGTTTGTTGTGGGGGATTTATCAATAATTTACATTTCTAAACAATAGTATAGATGTGTTTAAATGCTGTCAGTGTTGTTGCAGCTGCCCCCACTGCTCACATATAGAGGTGGATAAAGGACACGAAGATATACCCCAACATTATAGTTGAAACATTTTTATTCCATGAAAATATCAACCATTGGCACTTCATTTACTCTAATAAAATCAACTTTGAAAACGTTTTTCAATCAGGTAAAAATGGAACAAAAGCAGCCCAGGAATGTGGACCCAACCATGTGGAAAGAAATGGTCCTGTTACAGCAGACACTCACATCACCTCCACATTTACGTTCTGGAGCTTCTTCAGTCAGAGAGAACATTAATACATCCATTTCCAATTCCATCTTTTCAAAACGGCTTGTACTGGACAGCTGGCTTGTACTGAAGCGCATTTATGCCAGAAAAATAAAACTGAAATGTAAAAATGTCAGGAAAGACAAAAAAATTAACATTTTCATGATGAATCCAAATTATGACATAGAAAGTCAAAATTAGAATACCAGATATGAGACTTTATTTAATATTAGGATTGTCTAAATTTGGAGATTTTTTAGTAGGCACACCTAGCTGAAGTCATGCAAATAAATCCTACCTTCATGAGGTCCCTTTATAAATATTATAAATACCTTGCACTATAATGAAATACAGTTTAACAGCAGCAAAATAATTCTAAAATCAAGCAAAAAGTGAAGATTATAACCTTTGTGAGGGGGTTATTTATTGCAGGACTGTGGGATTATGGTACGGTATTAGTTTTAGCTAGCTAGCTAGCTAATAAACTAGCAGCTAAGTGCAGTGTGACAGAAATGGCAGATCTCACAATTCTGTTTTAGTAAATCGAGATTGTGACTTGGTAGCCCATAAGATTGACTTAACTATTTTCCTCTCCCAGTGGAAGTAGGCCTGATACATGTACCAACTAAGAAGGGAGCTCTGTGCAGCTCTTTTCATTAGTGTTTCTTAATCTTCTTTTAGAGTTTGGCTCCAAGAACACGGATACATGGATTTTAACATTAGTTCAGCTTTGTCCTGAGACAGTCCTGCATTTGTTTACCTCTGAGCTTTTCCTCTCAATACAACAAAGACTACAACATGGGCAATACCCATTTACTGTCTTAACCAGGGTCAGATGAGAATAGTGCTACAACTCACAATTATTTTCATTATCAATCGATCTGTCAATCATTTCCTCAGCTGCTAACATTAGCTAACTTAAGATGTGACTATATATATGTCTTGCGATTAGTTTTGAACCACCTTCAAATTGTGGTTGTCTTTTCAACAAAGGCTAGCCTAGCACATCTCAGTACCGTGAAGGAGGAAGTTGACCAAGATTCCAAAAAGGGGTGGGACTTAGGAAGGGTCAATTAGCACAATTAGTTTCAAATAGGACATATTAAAAATGTTGAGGAGGAGCTGAGGAAAACAACAAGACTTGAGTAATCAATGTCAAGGTTTTAACCCCTGATATGTTGCTGCTGTAACAGAACCAGAGAGCACACACACGCTCAAAGAGCTACATTTCACAACCATAAAAAAATAAACATTCTCCAAAATGTACAGCATAAAAGCAAGGCCAAGGGGTGGACATGACTTCATTACAAACAAGGCTCATTTGTTCTGCATCAGCCAGACTTTTAAATGAGCTGCTTTGATTTTTGCTGCATCACTGACTCTTTGTAGGAACAAAAATGTACACTTTCATTCATCTCCCCTCAAATGTACAGTGCGATGCCATACGCTGAGCTTTTCACAGTTGACAGGAAAATTAAACTCAAATTAGTTGAAGTTAGTGATTCGGTGCAGCAGACAATCTCACTGAGCTTCAGACCCATTAAAGACACCCTCTGCTGTTGGTCTATGTCCAGAAATATTTCCTGTCCCCATTGTTGGTCCCATGGGTGATGAATTTGTGTAGTCTTGTCCTAAGTGCTCAGCATATTGTCAAAGTGAACTCATTATCTTCTGATCGTGGCCTTTCCTGGAATTATAGACTTTCATTCCAGGAACTAATTTAAACCCACAAATTCTATAATCTAGCTTCGGTTTTATTCGTTGCATACTTACATGCACTTTAGAGAATATTATTTCAGATATAACAGCTGAAATGTAGCTAGTGAAGTACAGGGGGAACATGAAGAATTCAAGCCATCTTTGGTTTAGGGGTTAAAGAAATTCTTTGAGGGGATTATAAGAAAATCAGCTGTTTGCTCTGTCGTTACTACTGCATGGGTTTAAGGGCTCCAAATCCTCCTTTAAAGTCTGTGTGTGCTGTGTATCTGACTACAGTTCAAATAAAAATGGTTGCACTGAGAGATATAGCTTCTGTTTCAGTGCATTCAGTGTAGCTGCGGTGGGGTAGGGGGGAGTAGAGGGGTCTGAGCACTATTACAGGGTGGGATCATTATGGCGTAAGCAGGAAAACAATATTTCCAATTGGAATGTCATGTGCAAAACAATCTGCACCAGAATTAAAATAAATCTCGAAGGTAGAAAAGTTTTGGATCCTGCAGAAAAGAGATTTATAGTAAAGTAGTAGTAGTAGATTCTTAACTGGGCGAGGCTGGCAGCTGCCCCGGGGGCCCCAGACCCTCAGAAGCACCAGGTTCACTGAGTGGCAATTCCGGTTTGCTTATCTGACTATTTGCGTACTGATTTGATAATATGCAAGATTAATACACAATCTCAACTCAAACGGTATGGTCTTTAAATTGGCTCCAGAATTGAACCAGACCCTTCCTAAGCCCCGCCCCTTTTTGCTGTGTGCACTAGTAAGAGTTGAACAAGCAACTTTCTCCTTTCCTGTACTTTTAACTTTTTCTTCAAGATGAGGTTGTCTTTTCAACATAGATTAGCCTAGCACATAGCATATCTAAGTACAGGAAAGTAGAAAGTTGATTGAGGTTCTGACTGAGGCTTGCTCAACTGTTTTTGGAGCACAGAGCAAAAAGGGGCGGGATTTAAGAAGGGTACATTTAACCTAATTATTTCTTGTAGAGGAACCCTGTGTCGACTTTTAATATTTCACTTGATATTATGGTGACAGTGGGGATATTAATATAAGACTAACTGAGGAGCCCACAGCTGTGTTGCCCTGGGACCCTTAGAGTTAAGAGACATTTTCTCTGAATTAAATGGAACCAAAACATGTGGCTGATGCCAAAATAATCTCTTCATGTTTGTGGAAATGACTCAGTACAATGTTGACAGATGCAGCTTAGAATCAAATCAAAACTCATCATTATGAGGCGTCTCCTGTCACAGCTGGCCAACAATAAATACAATTCTGGTAGTGACGTCAGCAGCTAGTTTTAAATCATTACTAAGAAGTTGCTAATACAGAAACGGCCAACAGCGTCAATTGCAAGCTCCATCTTTTTTTTTTTATAAATAAAAGTATTACATGTAGAGTTTACCTATGACAGTATATGCAAACTGCACATACCAATTTAAAAGCACCTGTCAGCTACCAAAAGCAACTAAAAGCAGTCATTAAAGACTGGGAATTTGACATAAAAACTACAGGGGAGCACACTTCTGTTGAAACGTTGTACACACATTTAGTGCAGAAAATAAAACAGCAATGTATATTTGGTCAAAAAGATTGGAAAGCTACAAAGACCTGAAAATAATTTAAAATATATACAAATCAGTTCACTGTCACACAATAAAACACCTGGAAAACAACTTACCATCCAAAGAGAGAAGAGAAAAGATCCAAAGCTCTTCTCATTTTTGGGTTTGCTTAGTAATCTGACCATCCTGGTGCCCCGTGTTCAAACATAGACACTGTGGAGACATTCTCTAGCTGTGATCAGGACTATATCATTTATCTTTAAAACCCTCCTCACTCGTATACTTAAAAAAATAAATGAGCTGAGAAAGCTAGAGGGGAACATGTTGTTGGTGCTTCTAACTCATTTGGAATTAATAACACACAGGCAGTCAGACTTGAATTAACTGGAACAAACAAATAAGAGGAAGAACGAAAGGAGCAGCAAGAGACAGAGTGTTAAAGAAAGACAGCCCTGAAGATAAACACCACTTTGGAAGTTAGAAAATAGAAATTAAGGCCTCGAGGGAAAAAGCCAGAATCTTGCATATAACCATCATGTCCCTGTCTCAACAGTGCATCAGCCTGTCTGTCTCTCTGCAGTCACACACACACACACACACACAGACACGCACACACAGACACACACACACCGACAGACACACACCGACAGACACACACCCTGAGAAAGGTTAGTGTCATCCTGCTGCTAACCTGTAACCCTGCCGGGGCAACAGGGGAGAACAGCATCCTGCTGCCTTCACATCATACAAGAACAATAATTATTTATAAGTTATTATTATTATTTTCTACTGATTGGTGGGTTTTAGTCAGTGGTACTTTTAAATAAACAGCTTACACTGGGTATAGTGTGTGATGTGAATGCAGCATTGTGCTGTCCTAGAAGGCTTAGTGCTCTGTAACACACACCACCACTTTACACACTACTCATTCTTTGACAGCTGAACAAAATTTGCTCCGGTCCTGGTCCATCAGTAGGAAATGACATCATGTCCCGGGCCTGACTGGTTTACACATGGCACAGGATTTGCCAAGAATCTAGTGTTGTACCGTGAGCTCAGGTCCCATCTCTAGAAGGTGCGACTGGTGTCAGGCAGGCAGTGCGAGGGTCAGCCGGGTGGGTCACAGCACTGCTAAAGGGTAGCAAGTACCCTGAGGAAGGAGATAAGGAGGACGCAGAACGACTGTCCGACACCAAAAACAAGAGCCTCCAAAGAGATCATCTTCTTTCCGGCGGCCTTGTACACACCCGCTATGGCTGCACCTTGAAAAAAGAAAGAATGTTTTCCACAGGGATGAGCGAGTACACTTTCATATGTTCAACTGTTCAACCAACTAATTCTCTGTATTCGTCCTCAGAAAATGTTCTAATCTTTGTCCTCACTGGGGTCTCCAAACTGCAAGAGGCTCTTTAATAGTTTAGAACCTTCTGTAGTTCAAAAACAGTTACACCTAATATTCATTGTAATGCAATAAGATATTTTAACTAAAAAAACTGTTTATACAGATTAAATCAAAACTTTTAAGTAACACCAACTCAAATTTGTTTTTTGTTTTTTTACAGGTCAAATAATATGCAGCAAAGGGCCACCGGTTAGACCCGAACGCTGGGCTGCTGCAGCAGCAAGGACTCAGACCTGGCACATGGGGCACCAGCTCCACCAGGTGAGCTCTTCAGGTGCCCCCCTTGTGCATTTAATCAACATATTAGTCTGCTACAATCTTATATTTATTGCAAAGTGAGCATGATGTGCACAAAAAGGTCTTTGGGGATGAATTAGGTTCTGATTTGCCTCATTTTACCATGTCATTTAGACTAAATGTAAGTATTGGGTAGGACAAGGGCCAAAAAATACAAGAAGAAAAGAAAAAACAACTTACTGGTGAGGACTCCCCCACAAACTGGTCCCACGATGCCCATGAGGAGGATGGCAATGGGCATAAACCGGGCCATCTTGTGCTGGCGCAGCGTGGCGAGGGCGAGCAGAGCCGCAGGCAGGTGGAACACCAGAGAGGAGACCGCTGCCCACAGAAACACTCCATACCACATCTCTGGACACACACACACACAGTCCCACATCACTTCATGCCAATCAATTAAAGTACAAATGGTGTACAGTTCCAACCACATTAAAGCTATTTAATAAGACCATTCAGTGGTTTATTAATGAGATCCTAGCTCTCTGGCCCCACGCCATTTATCTCCTCTATGGAGCACAGAAGTTTTGCAAATGTGCAAGTGACAAATGAAAGGAAAATTACCAACTATGAATAAAGTATTACAGACAAAGAGTACAGATGCTTCCATATGAGTGATGAGGGCTCACTGTATGATAACTATCATCAGATCTCAGCCCAACTCAACACCTATGAGAATGGTCTCCACTACCGTCATCTAAACACCAAATGAGACAATATCTTTTGGAAGAACGGTAGAGTTCCACACTTAAAATAGCTAAAAACAATGCAATGCTTAGACAACCAAGACAGAAACTAAAGTCCCAGGTTAAGAAAGGACAGTCCCAAAGCATTCCAGAACAAGTCATAATATTTAATCTCATGCTCATCACACAACACACCAAACACAGCAGCAGTTAGAACACTAGATTAATTCAATCATGAATGCTTTTTAATATTTGCTTTTATTATTTTCCAATACTTAGCCTGTGGTAGAACATGAATAGTCTTGACTAAGATAATTCAGTAGACCATTCTGGGTCTGGGTTGGACCTCTGTTTGTCATAGTTTTTGCTATTTGATATATGGACTGATTTGCTCAGAAGTTCAGAAACATTCTGTGTTCAAGCTGCAATAGTGATTGCAAATACTGAAAACTATCATTGAAGTGTAATGCATCCTTTAAGACAGAGCAAGGCACAGATTATTTTTGATTATTGATTAATCGGCCAATCATTTTCACAATGAATTGTTTAGTCTATAAAATGTCAAACGATTGTGTATAATGCCCATCACAATTTCCCAGAGCCCAAGGCTACATCTAAAAGATAGCTTCTTCTGTTCAACCTACAATGCAAAACCCAAAGATGTACTGTCATATATGAAGAAGAAGGCAGTACATGAAGAATCTCATGATCAGCAAAAAACATTTTTGGTACAAATTAAAACTGCGCTGTGATTTCACATTTTGTTTATTGAACTGATTTTTATATCTATAGACAATGCGGGTCGCCTTGTATGGAGTCCATCATGTTGAACTGCCATGTTTTACAGTAGACCATAAAGGACAAACCAAACACTGCCACTAGATAGGGGCGCTTTGGAACACTTCACAGCCACTGTAGTCTCTCCTTTGCACTTGGAAGGGGAGAGTGAAACAAGAGTGTTGCGACCTGCAACTAACACCACCACATGCCACTAAATCCTACATACTGGTCCTTTAAATTAACCTTTTTTAAATATCACATCAACCCTGTGCAGTACTCCAAAGTACCCCTGGGAATACGTGTAACCCTATTTATTTGAGAAACACTGGACTAATCTATTAATGGACTAATTGTTGCAGATTATATATATGTGTGTGTGTGTGTGTGTGTGTGTGTGTGTGTGTGTGTGTGTGTGTGTGTGTATTGGCAAGAATCTGGCAATACAATACATATCACAATACAGGGGTTACATTTTCATATATATTGCTATACTGTAAGAATGGATAGATAGATTTAAATTTAAGGAAAAGTGTCAAAGTATAATGAACACACCACCATATGCATGAAATGTGTACTTCTACTCACTGTTTCATACAGCCAGAACAGTGGGATCTACATTGAAATGTATTACAGTGGCTTCACAGCCTCACTTTACATTTACACTCTAGGTAGGCTTAAACACAAAAACTGAGCATGTGTTTGACAATAAATACAATATCACAAAAGAAAATATCATGATACAATATATTTCAATATTTTCTCACCCCCTAAATATAGCACTACATTAACCAGAATCCAGTCTCAGTTGAGAGTTGAATTACAGGAAGTGCTACAGTATGTACTGTAGTGACTGTACAATGGCTGTATCTTATAAAACCCCTCTGTGTGTGTACTCAACTGTCTTCCTCTGACACTACACATTCCTGAGCTACATAAAAGACCATGTTACACAGTATATAGTCAGTTAGCTTGTTGCCCATTACCCGAACACAAGCAATGAACATCCACACATTCCTTCAGTTTACCCACAGCAGGCAATAGCTTAGCACCAAGCTATGCCAACGTTAAATAATAATGATCTAATGTAACCACGGTTCGGATAGTTAACAGATAAACATTGTGTACACATTGGTCGGTAAGTCCGAGAGGAAGCAGGAAGTTAAGCTAGCTTACCTAAACAATGCTAACGCGTACAAACTCGCGTCCAACAGCCAACCTTAAGAAACCCGTTCTCACAGGTGAGCACATTGTTCACCTCTCCCTTGGTCATTATAAGGACAACAGTATATGCAGCTTGTGATAATTCACCCCCTATACAGCATTTCACCACTAGCACACAGAAGCTAACAAGCTACCAAACATTAGCCCACCTGAGAAGTCGCTGAGAGACGTGTCATTGCCGTGGAGTGTGGCATTTTTTCTCGGCACTAGATTCAAACCGAGTATTTGCTGGACGAAGCCTATCTCGCTATACCTGTCCTGCATGTCTCAAGCCGATACTGGACACTGCATGAGTGAAAGATGGCCAGCAGACGTGTACAACCATGAGAGGGATTTGCGAAGGCTCGATCCTGACGCAAGACTAGTTAGCAGCAGGCTAACTGTGCTAGCTGTCAACACAACTTGTTTAGAGCTCTCCGCCCGGTGCTCCGCCCGGTGAGTGGTCTCTCAGGCAGCAGTGTTTCCGGCTGTCTACCAACGACCCCTCACCGGAAGAAAAATAAATCATGACTTACTACAATAGGCTATGGAGAGATATGCATACTAGCGCTTCTGTGAAAGTCTCCCCGCAATTAAGAAAACTATGGAGAACTGGGTTGTATCCCGCTATGAAGCAGGCTGCCTGAGATGCTCTACCCAGGGATTAGTTCGTGAACACAAAGCACAGCGAGTGGGACACACGAGAGCAAGAAAGGTCATTAAATAAGCAAATATAATGTACTCTGTTTCTATCTGTGGTTGCTTACAAGGGTTGTATATGCGCAGACACTAACCAGAAATATCATCATTTAGATCATGCATTCGACATCTCAAAGGTAGACCACTTGTGCAGGGGCGGATCTAGAGAAATACTCCTGGGGTGTCCAGAGGGTGGCACTGAGACTTTATGGGGTGGCAGACACACACACACAGACACACACACACACACACAGGTACACACACACACACTATTTGATAAGCCTGACACTAAGTCTAAAATGTAGCCATAACAAATCATTAAATTGTACCTGTTTATTTATTTGTCACCCATAACACATTATTTTCTAAATTAATTAGTTACATTTGACATCAAACTGTTTGGCAAGACATTTTTTAGGATGGCAGCTAGATCCACCTCTGCACCTGCTGCACATTTCACAATGTGTTTTGGGCCATTCTGCCATATTGTTGTCTTTTCCGCCCTCAGAACATTACATGCATATGTATGTATAAAATCTATCTGTATAACACAATACCAGGGTCAGGGTGAATACTCAATTCTGATTTCCAGATGGACAACCCAGCAAACTATTTCCAGTGCAGGGACGTTGGTTTTTGCTGAACGTTAGTGGGACATTACAAAAACAGTGTGTTGAACAAACGTTGCTGGAATGTTTGAAAACTTTACAAAATAACCCTCAGGCAACGTTCCCAGAACAGTTCTTTAAAAGGTTTCTTGGATAGCCTTTACAGAACATTTAGAGAATATTATGAGAAGGTTAGAAAAACAAAGCAACCTTCAGAGAACCTTTACAAAACTGTCCTGAAAGTTGAAGTGAAGGTTTGCTGGGTGTCTACCTGGAGGTTGCTCCCACCCACCGTCTGTAGTGAGCGCCATCACACGTTCCTGTTCCTACTGCCATACATCATTTTCCTGTTGTTTCATTTCCATTCCAGGGAATGTTCTTTGAACCTTGCCTGAACAATAAACATTCCCTGGGCGTTATTTTCCAACTTTGTCTTAACATTCAACTTAACATCCACTGCTGGTTCACAACTGCTTGTTCTTCAACCTTCTTTTGCATACTATCTACACAGACATTAACCAATTGTTAAACACAAACATTAAGTACCTAATTAAACTTCATTTGCAGCTTGTCATAAGAAATGTTTTGGGACTGTATCAGGGTAATTATGGTTAGTTAAAAATAAAATAAAATTAGGTGTGAAATAACATTCTAGTTAACTGACAGTAAAATTAAAATTTGAATTTAAAAAACAAATACTGAAGCAATATTATGTACATACAAAACAAAAAATTGGAAAACAAGCTGAATTGAAAATGAACATTGCACAATTATAGTACTAATATAACTACTCAGGTCTATGCTGTAAACTTCTTACTTTGGTTAAATCAACACTGATCTGCTCTTTTTAGGTTTGGACCAGGAAGTACAGTATAAAGTAAAATATTTAACATCAATTCCAACTTCTTGTACATTCTTTAGTACCACTTACTACGAATAGGAAGAGGTAAGTAGTACTGAAAGTCTGTCAGAAAAGGTTTTTAAACATGATTCTAAAAAAGAAATAATCTAACTTTTATTAATGAAGCTTTGCCTTGATAAATAGTTTTAGAAACCTGTTTTTTAAACATTCAATGTAAGTTTAATTTATGCTCCAAGTTTTGTTTGGGCTGAACTTCCATTATTTATGTTCAAATGGAAATACAAAAAGAAATGACTGACCTTTTCCAGGTTTTCTGAGAGTGTAGGAACTGTCAGCGGTGCTGACGTCACTGCTCTTCAATTATGGCTGGCATTGAAATCCAGAACTTCTCTATAGTCCACCTTCTGCATTAACGTTTACACTGGTTTTCAATGCAGGAAAGCCTTTAAAGCCACTGCTAACATCTAATGCAAAGTCACATCAAATGTAAATTCAGATCCTGGTGAAATTATTTCATCGGCTGAAAGAAATGACCCATAAATGTGTGCAGATGTAATGAGTGTCTGATTTTAACCATCTGGAATGAGTTTCAAAGTCCTATAATGAGAGTATTCAAGAAACAGCTTCAGAAATAAAGATGAAATTTAATTAATGATCTGACAAAAAAGTGGGGTTACGTTGTACTATCCCTCTCCAGTGCTGGTACAGAAAACTTTGAGTCACAAAACCATTTTCTTTGGAACCAAACCCCAACCAGATGGAAAAATAAAAAAAAAGTCACATTTGGTGAGGGGACAGGGAGGGGTTCCATGGAAAGAAGGGAGGCTGCAGAAGAGCTGCACTCAGATTGAGTGCCAAAGTTAACTTAGTGTGGACGGTATTAAAAGTAGACTAACAATTGGCCCATGGCAACAGTTGTTCCTTTATAATGTAAAGAAAAGAAAATGAAGCACCAGGCAGCCCGAGGGCCAGACATTTTCCTGCAGAGGGAGCGGGTCGCCTTTCATGGAGGCCACCATGTTTCTACAGTAGCCCAGAAAGGACCAACTAAACACTGCCTGTAGATAGGGGTGGGGCGTTTATCATGCGTTCAGCGGCCACTGTAGTTTCTCCTTCGCACTTAGAAGGGGAGGGTGAATAGAGGGAGTTGCAATCTGCAACTACACCGCTGGATACCACTAAAGTCTACACACTGGACATTTAAATCCACCCAACACCTCATGAAGGCAGATTCAAAGAACAAGGGTGCAATCAGACTAACAATAGCACTAAAAACACTTGGATTAAACCGCTGCAGAACACAAGGGTTTGTGTTGCTTTGGATACTCCTTGGAAGAAGGCGGCAAGTTTGATTTATACGTCTGAGATTAACAGGTGAACTGTAGATTTTCACTGTTCACACCTTAGAAAACAATCTAGCAGGAATGTGCACTTTCACCAGGGCTGCACAATTAATCAAAATATTATCGAAATCACAGAAGCTGCAATATGTTTGACAAAGGGAAAAGGTGACAGACAGAATTATAATGAAGTACTGTAGTGCTGCAGAGGTGTCCTAGTCTACAAATCCTCTCCAGATGTAAGAAAACGTGTGCTTGCTACAGACTCCAACAAATGTCACATCGTGATTTTAATAGCTTTTCCTGTGAAAATGAAAATTGAGATGCAAAATTGACCATTCCTACTATTCGCAATGTTTGTCAAAATAAACAATGATTTTTTTACCATATCATGAAGCCATAACTTTCACTGATTTGATTGGTCAACACAGTGCGCTGTCAGGTGTCACTTTGCATTACAGTAAACATGGACTTCTCCGCCTGAGCCCAGTGTCTGCCCCCAATCTGCCAACAACACCTCGAAAGGAAATGTGCTGTGCTTCTTCACACAGTGCTGCTGTCAGTCTGAACGCAGTCCAACAAAAACCTGTGTTGGGAACTAGCTCAGCAGCTAATATCTTGACCATTTTAACTAGCTCCCTTCAGCTAGAAATTCTTATCAGAATGTGACTGAATCACACCTGGCGCCACGAGGATGGCTGAAGTTCTCATTTGCAAAATGTTTTTCTTGCAATTTAATTTCATGTTCCTGCATGTAGTTTGTCTTTAACAGTCCTTTCACTCCCCATTTAAGTTCTCCACAATGCTGTAGCTACTTAAAGGTTCCATATGCAAGATTCAGAAGCATTTTACATTTGAAATTTAAACAAAGGACTGACTTCCCTGTTGCCTGTGGACGTATTTCTGTGTGTTTCTGTGTAGGGATGCGGGTTGGATTTGTAGTGACATTTATAGATGCTCCCGGTGCCTTCTCTCTCCCCTTCCCTACAGTGTCATCCGTGTGCAACACTAGCTAACATTAGCTTATAAATGGAGTCCGCTAACGTCCCCCACAAGAGAGTCCAACACAAAGTCCAAAGTCAGATGTAACATTACTGTAAAGCTTGTGGAATATATTGTGATATTGTACTTTTAGCTGGCTAATGGTAGCTAGCTTGCTAACGCAGACGAACGGCTAGCTAAGGTAGCAAGATACTGTCAACTTGCGTCATCCAGACTCCCGGGGCTAATCTGGCTAGCTGGTGAAAAATGACTTCCCCAGCTAACATGTTCCATGATACTAACATAAGTATGATGACAAACAGTGTTGATTTTAGTCAACAACAAATGATGTAAAGGTTAAAAGCTAATGGTTGCTTTCTACTGTCTTTGTACACAGCCAGAGCAACAGGACGCTCACTGCAGTTCACTGACGGCCTATGGTATCACTACTAACAACGGCTTTCTGAAAGTTACATACAGAACCCTTAAAATCACAGTTGAAGTTTAGTAGAGGTCAGAATAGTATTACAGCCCTCAGTTCAGGCTGTGCTAACGACATACTGTATCTCTCCTGTTTAGCCTTCTAGCTGCGAGGTAGGAACCCAGTTAGCATGAATGCAGCCTGCTAGAAGGGGAGAGTGTGTTGGCATGGCTCTTTAGTAACAAAACATAACCATCATCTTCCTTTCATAATAAATAAAAAAAATTTAAAAAAAAAAACCTGCTCAAATCTTACTTAATGCAGAATACAAGAGAAAAACATTTACAAATAATACCTGCAGCAAAATAAAGTGTGGTTTTTAAAAATGTGTTTCAATTCGTGGGAGCAGCTTTGCTCAGACACACAGACCAATGGGAGAGAATTTTAAATATAGCAACTGTTGTATTAAGTGTCAGACTGCAGGATTACAGATCCAGCAATAACAACAGCTCAGTGGTTGGTTGGGTCACCAATCAGCTATTCCGGTGGTAATTCATCTTATGTTTCTGTATACATTTTTCTTTTTATAAAATATTTTATTCATACAATCATTTCTTTAACTATAGCAACATTACTATTTAATTTTGAGTGGCAAGATATCAGTCGCACATCACCTCATAAGAACAATAGTATATAAACAAATGCTGAAAAAAATTATTCTGTATCCATTTGAGTATGTCTCTCATTTTGCTTTTCAGTTCATCCTGTGTCTGTACACCTGTCTGTCTGTCTGTCTGTCAGTGATGAGCTGATGGGTGTATTGCTGGTCCTGGTGGGGGGGCGTGTGATTGGTACAGCTCTGAGCAGTGGCCTCCGCCGGCTGGCCAGGAGGTAGGCCCTGCGTGGCAGAACAGGCTGGCCATTGGCTGGCATAAGGAGACCCTCACGCCGGCCCGTTTACAGCTGGCTCTGAGGACGCAGCACTCTGGTCCGGTCTGGGAAGAAAAGTAGAGATGAGGGTCAGTTTCAAGACAGACAAAAATAAAACACGTCTTAACCTCAAGATTCAACTCTCGCAAAGACTTACTTGGCCTCCTCAACGGCTGACATCTCCTCTAGAGGACCATTGGGAAGCTCCACAGTGGACCGACATTTCTCACTGCTTAGAAGACACACGGGAGGAGAGGAGAGGAGAGAGAAAGTTCACTGAATACAGGATTTCTGCAGCTAAGACCATTACAAATGCAATTTAAGAACTATTTTATGTCCATACTGGCGAGGACAAGTATGAAGAATATGAAGGAAAATGGGTTCCATGTCTGTTTCGTTTTGTCGTCGTTAACAGCATGATTGAATTTCCCAAAAACACATTTAGACATCCTGTGAATAACTAGCCTAGAACCATATGAACATGACTATTGATCATGATCTAATGGAAACCACTGATGGTACAATGTAAGATACAGTCGGATATCGCCGTACAATATGACCAAAATTTCATATCCTGATGACGATATATACCACGATATAGCACAAGTTCTGTAAATTCTACAAATAGTTTATATAAAATAGTCAAATGGAATTCACATTATATTTTGAATTATATACTCAACAAATAAGAAAGGTACTTACTCATATTTGATTATTTTTCTCTTTTATTTAGAACCTTTGTGCAAATTTTCAATTAAGCATGCACCAAATATATTATTATCTCAGTGTCTCCCACATAAGACTTTAGTTGCACAGGTCACCCAGGTATTTTAACATCCAGTAACCCATTTAAGCATTTTGCAGAGAAACGCATAGCAAAGAAAAGCGTTCTCTGGTACTCGGAGACAGTGGATATTTATATAAGCATGGACCAGGTGAAGCATTTGGTACCACGCTGGTTTCACATTTGGTTTCCACAGACTCATTAACAACAAGCGTCCTCCATACGAGGCTCACCTGATTGTGTGACAACAGAATGTTGGGTGAAAAATCCAAAACGTTTTTTTGGGGCTACTTTATAAAACAAACTGCTGGAGAGACAGAGAAACAGAAAGAGGCGGGGCGAGCCAGTGTGTGCGGAGCAGAGTTGCTGGTGTGCGTGTGTGGATGGGGGAGAGAGAAAGCAAGGTGACCCGTAGTTTGAGAGTAAATGCTAGAGAAACACTTGCTTTGCATTGCATCCCTGCCTCATCAACCCCTTCAGAGCGCATATTTGTCTCATGAAAAGAGAAACCTACTTCGTCTACAGACCCAATACCTGGACCAATTACAGAACAGAACAGTACATACTGCCATGTCGACAGCTCGGCTGTAGGTGCTGCATGTGTTTTTGTGGACTAAGCCTATGCTTATATGAGGAGCCTGGAATAAAAAGACTTATGTGTTCAATTATAATTAATCTATATTATATATTCATTATTATTAATTTAAATAATGCATTATAAATATTATAAAACTTGTTAATAGTTGGGTTTTTTAATACTGAACGTCATAAAAAAAAGGCTATTAAGTGTCAAGAGTTATAATTGGCCAGCTGGCATGTGTGCAAAAATCTAGCCAATCAGATGGTTGGATTTTAATTAGATTTTTAAGTAAAAAATATAATAACCAATTTCTAATCACATACTAAACTTATCAATTGATAATAAATAAATAAATAAATAAATATTCTATTTTAAGGCTATAGTTATTTCGGTGGCGTGTTTCAAACTCCATACTAATGGCAGAGTATAATGATATGGTGATATGATGCTAGAGCTATTTGCTCTAAATGGACATCTATGTTCCTTCATAACTATATCTGATTTTGGAACAGCATTTTACTACAGCTATAAAATTCCACACATTTCAGGGTCAAAAATATCATAACTGAACATTTCCATGAGTAGTGCTGAATGGTGCAGAGACTGTGTGTGCACATGTTTTTTTCTCAGGTAAGTGGTGTGTGTATGCTGTGTCTGACCCTGTTTTGGGACAGCAGGCTGCGGCTGAGCTGTTGTAGCCCGTTCTCTCCGAATCCACACACTCCACTACTGAGTATTTCTCTGAGGAACTCTTCTCTTCGTCACTGGAACACACAGGTACACACATAAATATACATTAATACCGTATGAGGTGATCATACCAACCACTTTCCCCACAGAAATACACAGAACAGTGAGATGTGAACAGTGATGCATGCTGAACTGACTGACAGAGCACACAGTAAAACAAAGGATGGAGGTGTTGAAATGGCGAACTGTCAAACAGTATGTAGGAAAAGCATCAAAATGTACAGCAAATGGAGAAAGTCAACTGTTTTAGTTGTTTAGCTACAATACTCCATTTACTTTGTAGCTACAGAGCCAGCAAACAGCAGGCAGGCCTACAAACTGATTCAGACACTGATTGGACCAAAATTGATTGTGTCAGCCGTCAGTCTTGCTTCGTCTCAGAGAACCACCAATAATCTTGATGAGGCCTCAATCAAAGCAAAACACCCACAAACATCCAAATGTAATCCAACATTTGAAGTGCTACGTGACAATTATTTAGCACAAGCCGAATAATCTCTGGGGATTGTTGTTGCAAGATTTTCATTTCAAACGCAATAGCATTCATACAGGTATCTTCATGCTTGCTTAAAAGTAGTCATTTTTCCTCTCTTTTTAAAAATCTGTAATGCCTCTTAATGTACAAAAACAATCACAGCAACTCTTTCAAATGAAAAGTGAAACTTCATGGTAGTAGAAGGTCATTGCTACTGTATTATGAAAACGTTCAATGCTAGAATATGCCTGGTTGCTACTCCTTTGACCTTAAGACTTTGAATGTTATACATTTCTGTTACAAAGATTTTATGTTTTCTCTGACATTAGGTCAGTTTTAACACCCTGGTCCCCAAGAAAAAAAATATTAAAGCTCCCCTCCCGTCAGAAATCAGTGTTTCTTCTTGTCCCTACAGTGTGCTGTTTGAATGCTGTCTGTCAGTTTGACAATAGAAGGATGTTTTCACATTCATCAGCTGAAAGTGGAAAGTTTCTCTGTGCTCATTGAAAATCTGACAACAAATAGTTTGGAAGTCAGTCCTGGTCCAGTATGCAACTTGTACAGTGTGATGTAGAAACTTGAAGCCACCAGTGCACATCCACTGAGAATGGACTTTACAGTGAAGTAAGAGACATCTTGTGTCCAGCAGCAAAAAACTTTAGAAATCAACAATGTTTGCATTTTCAGAGATTCTGGAATTCTTAATGAGGTAGGAGGAGGAGATTACCTTTTAAGGATTTTAGTGTAAAAATCTTTTTGTGGGAAAAAAACCCAAAACATATCAGACACATTAATACATGTCTGGCGGGGATCTTTAATTTTAGCTAGAGCCAGTTTCTGTCGTAACAGAACATAAAAGCCAAAATTGTTTGAAGAAAAAGTGTCTCCATCACAGTTTGTGCACTTTATTTAACAAAAAGGTCAAGGTAAAGTAAATCTTTAATAAAGTAATATTGATATGATGCAATTTTTACAATTAAATAAAAGCTTTGTTTTTCCTGTCATAATATGAGAAATTTGTGTCTCATTCAAAATACAGAAGTTGAATTTATGGCAAAGCATTTTCTTTGTACTCAATATTAAATGTTTTGTGATTTGATTCATATTTATAGCAATCTACAAGTAATAATGTATCCATCTTTCTGTTTGGAGATAAGTGTGATTAGATTGTGGTTTTATGTAAGTGTACAGAAGAGGCCAAGCATTAGCTGTTCTACTGCTGCTGCGCAGAACTGTAATGAATGGACTGTTAAATGATGAAAGATATCCGTCATCAATTATATTAACTACTATGCAAACTGGAGGTCATAGCATATTGTAGCATTATCATTTGATTTCATTATGCGATCACAAGTGTGTTCAGTCAGAACCACATGCCTCCATTCAGGCAGGGCTGACTAATGTGTAAATGCATGATTTACATCAATTGTGCTTGTACTATCAAGACACCAACACGCATCAGGTATGGTGACTGCTTGCATATTAGAATTTATTAGGCAGTTACACCTTTCATTGTGCCATTTGTGTCATTTCAAATAATGGTCTAAAGCCATTAGATAATTTAATAAACTAAAAAAACTGTACTTAGACAACACCTTTGGTAGAAACACATGCAGAATGGAGGTAATGAAATAAACAAACAAAGGAGCTGAAACCAAAGAAGAAGATCAAAATTGGGAAAGAAAAGTTGGTGGTTGACGTGACAACAAGACTACATCACGGCTGCAAGCTGATCTCTGATTGGCTGTACATACCGATAAGATTTCAACACTCTGAAGAAGACCACACCCACAACGCACAGCAAGAGAGAGAGGAGGGGAAGCTCAGGTTGTAAGTGTCGCTCAGTTCATCAGACAGTTGTTAATTACTCAGACAGACAATATAATGCAGCATCAACAGGGGGACAGAAGGACAAAGGACAACCAACTTTAAAAACCTGCGAATTTAGGAGAAATGTATGAAACAATCACTCCTTTTGAAGACTAAAAGGTGGCTGTAAGGGAATCCGTGTATCATTCGTTCAATTAATGAATTTATGGATTACAAAATATAAGCAGTTATTTGTTTTTTGTGTTGTATTCATAAATGAATAACAAATTCACCAATTCTTGAATTTTCCGATTTTGGATTCTATATTGAAAAAAATAACTAATGGTACACGGATTTAACAAGTAGTAGCGTGGAGGCTACAGTCAGCTTGAATTCATGTTTCTGGTAACCACCAAAAGTTATTAGACAGTGAAAGAATGAGCACAAAATGTCAGACAAATGAACCAATCTAAGGGCCATATTTTTATGTCACAGCAAACAAGCACTCATCCTGACCTACTGTAGAAACTGGTTTTGCATGCCTGTGTGGTATTTTGTTGCCCTGAGCTCACGGTGCACAGGTAACAGGAGAGGAACAAACAGGTGAAAAGTTCATTCACATGGAGCACGACAAAGCGGGCTGTTGGTATCTTGGTGGAAATTGGGTCTTTGGATAAATACTTGCAGCAAATGTGCAGCAATAATTTAAATTTAAAACTCCAACTTGTAGATGTGTTTGAATGGCCGGGGACCTGTCTTGGATTTGGTGTTAAATTTAACAGTACCTACAGGAACAGTGAGCGAGTGATGAGGGCACTCATAAGAAAAAAGATGTGACAACACTAATGAGACACATCCTGACAAGTTGCCTCTTTGCCAAAGACACCAGGAATGTAAGAGTATTCCAGTGCTTCTCCTTTAGCATTCAGCTACTAATGTCGTTTAGCACTAAGAGTTATGTAGTGTAGTTGTGGGTGTGTTTGGCGAACCTCTTGAAGACAGCAGTCTCAGTCTTGGCGTCAACAGTGAGACTGACAGTTTCTTTCATGGAGCCATTGATGACTGTCTCTGTGATACTGCGCTGCTCACAACAGGCCTTTTCCTCCTCTGCTTTAGATCTCCCACAATCCTTAGGTGAGGTGGTGGAGGGAGAAGCAACACTGGTGCCCAGCCAGCCATCGCAATCTGGGGGGGGGGGGTGTTAAGAAAGGCGGCAAAAGTGTCAGATGTGACCACCAATCATTTAAGCTGTTTCAACACTTGTATGTATATTCACTCACTCATTCAATGTGATTTTGGACTGTGCAAATGTTAGAGGGGTGTGTGTGTGTGTGTGTGTGTGTGTGTGTGCGCATGCATCTAACCTTCAGGCTGCATGGGTGCATTGACCCCCAGAGGGTCCATTGTCTCTATGCTGGTTTCCATAGCAACAGGAGAGTTGCACCTCAGAGGGTCTTTTGGGCTGAAAGACAGCAATTCTTTTTATGAAGCACTCTGTCGGACTCAAAGACAAGGAAAGAGAAAAAAGAAAGTGAGCCAGAGTCTGTCAGGATGTCCTACCTGACAGGGGTGAAGTTGGAGAAATCAGCCCAGCCTGTTTCAGAGTTGGAGGCTGAAGCAGGAGAGGCACTCCATCCTGCCTCAGGGAGAACTTCTGTGGAAGAGGAGGAGGAGGAGGAGGACAAAGGAGAGGAGGCAACAGGGTTGTTGGGGCTTGAGGTCGGAGCTGTGGATGTACCTGTGTCCATGGGGATGTCATCAAAGTTGGCCGTCCATACTGGCCCTAAAGAATAATGATTAAAAAAATAAATGCACAAAATTAGTCAGAAAGTTCTCTTTCACAAAAAAACACTGAACGATTTCTAATACTGGCCATTCCTACTTGTGGACAGAAAGACATATCCTTATTCCTTCCATAACCCTCACCATCAAGCACTACATGACCTACAAACCTTAACTACACTAAATAAACCTAATCATGACTGATGAGTCCAAAACCCACATCCACTAACCCTAACCCAGCTGGCTGAATCTTATTCTATTTTGAATCCTAAACCAAGTCAGACAGGCAATGGGTCCATTTGTTACTGTTCTGTCTTTGTGTGATACGCAGTGCTCGAGCACACCAACCTGCGTCGACTTCCATTCTGTCATCGGTGCTGGGGTTGGAAGCTTCAAACGGATCTCTCTTCACATCCTCTTCCTCTGAGTCCGTGCTTTCCTCACTGTCTGTGCTGCCTGAGCTCCTGGGATGGATACAGATCAACAATTATTTCCAATCTGTGTCTGAGTTCATCCTTTCTTTATACTGAGAAACGCAATAAATGTGGAGCTACAGAGTCCACACTCATACAGTGGCTGTCCCGAATCAATTTTAGCTTGTGCTGATCGATCATCAAGCAGAAAGTTAGACAATGACTATGTCAATCACTCATTTAACTTATTAAGTTTGGTTTTAATTTGCAATGAGCAAAGAAGAAATGCTTAGGTCATGATGCTAGTTAAAGTTTCACAAATGTGAGAAGTGTTTAACTTTTTCTATAGACAAATCTGTAACTGATAAATCAAAACGATGTATTAAAACAATAGGGCCAAAAATAAACACCCAAGCACCAGATGTTGGAATAATAATCTGGGGTCACAGGCCAGGTGACCGGTAAATAATTTGGAATCACAATTTGAAAAAGGGACAAGTTTACGTCATACATAAAGACAGCTGCCCCTAATATTTTCTATATATAACCCCCACACAGACGCCCATAGATGCGCTGCCCCGTGTCACTTCACACCGCTGTACTATTTCCAGTATCACTGGCCATGAAATTATAAATTTTAATGACAAAAAAAGAAGCCATGGCTCTTGAGATTGGCTCTTCAGAGTGGCTCTTCAGAGAAGACCTTGGGCAGTAATAGCAAAGGATAATTTGTCAATAATGCAGATGTGCTGTTACCACAAGCCTGAGAGGGTGCGATTGACACACAGCAACGCAATGCTTTCTACCTGCACTAGGGGTGGCACTTGATGCACACCTTTATGTGACCCTCACTGTCAAGCGTAGCCATCATGACGTCAGTCAATCCAATCAAAGCAGCTTACTATTATTTGGTGGTTTCTATACATTGTAGGTTTTTCCCATAAGAAACATCTGTGTTACATGTTATTAGAGACGTGGGTGTTGTTGGGCCACCGAAAATAGAACAGGAAGAGAAAAGTCACGGAGGTCTGTAGTGTTTGCGAGAGGTGGGGTCTGAAGGACACAGAAGCCCTGGGATCCTGTTCAAAAGGCTCAGAAAGGCTTAAAACGTCATTATTTTTAGTCAAATGCAGGATGCAGTTTTATGGTCAGTAAAACATTTTTGGCTGGTAAATTTTTCAGACGAGAAGGATGATGACTTCAATATTAAAAAAAAAAAAAAAAAAAAACCACAATAGAACTTTATTCAGTATGAAAAACCTCTAAATCTGTGTGTGTTTACTAGACCTGGGGCGTCTCTGTGCCTCTGGTGCGAAGGTGACATCTTTTTCATCCCAGATGTCCTCCTCATCTGAACCAGCATCTTCAAACTGCTGGATTTTCTCCTTACAGCGTGCCTCAAACAAAGCTATATTTGCCTGGGGAAAACACACGCACCACACACACTTACAAAAACACTGTTTACATCTACAGTACATGCTATACATACAAACTAGGGTTGGATCCTGCAGAACAAAAGCCACTCAGCCGTGAAGCAGACATTAAGATGTATACCTCCAGTATCATAGCACGACAGTTTTGATATACAGTGTATATGGATATATGTATATAAAATCAGGTTTGGGGTTTGACATTTGTGCTTTGCTCCAAGCCTGTGGTTTTATTTCATCATGATGAATTCTCATATAGTAGTTAGTGCCATACATTTGTTGTAGGAAGTATTGTGGTATTGGCTTCTAAATGAATGTCAACAGTGACATCAGGAAATATAATACATGCCATTTTAATAATACATTTTCATTTGTTTCATGAGAATATTTCCCCTCCTTCATTGACTATGTATGAATTAGAGATTAATAATCAAAGTACTTACACTTTCATTTGTATTCAGTGAAAAATTGATGTCTGATATTCTATCAAAGGGAATACTGCAATGTTAAAGAGAACAGAGTTTAGTTTAGTTACGGTCGTTAGACATCCACATATATGGCAACACACGGGCAGACAGGCTCTAGCACACAGCTGTGACACTACATGTTTAACACTGCAGGGAAAACTAAAACCTATTCTCTCCCCATGCCAGATGATAACATAGATAACAAGATAGTGCATACGTTCTTTACGTGCATATTTTGTGTTTTAAACTGGTCAAAGAAAAGTAAAGAATCACACATAGGCCCCCTGTTTACTAGTATCAGACACTCATCATATGCAAAGGAAAAACTTTCACAGTCAGAGAAAGAAAAACTTGTGCATCCTGGTCATTTTATTTTTGGTTTATAAAACTTCATATCCTGCCATGCTGTTATAGTGTGTTTTGTGTACAAGGAAAGTACGATCTTTTGACTTAAAAGATGGGGTTCAAACGGGGGGATCCTTGACCAATGATCTGAATCACCAGTGTTAGGAACGGTATAGAAAGTACAACGGTATGACTTTTGACTATACGATGCTGACTGGTAGAGCGTTGTTTTTCAAATACACACTTCACAGGAAGTAACTCAAAGTTTAGTTCAAATAGATAAGAATTAAATAAACCAGCAGAGTACCTATAGTTTGTTTTCTTCAGTGAGCCGCTTTACAAAATGCTGAGTTTGTTTTGGGTGCAGGGACTTCACGCCCAGGTGTTCTGACTTAACTTAAATCTGCTAACCAAAGATGATGTGTAATTTTAGACTATATAATAACTTTCTGAACCGTCTCTGAGCCCACTTTACTCTCTATTCAGCAGTGGGCCGATGTAACAGTTCTGCTGGAAAGTAAAACTGACATGGCCTACAGCCACAGAATGTGCCATGCTTCCAGTTTTTGTATCTCTTAGCGTGTTCATGCACACTGACTTCCATAATATTGCAGAAAACAACAATCTGCTAATTAGGTTGAATGACAGGGGGTGCAAGTGGCGGTAATATAAGAAATATTATATCAGCTCAAACAAAAACACATTCTTTTTGCAGAATAAATATGGACTACATGAATTATGTCCCAGAAATACAGTTAAGACCTTATTGGTAATCGGTGATCGACTCTTCGGCTGACAGAGCTGGTAGCAGCCATGCCTTATAGGCTCTGTGGTGCTGTAGGATTTAGTAACTGAATTATGACGAGGAGACGCAAGTTTTATTCCTTTGACTGTGCGGAAATGTGATGCTCACATCAAAAATGATGACCAAAGCAGTTAAACAAGTCTTACAGGTAAAACCTGAGACTTGACATTATAGGTTAAGGGGCAGCACTTGTTGTCTGCGCAAGCAGTTTCTCTCTGCATCCAGTTTTTGCTCTGAGGTAGGCTAAAACAATCCCGGGCATACGTCAGAACTGGAAACCCTTTTATTAAATTTGTCATCTGACACTAGTTAACAACTTCTGTTTTCCTTTTAATGCAAACAGTTAAGCAATTTTGATTGGCACTAGTCATTCAAGACAGCTACAGCAGCCTCAGTCTTTCCAGTGGAAAACTAGTGAGCAAGGCTGCAATTAACTAATAAACAGCACTACAATAGGCAATCAAGACCGACATTAAGAGTACATTTTAAGGCTACACATGTACCAAAAATCACATCAGCTCGTACCAGCCTACAAAGCCCAAACACTGGGCTTAGGACACTATTCCTACTCCCCACTAATCAGAATTTGGGGGGAAAAAAACAACACAGCACATATTTTCAGTAAAGACAGTAAATGTATCCCAAATTACTCTTCACCTAATCCCACTTTATCTTCCAACGTGTGCATTCATGATAACTGGCAAATATCTGACTTGTATAGAATGCATTATTTTTAAAGCTCTGTAGGGGTGCAGATGGTGTGTGATTTGTACAGGTTTTGGGGAACTAAAGTCCTCTCCTTCTAAAGACTAAGTCAGATACGTTCCAGGCATCTTGACTGCACAGATGGGAAGACCACCAGACAGACCTTAGTCTTGACTAGAATGGGAGAATTATCAGGTCCACCAATACAACAGTTCTGTAAATAACTCACTTTAACCTTACAGTTAAATTTTTCCAAAGAAGTTTGTCATTGAATTTGTCATCCTCATTTTCCCCCAAAGCTGGCATCAGACAGTATCATGTAGATTAGACAGAGAATTCCAGACAGCAGGAAATGCTGCTGTGTGTTCAATTAACATACACACTTTTTGCCTCTGTCGGATTAAAGAAAAGCTTGTGTATGTGCTGCCTAGATGCTGTTTGTTTTTGGATCTTTACCTATGTTGTTTATTGTTGCCAGTCATTATTACTAGTAATCAGTATTGAGTGGAAGTATTTTTAGTAGAATAGGACCTCCAGACTTCCCATGTTTATAAATGTTTTCATGCATCTTAATCTATCGGAGATGTACTGTATGTAGATAACTATTTTTTCTTTTGAATTGCTCTTTAATAAAATTTTGCAAGAGTTAATGGATTCTGAACGTTTGTATTGGTGTATTGGTTATTTCACCCAGCCCACAAAAAATCTTGGATTTTGCACAGTCTGATAACGCTACTAAACCACAAGCAAAGAGTTTGTGGGGTGAAGCAGACATTTTAAATTACTGGTCAGCTACAAGCTCTCCCCCCCAGCCCCACAGCCTTTGCAGAAGATTATAACCCCAAAACCAGCTTTCCATAAGGAATGTACAAAGGGACAGCACACAACAACACAAAAGCTGGATATGGTTTCTTCTCTTTAAACCATATTTTGTATTCATTATGGCAGCCATATCAAAAAGCACATAAGGCTTTTTGGAAGAAATGGCATTAGTTTTAAGGCTATAGCAAAAAGGTTTTTGCAATAACCATTTAATAATTACAGCAATTGATACAAATTTATTCATCATCATTAGAATGTTTGGATTTATCAAAAATTAAGCTTTACAACATTTAGTGGCATTCAGATTTTAATGTCAACATGAAAGTTTGGAATAAGACTCAAAATATGACATGCCATAGTAATGGGGCAGAGATTGAAGCACTTAAAACCAGCTTTGTAATGTCCTTGGTGCCCGATCCCTTCAGTGTTACACAGTAATATTTAGACAGCAAATCCAGTCATGCAGGATGAGTACTCACTCCACAACATCGTCCTGATCAGCAAACTCTTCGTCATTGAAGCCGAACTGCTCAATAAAATTGGACGTCATTTGTTGCATCTGATAATCAGAAAAGGCCTGGCAAAACCCAGGACCAACGATAATGATATAGTCTTGGCTCTACACAAAGCTGGTAATTACTTGCAGTACAGAAAATAGCAAATGCATATACTGATTTGTAAAAACAAAAACTGTATAACATGTAGGCTAGACAGGTTAATAGCTAAAAAAAAAAAAAAAAAAGCACATGCATTTTACAGTCAGATGCCAAAATGCTTTAACATTAGTTAAAAATTCTAAAGTTCATTAAATTCTTTCAATGAACTGAAAAGTTTCCTGAGTAACATTAGTAGTTAATTAAATCAATTCAACCATAGTAGAGAGATGTTGCTGACTGTTACTGTGCATGACCCATAGTCACAAACAAATGTAAAGATTAAAAGCCTGTTCACAGAGACATGTAGCTTTTGAACTCAACAAGGTGAAATATAGTTCAGCTTTTGAGGATATGCGTTGCATATGGTTGTTAACAACAAGCAACCAATGACAAGGGCTCCGGGAAAGCACGTCTGTATTCCCAGTGGTGATTTTGTTCATTGACAAAAGATGTTGAATGCATCATCACCCAGAGAATTTAAGTTTTGTATCAATCAACTCGTGAAGCATGTATAAATCCGTCATTGGCAGACTTCATATTTACACAGAAAGACTTTTATTGTATTGCTCTTTGGAGCTGCAGTTTCCAAATCATTTGCACTTATTGTTAGTTAGGCAAAGGTAGGTGTGCTCCAATAGTAGATCAAGGCATCTGTTTGTAATCATGATTGAGGTATTTTTGGGGGCTCTATAAAATAAATATTGTCTACATTTACTGCTTAGAGGATTTACCTCCAACAGATATCCATGTATATCCAAAGAGCTTCTGTTTAAAACACAATGAACATTTGTAGATCTGCTACTAACTGTGTGGCTATGGGCCTGCTTTGTGATCATGTATGCATTTGTCTGTGTATGTGTGTTTAGTTCTTACTTGTTGTAGAGAGGAGTCCTGGTGAAAGCCACTGTCTTTAAAATCCACCTCATCGTCACTGGGAGAATGGATGTGGTGTGTATTCACCTAAAGAAAATTTGTTTTAGCAAAAAGGGTCAGCCTTTGAGAAACTAGCACTACCACCTCACCATTGTGCGCCTGTGCAAACTAGTCAAGTAGCAGTTTACAACTATGTCTATCCGGACTCGTATGTATGATTACAACTAAATATTTCCCAGTGGAAAACATGCTGTCTTCATAGACTTATCTTCACAGAGGAATGATGGAGAGCTCCATCACATGATGTAACAACATCTGACGCTCAGTCAAAATGCTAAAACTTAGATGCTTCACACATATCTTCAATCCAGAAGCACAGAAGATCTATACAATAGGAATGCGAGAACCGGTTCCATATTGAGAGTCATATGCCTCCAACCTTATCAATTCTATTATCTATATTGTTGATGCTGGCATTTTTCTCTCCCAGTTGCACACTGCAAAACAATGACGTCAAACTAGTGTGCCTGTGTTTCTGGAAACAGTGTCATGGTGGAGAGCACAAAAGGTCCATAGGGTGGCCTTAATTCATGAAGAAACTCAAACTACTACAACTGTACTCTACACTGTGTTCAGACTGAGAGATAATAAACCAGTTGCGTTGATGCAGGATCGATGAAACAAAAGAATTCAAAATACATAAGTGGCTGTAATTTGATAATCTGAGTAATATACCGATATATGTCGGGGCCGATTTATCGTGCAACCCTACTATACAATCACCACAGTTTTACAGTGGGCACCCAAGATTAGTGTCACCAATTCAGTAACCAACTGTGAAATATGATCACAATCTTCAATTCTGTTTCTGAGTTATAATGTTGAACGAAAAAAAAAAAAAAAAAAAGATGTCAGAACACAAAAAAATATTAAATTGTATATTTGCTGAAAATGTACAGAGCAGTCCATGAGTAATTAAGACTTTTTCATTTTACTAATTAAGACTGTGATGAGTTTGATCAAATATCAAATTGTGCTGAAATACAGAGCAAACACAATTTTTAAAAAAAAATAGCTAAATAACTGCACTGTACACCTAACATGTATAGTGAAATAAATATTTAAGCTCGAGATCAGTGTTAATGTTCATGTGGTTACTCACCAGGTCAACAGTATTTCTCTTGTTTGTGTCAGCCAGCTGCCCAGAAATAAAGGCCTCCCATTTCTCTATGTCCTCTGCTGGAAGCTCTGTGTTACACATGATTATCAAGTCACACACATCATCCTCTATCCCCACATACTGTACAATGTACAAAACTGTTTCTCTCAAGAAACACGGTGCAGCAAGACATTTCCACACCTCTATCAGGTCATGAGTTACTTTGGAACTCAGAGTTAAGTGATGCCACAGAAGATTTCTACTGAGTTACCACCACCGCCACCAATATGAGAGCTTCACACAAAACACAGTATAGAGTCAATAGTCTGAAGCTGAAAGAATATTGAATACAGAGATAAATATAGCCCTCTGAAAGATGCAATCTCTTACCAGAGATGAGCTGTTGTATTTGTGGTCCATTAGGGCCTTTGTCACAGTTATGAACTATAGAGTTGGCTATTCTGGTGAGGTGACCCATGTAGCCTCGTCGCCGACCACCTTCCACCCTAAAACAAACACAAACAGCCAAAGCAATAAATCATTAAAATTATGAGTCATTTCCACTAAAGCCTAGCAGTAAAGATTATTATTATTATTGTATGGTGCAAAGAACTTTTGGTTTTGCTGTATTATTTTCTACTCTTCTACAGCAAATGGCAACACAATAAGAAACAAAGTTACTTGTTGTCTCTTTAGCAGCAGAGCAGAATACTCACTGTTCTTTCTCATTGGAGCTCCAGGCATCCATGATTCTCTGTATAAACTGGCACTTTTGAAACAGCTGGTGGAGAAAAATAGGAAATTAAAACACAACAAATTAAGTGTGCCTACGATGTAGTGCATACTATATTATTGATAAACCTTCAATAACTGCCAGTAAAAGCCATGGAAACAGATTATGCCAGGTTATTCAGACTACTTGTGGAAATGTGTTGCAGTATTTACATAACTCACATGAGGGTTATTGTCTATCACTGCATTTGTCCAACTATAAACAAATACAACTCAGCAGCATTACCAACATTATTGTGTTTACATGGAACATTTGGTTCAGTTGGCATTGTTTACCTATGTAACAGACAACTTTAGTTTGCTAAATGTAGCAAACTGATGTAAATATAAATTTTTCTCTAGTATTGCAATCTTACATGTTTGATGAGGATGCTCTCCCTTGCATGTTCTTGATCTGTGTCTGGCTGGGTATCAGTGGGGGCAGGGGGCATAGCCAGAATCATGGCTGTGCAAATCTCCACCTGAATGTGGAGGAAGTTGTTCCAGATGTATTTGAAATACATATCCTGTGAAGAAAAACAAATAGAGACATTATTAAATGATTCAGATTCTTGCTTTAACAGGATGCTAAAGAATAATTCAGTTATTATGGGAAGGTTCTTGGGACTCTGTTTGTGTATGTTCTTCCTGTCCATTAAAGTAACTTAATATTAGTTAAATTCTAACCTGTCAGCCTCTATTGGAGAAATTAGATTTTACTGTACTAGCTTGGGCTAAAAAAGGAAGCAAAGTGAAAAACATCTGTGAAAATAGCCCAAAATACAGATAGTACTCACTAGTATGACTCCCAGTGTATTGAGGTTAATAAGTTCTGTGTTGATGCTGTGTGTGTTGCTCTGCAACAGGCTGGCTACCAGTCTGACCACATTGAGCCTGGTGTTGCCCACAGGAGGGTCTAGCACCCCCCACGTCGTCTTCATCACATTCCTCTGTTGGTGGAGAAAGAATGAATGAGTGATTATAGCATTATAGTATGTTGTGACCCTTGTCAGGCACTGATTCTGTGACTGGACCATCAGTGGCTTTTACCTTTGGGGGTTCCAAAAGCAGCTGGTGAAAGTCTTTGAGTCTGGGTCTCACAGCTTCCAGGATGCTGTGGTTGACTGAGAATGAAGGGTGGGACATCCCAGGGGGGCACTCCATATGACCCTCGAACCTACAACATGGAAAGACAACCCAAGTCTTTTGTACTGTGCCTTAAGTCACAGACAGGGAAAATAATTATGGGTTAGGAATCTGATATTGACGCATAAATAAACAGTGTTTTCCCTAATCTGCCACCAGAGCAGTAGGAACATTTATGGTTAAAATGGGCCATTTTATTCAAAAACATGTGAATTTGGATGTATATATTGATTCTGACTTGAAAGTATGAACGTTGAAGCACAGAATCAGAGCCACAGAAAATACCTTCATCACAGCAGTCATTTTGACATAAAACAGTCATAAACACAAGTGATACTAATTAACCCTTTAGGCGCCAGGTTTTATTTTTAAAAATACTAGATTTTGACATCTAGATTTCAGGAGGCTCTGGCTTGAAAGTGGTTTGAGATAGAGACAAAGTGTAAATGAGACAAATATTGAGAATGACCTAAAGTTTATCTAGGGAGTAAATTTCCCCAACTAATTGGCATATTATGACATCATATGGCAACGGCCATATTGGATTATATAATTTCCATGAAATACCTGATATTTTGAAAGAGAGTTGAACTTACTTCATCAGATTCACCCCCCTCCATCCATTTGTTATGCTGTCCACATATCAAATGAACAGGTAAAAGTAAATTGTAAGCCAACAGTCGTAAACTAGAACTATTACCACATCACAAAGCTCATGTAAACAGTAGGCGTTTTTTATGATTTTTTTACCCACCACCATTGGAGGACACTTTCTTTTCTTTTTTTATTCTCTTCTTCATTATCATTATGTGCCCATCTATCCAGATAAAAGCTTGTAGTATTTGTAGAGTGTGGAACCTCTCATTGCAAGGCACAGTACTGAGACAATATGAACAATATTGAGACCCCCCCACATAGCCTAACAAATGGACAGGCACACCACTGCCGCATCGGATGGCTGCGCCACTGCCCCGCATGGACGCACTGTGGCCGGTGCGGTAGAAAGATTGAACACTAAAGCAGCGCTATTCTCACCATCCCCGCTACTTCTACCACATCCATTAGCTCCCTTACTGATACTACGAGTTTGTGTAGTAATCCCACCTATGTTGGGCAAAGGGTCGTGTGTTTGTGCTTGTGTGTCTTCCTCGCTCTGCCCGGCAGCGCCGGTGCAAAGACGCACCGTGACTTGCACGCTCACTAATCGACCAGCCGTCATCTCCCAAAGGTAGATTTTCCCTTCAGAATCAGAGTCAGCAAATAGGAGACCCATCACTTCCCTAAGCGTCAACTTTTCGCTTGCCATTTTCGTTTATTTCATCTCAATAACTCCTAAATCAGCATAAATAGCGCCCTGGCACACTATTTCCGGTTTCTCACCCAACAGTTTGGACGGGACTTCCTCGAACATTTTGCATTGAAACATGACGTTTTTCTGAGCTAAGGTCTAAGTACAGGATGTCTGCCAACTAGTGGAGGGGAGTATGAACGACATATAACACTCTATTAGGAGAAAACAGCTGTTTGATTCAGCACCGCGTCCTGTCGCAATTTTGCGACTTTGGCACTTAAAGGGTTACGGTCCCACTGCATTGGTAACACCTGTTTCACCCTACTATTTTATGTAAAAAAAAAAAATTATTGTCTGTTTTTGATGGATGGTTTCAGCAATCAATCTCATTAGTAATTGTAATTTTAGGGGTTCTCACCATCTGGATAAACTGTTGGGCAACCCATTTGATCTGACTGCTTATGTTTGCTTCATGTTCATCGTCATCGTCTCTCTCCCTCTCTCTCTCCCTCTCTCTCTCCCTCTCTCTCTCCCTCCCTCTCTCTCCCTCCCTCTCTCTCTCCCTCCCTCTCTCCCCTCCCTCTCTCCCTCTCCCTCTCTCCCTCTCTCCAACTGGTCGAGACAGACGACCACCCACCTAGAGCCGAAGGATCTGTCCTAGGTTTCTGCCTTTTAACAGGCAGTTTTTCCTTGCCCTTGTTGCCAAGGTCTTGCTCATGGTGGTACTGTTGGGTCTCTGTAATTAATGTTATAAAGAGTTCGGTCTAGACCTGCTCTATTTGAAAAGTGTCCTGAGATAACTTCTGTTATGAAATGGCGCTATACAAATAAAATTGAATTGAATGGTGTTTCTGTCAGACTGTTTTAGCATTGTTGCTCTTTTCACAGCTCTCAGAAATGAGTAGAATTAGTAGAATACTTATCAATGAAAATGAAACTATGAAAATAAGATACTAACTGTTTTTAACCACAAGGATGAACAATTTACTGTAAAATCTGTGACTTACTAACTGTGCGCTAACGTGTCCTCATTTCACATTCTCCCACAATCTCATACTGTGTATCCAGTGTCAAATTAAAATATTAAGAGTGGCAGGACATACGCTGGTCTCCTTGTCTCAAACAATGTGAGGAGGATCTGGATAACACTGACGATTGCAGATTCATTCTTCTCTTTGTCGAAGATGTTAGACAGCAGCTGCTCCACCGTCTCCTGCCTGAGGAGGACAGACATGAAGATGAAGGGAAAGCAGGCTTTAAAGACATTTGCCAGATGTGCAGGGCAGAGATCATTTTCAGTAGCCTACTAATGAATGACAATAACCACTGTTAGATAAATAAAAAAAACAAACAAAAGAAAAAATGTGTGCTCCTATCGCTGGGAGCAGTATCTACAGGTACCGATCACTGGGTCTGCTTGAAGCCTTCAGTATATCATGTAGCCTTTTTATTATATTTATATAATTATATTATTTATATTTATTATTTATATTATATATTTATTTTACCAGTCTTAACATTGTTTAAGACTGGTAATGGACCTGTACTTGTCTTCCAACCACTCAAAGCGCTTTTACACTACATGCCACATTCACCCTTTCACACACATTCACTCAGTGATGGCAAAGCTCATCAAACAGAAACTAACTCATTCACACACATTCACAGCATCTGGAGCAATTTGGGATTTTTGCTCAGCGATATTTCGACATGTGGCAGGAGGAGCCGAGGATCGAACCAACAGATTAGAGGACGACCCGCTCTGCCTCTGCACCACCACAGCCGCCCAGTACAGTACTGACTATAAGAGTTCTTGTAGATGAACACATGCATACTTTTCAAGTGTGGCCAAAAGTGGGTCGGGCTCTGAGCAGCCCTGGACCTGGAACATCTGGTCTCTGCTCAGTCTGATGATCTCACACAGCGACTGGGAAGCATTGGAGTGTCTCTGTGTTAGGAAAGGACAAATAAGAAAATTATTAATCTGTGGTCTGACTCACTTGAAACTTTGTGTATTCAACCAAAGTCCTAATATTCCTGAACATATTTATTATACAATAATAAACTAGTAATTCAAATTGTTAATAAAATAAAATGGGATCCATCTACAGGGCACAGTGGCTTTCTGATTTTTCGAAATTTGGGTGAACTGGACTTTAAATGTATTATTGATCTCTAACAACTAATTGAATACATATTAATGTTTTAAAAAATGATATGAAAATCAAACAGAACAATCCCTGGTTCATCAAGAGCCCACAGAGTAATTTCAAATGCTTGTGATGGAAGAAACTGTGTGTGAAACTCACATCCTCATCTTGAGAAGGTTGTACCATGTCCACCAGTCTCTGAATCACCTTCTCCTCATTCAGCCACTGGAAGAGGACAAAGAGCAGAGAGTCAGGACAGCTCAAAATATCAGAAGAAAAAACCAAGAGAACAAGACCTTCAATTTGAAGTAAGAGACACATTTACCAATTCATAATCACCTTCATGTAGCAAGTGGGAAGAGTCTGTGTATAAAATAACTTGTTTTTAATTTTCTGGCTCACATAGTGCTGCTAGCCTAAATAATGCAATCTCAGCTTTTGCTATGAGATTTCATTCATGCAACTTTCACAGATAACGTTAATAATTTGCAAGCTGCTAAAATAAAGCATACAAAATATCAGCTAAAAAGATCTACAGGCTATATGATTATAATCAGAGCATGTGCATGTTTGTCAGTGATTTATTTATATAGGAGGTTATTACAGCATTTAAAGAGCGCAGACCTACGCAAAGGAGGTGTATTTGTGAAACGCCTTGTAAGACGTTATGGACTCAAATATAAAGTTAACCATCAAAGAAATCAGACGTTGAAGTACAGGAAACATTAGCCTATATTAATCCATATATCACAGCTTAAATAACATTAGGTTAACTCACTATTTCCTATTATTAATTATGGTAATGTTATGGTTAAGTACATGTTAGCAGTTATCACTATAACCACTGCATATAGAGATGCTAAGTTAGTCACAAGTTATTGTTACCATCACACATAAACTATTTAGGTCCTCTGTTATGACAAATTTATCACCATCATATTTTAAATATTTTATTTATCGAAAATATCTACACTACTGTAGATACAAAGTGAAGCATGATTCTGTAACGCAAACGTCTAGTTCTCAACATTTTTGAAAACGTCTTCAACTCTGAATAGTTGCTATTGTTTTTCCAGTTTGAAAATCAGCTCACAGTGACAAGACTGAATTTGTTAGTCAGTTCTTGTGGGTGGTGATGGTCCAATTTAAACTGGGTGTTAGTAAATAGATGGGACAGATGATTTTGTGTTAGGAAAGTGTTGTCCTGCTACCCACATTGAGAACATCCTGTCGTAGCTGCTGTGGTTCAATGCAGGTGAGCATTCTGAGAAGCAGGTCCATGATGGCAGATGTCCCGATGTGTTTGATCATCAAGTCTACAAAGTCCTCCCGCTTCCGCAGAAAATCCACTATCTACAAACACACAGAGACACGTCTTAAAAATCAGCAAAGACAAACTGTAGTGTGTCAGAAAAGAAAACATTCAGATGTGATCTGATTACTAGTGATTATTATATCGTTATCAGATGACAACTTGTATCCTGTTATCAGATTGAACACCGTCTTGTCACTGACTTACCTGTTCAGGCTTGCGTCCTATAAGAATGGACAGGACCTTGGAGAAGAAGCTGGCCAGGAGCGGGTTGAGAGGCGGCTCATTCTGGAGGAAGCCATACAGTTTCATAAGCAGTTTTTCATCTTCTCCCAGTCTGTCGTTGATCTGGCTCACATCTGATGTAAGCAGCTCACATGATATGTTGGGATACCTGAAAGAACAAAGGTGGTTCCTTAGATTTTTTTTCAATACGTTAGTTACAACACTGTAAGGGTGCTCCAATCAGGGCTTTTTGGGCCGATCAACGAAAGCAGTATTAGCCGATTAACAATCACAGATCACTGGGTCTATCTGAAAACCTGCAGCCTGGGGAAAAACAATCTGCTGCTATTTCAGCTGCCGTGTCTCATACACTGCTCACTCCACTTTCTTTAAACACCGGGTCTATTTTTACTGGAGCAGCTCGGGTCTCTGAAGCGTGAGATTTTCTTGTGAATTTATATAAATGCCTGTCTTTATTGGCAAATGACTTCAAACTAATTTTTAATGATGCATTTCATTTGTTTCTGACTTTGTCTTCACACAAACACTAGGATCAATATTAAAAGTTATGTATATTAGATAATATTAGTGCTGCACAATATAGTAAAAAGATCATATTGCGATTATTTTGAGACAGTGCATTTGGATTCACAATTACTTAGGGAATGATCATTTTTGCATCACAAATTTAATTGTTACATAAACAAAAAACAACTATTAAAATCATGATGTGAAATTTGGGAGGGGGGTCTGTACCAAACAGATTTTTCCTTAAATCCATAGGCCAAGGGATCACTGCAGCACTACAGTACTTCATTATAATGCTGTTTGTCTCATATTTTACCTTTATCAAAACATTGCAGCTCTTGCGATTTGCATATTTCTTCTAAGATTTGTGTTTAATTGTGCAGCCCACAAAGATTTTATTTTGTTTCTGTCCACTTTGAATGAAGTTATGATGATATGCAAGGTAAAATTACCATTACCCTTACATTAAGTGAATTTCATTAATGTAAATATTTAAACGAGGTGGACAACACAATGACTTGTGTTATTGTTTCCTTGTGTGTTCAGATTGCAATGTCTTTTTAATCTGTTATTAGTGAAATTTGCCCACACTGTCTTTAGACACAGTTTTGCCTTTTTGCAAAAACTGGGAGTTATACAAAATGCATTGTGGTCTTCAGATGTGGTGGAAATGCAAACAGGAATGTGCCAGATGGGCTTTTACTTTCCTATTTAGTTCCTGGAACTATTTGGTCAAAAAAATAACAAAAGACAACAGGGGCTTTTGTGGCACAGGCTAAAATGGCCACTATTTCCAACATAATGCTTTTAAACATTCTGTGATTGACAAAATGGTTTTATTGTGCACTGCAGTGATCCATGAGAAGTCCATAAATGAAAGGCTTCATACTGTATCATTTAAGTGCAAGAAATCCTGTCCTCCAGGCAAATGCCCTCAGTTTTACTCAGTTTTGTGCAAGCTTGCACAACCATTTACAGCATATGCACCCATAATGGCTACATTAATATGTGCAATACATGCAAATAATCCAACACAGAGAGAGTAGGGAGTTAAAGAGGTGTCTAAATGGGTTTGCCAAACAGCAAATCTCTCTTGAAAGAAAACAAAGCAGCCCCTTCATTCTGATCCCCCTTATCCTTTGCACAATTTTCTCTTACTTGTATTTAACCTTCTCCTCAACATCAGTACTGGGTTCCTGTGTGATGAAGGTGACCAGGTCCTCCATGCATTGCGGTCTCAGCAGGAAGTCAACCAGTTTGTGGTTCTGGGCCTTGCACTCCTGTAGGACGTCGTCCTCATCCATCACCTCCGTCAGCGTCACATCCTCCTTCTCTAACAACGTGTCAATGTGGGATGTGGTGTGGAGGTCAAATTTCCAAAACATGTTGGCTCTAAAAAAATTTCACATACAAACAACGTGTCATTAGAGATCATTAATAGGGGACTATGAGTAACTGAGGGATCATTTCAGAGGTGATCTATCTTCTTCCTACTTGTGAGTATGTTGGAGTCCAGACGGCGGAGCTCAGGTTATAAAGAAGTGTGTTCTAGTCTTTGGGAGTTGTGGCCCATTCCAGGCTAGCCGGACGGACAGACAGGCAGGCAGACAGCGGTGATGGACAGACTCACAAACGGCACACATACAGCAGTTCAACAGCATACACCTGTGAGGCAGATGGACACATGTTGTTAAAAGGAATATTCCACTGCTTTTCATGTGAATATTATAGCAACTTTGATTATTAGTTGTAATTGCAAAAAGGCATAAATCACATACATGTGTACAGTACTAGCGGTTTCTATCTGTCTGTCCTGCAAATACCCAGTACTTATCATAAACACCACATTCAGAGATGAAGCTCATTCACATCATGAATCTAGTATTCTAGTATTGTTACAAGATACAGCAACCAAATTATGGTAAATAAAGAAATACACAACATCTTGTCTTTGGGGATATTATGGATTTTACACAGATACCAAAGGTGAGCCTACGGATATTACACAGCCTATTTGCAAGCTATGTAAAATATATGTGCCAGTGAAGGACATCCAGACCACTAGTTTATTTCAGTGTTTCCTCTGTGTTGATTTTGGAGCGGCGGCCCGCCGCTGTTAAATTTCTGCCGCCATGTTATCAGAAATGGGGCACGCGCACAATGTAGTCACGGTTGCCTTTTAAATGATCCTGCCGACATAATGCACCCCCGTTGGTTGCCGCTCACATTGCAATTTAACAACAAGTAGAACTATTCAGAGGTTATTGGGGCTGTCCAGTTTAACTCCACATACTGTTGTGTTGATGTAGCTTATTGTCAAAACGTTCGCTTTCTTCCAAGTCGACTATTAAACTAACAGCTCCACCAAACACGTCACCGCGGTGGGTCCGTTTTAATTGGACAACGTTCAACTTGTCTCAACGTCCTGATATCAAACATCTGGAAACATTAAAACGGTAAATACATTTGTTTGTATCGCAGCGAAGTGTCACTTCTGTTTCATACGTAAAACGTTTGCCGGCGTGATGGGACGGGGGGGCGGGACGAGACGCGGGGTTCGGACGGCCCTACCGCCACTGCTAAAAAAAAAATCCTAGAAGAAACACTGTATTTTCACAAATAAAAAAAAAAAAATCTATTTATTAGCAATGTCTCTGCTAAAAGGCTCCATTTTAAATGTCTATGTGTCTGTACTTGGTGCGACAACATCACATCATTCTGTTCTTATTCCTCATCTATAAAGGACCCGTGTGTTATTGAGTGGCATCTAGCACTGAGATTGTAACCAACCAAACCCCCTGACTCATCCAAGCACAAAAGAGAAACTAGAGTGGCTGTGAAAATCCCTATCTAGAACCAGTGTTTGGTTTGTCCGTTCTGGGCCAACCTAGAAACATGGCGGTTTAACATGCCAGGCTCCGTAGGCTCCAACTAGACTTATCAGTTATAAAATGGCTCATTCTAAAAGGTAATGAAAACACAAATATTGTTATTTTCAGCTGATTATACACTAATGAAAACATACCTATGAATATTATTTTCCATTTCTGACAATAGATCCTCCTAAATCCACACTGGTCCTTTAATATCACAATATAAATGATATCCCTAATGTTAACTGCCCTTAAGGAGATGGAAACTAGTTTGTAATGAAGGATAAAACAATTTCCTTATCACTTGTGCTGATTAATGGGCCAGAAACATTTCTGGGGCGCAGATTCTACAGATTATTTTGTAACATCTTAGCACCTTAGTTAAAATCGCTTTAATATTAGAGTGGGTGGAAAAAATCGTTGATCATCCTTTCAATTGTCGATATACGATCCATTTGCCAATTGGCACAAACCTAATTTGAGCAATGTGGGGGGAAAAAACACAGCCCTTTCATTCATTTGAAATGAACCAAATCAATCAACGCAGCACGGATGATCGATGCAATGAAAGATAGAATAGCTGCTGCTGTGATAACTTTCCAGAGTTGTAAAAGCCTGTTTGTAAGTATTACAAATTGTGCAGTGTTCTAGCATCTGTTAAGCCTTTAAAACACATAATCTGTTACTCAAACTGAACGTCCTGGATCGAATTCCATTGTTTCGCTGGTACCTTAAACAGCGCAGCCGAGCACCCCTGCGCTGTTTTAAAACAGGGCTGTTAACAATGTGAAACAAGCCTAGTTCTAATAAGTAGCAGGTATTATCAGCAACAAGAACCACAGCTACAACCACCCTGCATTTTGTGACCACCTACTTATGCACCTTAGCCTTTCAAGCACTGGATTTGAACATGGACACTTACACAATGCTCGTTATTTTGCTATTTATTTTATTGGTTCTTTTGCATTTTGCCTCCTGTTGTTGTTATTATTGCTATCAGTCTGTGGATACTGCTGGAAACTGAATTTCCCCTTGGGGATGAATAAAGTATCTATCTATCTATCTATCTATCTATCAATCAAACACCATGATCCTACTGGCCAGATAATGTTCAAAACATAACTTCACTTAATGGAAACACAACAAAATGTGTGCCACTGTCTTAATACTATGGAGACTGCACCGTATGTTTACATCAGCAAATACAATTCAAAACAACATAACATTTTTTTCAGCTCATATATTTCTCACTGTGATAGAGAGGGACTGAAAGAGAGAGACAGCTTTAAGCATCTCCTAAAATACATTCAGTGACTCAGCTGCATCACAGCTAACTTAAGGATATGGTGAATGTACAGATGTATCTAGTTCGTTTGCTCATCTTAACTATGTACATTTGTGCAATTTCCTATATTGCCATTGTTGTTAATATTATTCATATTTTAAAAACTCAATAAAAAAAAACACATTTAAAAATGGATATGGTGAAAAATATTGATTGTAAAATAAAGTGTCCCTTTAAGGATCATGATCATGTACAACCTCTACTGGCAATGATCAGTAAACACCAAAACAACCCACCAACTTTACCTTAAAAAAAAAAAAAAAAATAGTGCTTAAAACTAATTTCCATTTCCTCAATACAAACTGACTACAATTGAAACTGAGATACATCTGAAAACATCTGTAATCTGCTGTGGACATAAGTGGGAAAGTGGAATATACCTGCGTTCACAAGGTGGATAAATGTCTGCAGACACATCTGCAGTTGGCCCTGTCAGTGTGGATGTTAGCGCTCCCAGCATGTTAGTGAGTTTTGGGGAAGTAGTTTGAAACACTTAGTTTGGATAATAATAATAATAATAATAATAATAATAATAATATCTTCTCTTGCTAAAATCTTGCTTTTATGTTTTATTAAAGCCAAAGCTATTTTGTGAAGTTTGTTGATGAACTTTACTAAAAAAAAAGAAAGGGAACATTTTAAGAGTCAGAACTGCTGTTTAATGCCATAAAGTGTGCATAAACTACAGGTTTTGTTTTTTGTTTTTTAAATACAAAATATTAATTATCTGTTATTTTATCGGTATCGGTCATGAGAATCAGGTAATTATTAATATAGTTAATGACTGAATATCCATATCATACATCCCTATTTATATTTATTACCCCCTGTTCTTCTGACATACTGTACCCTGCTCACATTCAGTGACATTCTGAAATCCACAACATAACGCATTTTGCTATATTTCATTAATCAATAAATATTGCATCTATATAATAACATGTTACAGGATAAGATAACCATAAATATCGACACCAGCCACTAAAATACCCATACTGGTCGATGCATGGCATAAACCACATTCCAACTTTTATTGAAGAAGAGTGAGATGGTACCAAGAGACTGTTCAATAAACAGATTAGTCTATCCACTGAGAGCTCAAAGCCACTTTGAATGCTAGAATGTACAAGTACATTTGTCTTGTTTAAGCTGTAGGTTGTGTTACTTTTTATTTTCATTAACAGCGACGGTTGTCCACCACTGGCAAATTATTGCAACTGTAAAATACATCCATAATTGCACAAAGTCTTCAGACTCAAAGTGAAGCAATACAGTTCATCCCTGTATCACGGTAAAAGCTTAATTAGACTTTGAATAAAACAGCATGACAGTCAGACACATACCAAAGGCCAAAAGCAAAAAAATACATTAGGGAAACCAGCAGGACCTCAGGAAAACAAACTTTTAAAGCTTTTATAGCTTCACAGTGCCTGACTGAATGCATCCATCAGCCAATAACACACGCCTTTCTTAACATCAGGTGTACATAAACTACAGGTTATGAAGGTTAAAATACAAAAATGTAAAATTATCGGTTATCTTATCGGTGTCGGCCATGAGAAGCAAGTCATTATAGGTTATTGTATAGGCTGAATAAAATATCCCTATCGTGCATCCCTACTAACTAGAAACTTTCAAATTTAGATTCATTTGTCCCCAACCTATGTAGTTTGTGCATGCCCAAGTAAATAGACAAAAGCACTGTTCTTACTTAAAGATGCAGTAGATAACTTTTTGTCATGTTTGCTGAAACTTTCACTATATCCATGAGACAGATAATATATAAAACAAAATCAGGTTCCTCTGGCATAAATCAACCGCATTTAAATAAAAACAATCCTATAGAGCCGAGAAAGATCGTTTATTGCTCAGTCTCATACCCAGGAACCTGTGTATTACATTCATCCATCAATGATTTTAAAGCCACCAAGCCAAAGCGTCACTATTTGACGACCTGGAAATGTGACTCCACCATCATCTTTCTCGGACATTTTTTATAAAAGTTACCGACTGCAGCTTTAAATCAACGGAGCTGCTGCAGCCTATAACGTTACAACAGACTGAGCCTGTAGAAGACGCAGTTTGTCTGAGACTGCACTGGTAATGGCACATTGTGATCATAGGTTACACTACTTTCCAGCTACCCACCAATCGCACGCAAAGTCAACGATCATGAAAAACCCATGACGGCCCTGTACAGTAACATACAGTTAGTACCACCGAGCAACGTCAGAAATAGCATTAACGTTCAATTCGGTTAAAATGCCCGACAAACACCTGATTATTCAAGCTATTATCAGCTAACACTGACTAATGTAATTTGCGATTTGCTGTCGAAACACTACGTTTGCAGTAACCTCAGTCCATTTACATACCAGGGCCCAAAACAGACCACCACTAACGCAACAGAAACACACCGGCTCGGGCAAACTGGCTAACGTCACTAGCTATCGTTAGCTATTGTTAGCTAAACTGGCCACCTAAAATCAACTTAGCTTTGGGAACTAACTTAACTTACGTCAAGTTAACCGGCATCAGTTAGCTATGAGACTAGCGTTAATAGGTAAGTTGGCCAACTAAGTATCGCTATGGCTTCACGGTTCCTACGAACACTGCTATGCAATGTTAACGTTACCCCGGTCCTAGCTAGAGGTACACCAAGAGTGTCTGACAGCATAGTGTTAAGATGGCCAAGTATGCTTCTTGCTAGCCAGCTAACGTTAGCCGGCTATCTGAAGACTGCTGGCTAATCGTCTCTTCAGCACCAACCAAGTGCATGAAATGGCAAGTGTACCTACCGACAGACAACGGCAAACGGCGAGTCTCCAGCATGTAGCTTATCTTGCCATTAGTCCCAGGACTTGACAAAACGAAAACAGAGGTAACACGAAACTCCTGTAAGGAAAATAAAGCGTTTAAAACTGATTCTGACAGGCGCGAAAAGGTAGATCATCGGAGGGCACTTTTCAAGATGGCGGTTCCGTCAACTTCAGCGACCCCTTCCCCCACTACAGCTACAGCTTGTGTCACTCAAACTGTCACAGCAACGCTATTGGTTGAAATACCATCGCTCAAAACAGGGCTCGAGTTTCTATTGGCTACAGAGCGTGCCAATTCACGGCGTCGTTTAATGGTAGTATATTATTCTGTGGCCCGGACTAACGGAGTTTAAACTGTTTTATAAATTGTGTATATTAAGTACAACTCATGTCATTACGAAAAAAGTTAAAATGTATTTCAGTCTATGTAATTTGTTATATAATCATATATGGGTGAAATTCGGTTAATTTAAACCATTGACCCCGCTCGCGCGTTTCCTTTGCAGTATGAATCGAACAAACTCGCAGAGTACGAGCACGCCCTTGGCTGGTCGAGAAACGCCCAATTTACGGAAGGTGCAATAGTTGAAAAATGTATGAGCAATAAATCATTTCCATTTTATCACACAGGCTGATCCCAAGGTAAAGAAAAAACGTCCATGCTCAACAATAAAGCAGTATATATAATGTACAGTATAAACAATTAGCTAAGTGGTATGTGCAGTGCAAAATAAAGACCAGGTTAAACAGTCAAATACAGGTCAGTAATACAGATGATAGAGAAGATGAAATATACTCTATTAATCCCCTATTGGGGAAATTCTTTTTTTCACTCTTTTTTTAATTCTTACACACACAGGCTGAAATGCACTTGTGGACATGCAACATGGAGAGATGGTGGAGGGTGGGCGGGCCACGTTAAGGTTGCCTTGCTCAAGGGCACCTTGGCAGTGCACAGGAGGTGAAACTGGCACCTCTCCAGCTACCAGTCCACACTCCATATTGTGGCCTGTGGGATTTCAAGTGAGTCTCTCGTTTTGCTGAAAGTTTAATTAGAAAAAGGACAATCTATTTCTGTAGTTCCCAACCTGGGGGTCAGGACCCCCATTAGTGCCAGAGCTCCATCGGGGGTCACAAGGCCTCCTTGATTTTAAGGGGTGTAAGTAAACTTTTAAAAATATACATATATATGGGGTCTATCTTTCAGTATTTCATTCATTTCCTTGAAGAAAACTAAATGAAATAGTTAATTTTTAGATCATTTATATTATTATTTAAGATATAAACAGGATAGGGGAACAGTGAAGACCTCAACACACGCTATATTCACAGAGCCTTTACTCTCTGATAAACATTGCAGTCCTCCATTTGAAAGTTCAAACAACCAAAAAGCTAATAGAAAAATGAGAAGAAAATACTGTCAAAAAAGAACCCTATTAAGATTGGTGAAAAATCTAAAAATATATATTACAGAGAATTGTATAAATAGTTCTCTAAACAGGATAATCTTTTCAAAATTCATCCAAATCACTTGTTTCACACAAATTTCCTTCAGTTATTGTGTTCACTGTTTAGGTTCAGTTTATCAGTTGTTCTCTACTGCTACTGTTGAATACAATATAAAATATCCATTAAATATGTCCCTTAGTCAGGGGTCGTCAGTTTATTCTATGATAGAAAATGGATCCCTTGAGCAAATAGGTTGGGAACCACTGCTCTATTTGCAGTATTATGCAGTTATAGTGTGCAACTTTGTTTATTACTAATTTGAGATATTAATACGTGATTTTTTATCGCTTTTAAAAAGTGCACCTTACTAATTAATACATGTACATGTAAATGAAAAGTTATGACAATATATATTTACAACCATTTGATACAGGCAATGTTTTTGTTTGTCTCTTAACAAAACATCTGTGTGCTGCTTGTACATTGTTGTTTCAAGGCGTCTGTCGAGTTCAAGTCCAAAAAGAGTGTTCTATTGGCAGTGTGTGCATTTCAAGGATCAGGAAGAGTTTGCACATGTCCTCAAACTAAGGGTGAATATCTCTCTAGTTAGTGTTGGAGTGCTCATGCTGTTTCACATCCAAAGTAGCAAGAGTAAAGAAGTCAAACGCAGTCATGACACATGGCATGTATTCATATTCACAGGCAGCATACAGAACATGAAGTAAGGAAAGAACCCTTTTCAGCTATAAAGGACAAAACATGCAGATGTCACTTTCCTCCTGAACTCGGTAATATAAATACTAGGGATGACACATCATATCCGTATCTGTATGTGTTCAACTAACCGTACTTGGAGTGGGCGGAACTTAAACCGGGCACGGGTGGGGCTTAACTCGTATATGGGCGGGGCTAACAGGAAGTTGCTATATTTAATAGAAAACTCTTTACAGAACAGCCTCAGAATTGAGTCCCATAGCAATGTTTTTGATCACAAGAGCAAGAACTATTTACTGAAAGGTCTAAAACTTGGTTTATTTACGAGTACGGATACTGACACATTTTACTCATTTGATACAAAAAAAGGTAAAAAAGTAAAGTAAACAAAAGAACATTATTTTAACCAAATAATCGTTTTAACCATATCGCCTGACCCTAATATATAAAAAAGTCATCTTATCAGTTCCATCTCAGTGGCTATCAGGTATAAAAAGGCAGCTGATAACATTAATCTGATGGTTTATGAAGTTAGCATAACCATTTCAGTCATTTTAGTTAGTGTTGAGCATCTTACTTTAAAAAAGTAATAAGTTATAGTTACAAATTACTTCTCCCAAAAAGTAATTGAGTTATTAACTTAGTTACCACATTGTAAAAGTAATTAGTTACTCAGCAAAGTAACTGTGACGTTATTTTTTATGTTCTATAATGCTATTACATTCTATAACGTCAAAGATGTTTATATTAACTGAATGAAGAATGAAAACACTATATACAGTATTTTAGGACATTTGGTATTTATTTGAACTCAATAGATTGCAGCCGGCCATATGCATAGAAATAAAAATTGCATAGAAATAAAAATATGCATAGAAATAAAAATATATAAAAAATAAAAATTGAAAACAAAATTCACGTTACATAAACATTCTTGCCTTTAACTTCAGTAAGCGAGAAGTAGTGTCGGTACTTCCAGTTTGATATCGTTACCTTTGAATTTCCCTGGCTCGACGCCATTGTCTCTGTCTTGTGTTTATAGTAGTAGTTAGAGCGTGCAGTGAGACATCATCGCATTTGCAACGGTGTCATCATCACCACCCCTGCTCTCTCCCAGCAGCTGATGTGTGGCTGTCAGAAAGCCTGACACCACTGACATTCAACCAAATTGACCACTTTACATTCTCAGTAACGGTAATGGCGTTGCAACGATGGGAAAAGTAATTAATTAGATTACTCCATTACTGAAAAAGTAACGCCGTTAGTAACGCCGTTCTACTTAAACGCCGTTACTCCCAACACTGATTTTAGATGACATGTTTGTATTCAGTCTATCAAAGAAAAGCACAGTTTTGTATGATGATGGCTCTGTTCTGTAAGTGTCCCACATTGTTGGCTTCTACTTTGGGAGAATGAGAGAGTTCCAGAGTAGGTTTCTGTAGGTTTTTCCTTTAAATTGTCACACATCTACTTTTCCAAGCATGTAGGAGAAACTAAGAGCCTGTCCTCATGAATACGCGGCCTCACCCAATAAGATGTTGTTTCGAAAAAAATCTCCGTAAACACGGCGTCGTTTCCAGAAATATCTGCGTCCACACGGATTCACTGACAACGACCCAAAACGCTGTAGTACATATGCCAGACCTGTATGTGGCGCTGTGACGCTGCCACACCAATACACTAAAACCGGAAGAGCCATGGAGCATGCCCTGTTTACAAACAAGTAGTAGTAGTCCGCTGTTGTTGTTGTTGTTGTTGTTGTTGTTGTTATGACGCGTCTAGCGGCGGCGGCTGAGGTTAAAGGCTAGAGAGGCGGGGCCAATACGTCTAGCCGTCCTGACGACTCCGGGCAATCTGGCGTTTTCAGATTTTCCCACTCTGGGACCTGTTTTCAAAAAATACAGTTTTCACACCCCGAAAACGCCGTATCCATCTGGACGTGAGGCCGATACGATAAAGTATTTATCCGGATTCCAGAAAAACATATTCGTGAGGACAGGCCCTAAGGTGGCAGTGAAACTCCAGTATTTGGTTTGTCTGCTCTGGGCTACAGTAGAAACATGGTGGCTCAACATGGCGTAGGGCATTCATTCTTAGAAAGAAAATTTGCTGAATTTCTCCCATCTGCTAAATGCACTTATTTTTTCTCTCTAGTATTCAAAATGTGTGTCTATGTTGAAAAAAACAACATTTTGTAAATAAAGTAAAAAGAAAAAAAATATATAGTTGGCAAACCATCTTTAAGGTGTGGTTGTCTTTTCAACATACAGTAGATTAGCCTAGCACATAGCATATCTAAGTACAGGAAAGGAGGAAGTTGACTGAGGTTCTGACTGAGGCTTGCTCAACTGTTATTGGAGCACAGAGCAAAAAGGGGTGGGACTTAGGAAGGGTCAAGTATGGCTGTGTTCCATTTAGTGTAGCAGAGCCTTTCCAGTGATTATTACTTTAAACATACCATATTATATTCATAAAATAAAATCCCCCTAAATGTCTTCAATACATAGCTACATGCTTGAAACAAACACAAACAGTTAAGTGTATGAGACATTTAAACTGCCTCAGTTGAAAAAATATAGGCCTACACTTAAAGGTTGTAATCAGTATTAGGATGATGATTATCTTTATTATAATCAAAATTCGTAGTTAAGATGAACTACATTTCCAACTGATATGCAAATAGTTTAATCTGGAAATCCGTTTTGTCCGTCTTTCCCAGGGACACCTGAACGCAGCATTTGGCTTGCACAAATCCTCTCCGTTAATCGCCTCTACCGGCTGGCAGGGATTCAGACATCATGCGGTCAACTGTGGGTGGTGTCAAGCCATAAGCGTGTCTCAGTGGCAAACACACGGAGGGCTGCTCTGACGGTGGATGCAGGAGGAAGCTGCGGAGAGCTCAATGGCTGTGAAAATGGATTTAAATGCCATCTTAGAGCAAATGGAGACGGGAGAGCAAGACAGTGCTCTGGCGGCTCTACAGAGCTACAACAAGGAGGTAAACAGCAGCATGAGAACACACTGAGACATGAAGTTTATCATAAACATGCATCATCTGTAAATGGTGCCTGTTTACTGCCAAAGCTTAAATAGCTTATATCCAAGCTTTAGGTCAGCTGTAAACATAGACCGTATTAACAGCTTTACAGTATACATGATGATGCTTGCATTAAAGGGACAAGATTATTAGTAACTAACCTTTTATAAAAAGCCTTTAACATTGTGTCACTGGATTATTTACACAATACTGACGATTTTAAAGCTGCATTTATTGGCCACTAGGGGGCAGCAGAACAAGCTATAAACACAACATTCACATATTATGGTAAATGGACTGTACTTACATAGCACCTTTCTAGTCTTTCGACCACTCAATACGCTGTACATTACATGCACACTCACCCCATTCACACACACTCATACACTGATGCAAGGTGCCAACTGCTCACCAGAACGGAAACTAATCACTCACACACACTCATACACAGATGCACAGTATCCGGGAGGTCAGTGTCTTGCTCAAGGACACTTCGACATGCCAACCTTCTGATTAGTGGACAGCCCACTCTACCTCTGAGCCACAGCCGCCCCAATTATCAATATATAATGTTATTATATGCCAGCAAACAGATTCACACATTGAGCAGACAGCTTTAGTGTTCTTTGAGATAGGGGAGGGCAATCTAAGCAACAATATCATGATCTATTTTCGCAATCACGATCCATGGTAAGTCCAATGGTAAATTGTAATCTGTTTTTCTCAATTTTGAAATGCCCTGCAGACTGTAGCTGACTTGAAATTGCCTATGAATTTCTCCATGCATATTTAAAACCCAATATTGGATGAAAGAAATACACAGATTTCTGGTGATTAAAACGTGAGTTCAAAGGTCCAGTGTGTAACATTTAGGAGGATCTATTGTCAGAAATGGAATATAATATTCAGGTATGTTTTTATTAGTGTATAATCTGCAACTACACCACCAGATGCCACTAAATCCTACACACTGGACCTTTAATTTGAAGTCGTAAACAGATGCCAAAAGATAACATTATCAAAACAATTCTTTTCCAGTCCTTACAACTCAATTGCATTGTTATACGTCACCCAAGGAAGAGTTGGGTGAAATAATACCTACATCCTACGTTGTTTGACTACATCACTCTATTGGTTTGTTCACGTGGGAAAGATCAGTCAATGAAGCTATGTGAAGTTTGGAAACTGTGGATAACTTCATGGTCATGATCTCATCACAAATTGTCAGAGTACCCCTTTTCAGAGTTATGTTTGTGTTCCCCTGATGAATGTAAATCCAATATTTACTCACCTTTTAGTTTTGGGTTTGTCTTCTGTCTTGAGAGAAATATTTTTCTTTATACAGTGGACCAGAGAGCGCAACTGCAATATATGAACATATGAAACAGACAAAAGACAAGTAAATTAAGAAAACACTGGAAAGTGTGAAAACACAATCAAATACGGACTGTCAGGTATTCATACAATGCCTTTGTAATTCTGGCGACCTGTATCCATGTAATTCCTCTATGGTTTTGTGGACCAGTTTTCATATAAATCCTTTGGTGTATTGAAACCAGGCTTCATGTAATTCCTTTGTGTTGCTAAAACCATAAATCTCGTAAAAAAGGAAAAAAAAGAACAGGAATAAAAAAAGTATCAATGACGATACCCATACTGTAAGCCAGGCAGGTCGTATAACCTAACAAGTTATAAATGAAAATGCAAGAGAATAAAGGCTTAGAAGATGACCCTGTTAATAGTTTGGCAATTTAGTAAAGGTGTTGTTGTCTGTCGGAAAAACACAAAAACAAAACTCTTAGGGTAGTGTGTTCCACTAAAAGCAAATGGGCATATGAGTGAAGAAAAAACGTACAAAGAAAAGAATTAACGTTGTAGTGACTCATTCAGTGTCTAGTATACATTGTGCACACTACAGGGCTGTGTTGCTTGGAACAAATGTGTCATATAAACCACCTGGCTGAACTGAGTTACCCAAATGTATACTGATAAGATCCACCATACCCAAATGCAGAAAACACATCAAATACAGAAAGCACAACCAGAGTCTGCAAATTGTTAGGTTTTAGACCCGCCCTACTCTGCATCTGACTTGCTAGTGTTCATTGTGTTGGTTGCTTTGGTTGGTCCGGTTTAGGCATGAGGAGTGAGAGGGCTGGAGGCGGAGTTTCTGTCACTCTGCGAGTTGAGCTGCACTCATTGGCTGCACAGTTTGAAATCATCGGTGGCAGTGGACTAGTTAACTAATGTACAGTAATCGTTAGCAAACTGGTTACATCTACAAGCTAATGTTAGCATGCTAGCTAATTAGCTAGCTAATGATTGATGTAGATTAGCTAGTGTTTTGCTAACATTAGCTAACTTAAGATTTGACTATATGTAGCCTAGCTATGCCGATTTTACCCTTTAACCATCTTCAAAATGTCAACACAGACTAGCCTAGCACATCTCAAAAGGGGTGGGACTCAGTTTCATACTAATAAGGGCATTTTCAGCGTTTTAAAAAATCAAAATAAAATCAGTTTAAACCGTTGTGTTACTTTCTTCCTGACTGACGAGCTTTCAAAAAACAACAAAGTCAAATTATACTGAAGTCAGTCTATTGATAGAAAACATAGCTGAATTGCTGATCACAATGACAATGAGTGTCTGTCTGTAATGTTATCTTATAGAAAGACGTTTGTCTGAAAAGTGTTACTTTCGTACCAGCTCTCCCATATGTAAAACTCTGCAGGTCCCCATTAAGATTCCCAAACCGTCATGATGGAGGGAGTTTTATGTTTAAAGGGGATGAAAGTAGTGAATGTGATTGGTAGTGACTGTGACAACCTCTAACACGCCCACATATAATGTATGATAATATTTTTTTTGACCCTGTATTAGCGTGTGCCACAGGTGCCTCCCAACCATTTGCCTGGCTGCACAGTTGGGTTCACGGAAATAGAGCCCTCAGTCTCAAAGTGGGTGTGCTTCATTTGTCATGCAGTCTGCTAGGCCAAGGTGAGCACTGCTGCATGACTCTCTCAGTCAGAGAGACATTAGCTGTGCCGGGGTTGATCTTGAAGGTAATAGGATTAGATTATCTGAACACAAATAGAGTCTCCTACAGCCCAGTCAAATCCTGCTTTACTACAGAGCACTCAGAGATGAGGAGCTTAGTGTTGCAGGAGACTCTGCCGTATAATCTACATGTTATATACCTTCCTTAGTATCCACAGTTTTCCTCTGCTTCATTCATTCCTTTATAAGAACTTAATGGCATAAATGAGTCTAAATAACTGTAATGAAACAGTTTTAAAAATCAGAAGGCACACATAAGATACACAATGCATGGATGCACTTTCTGAATTAAGCTTTTATTTGGGTTCTAGGGTTATTTATGTAACCAACAGCAACCACTGATTAAAGAATAGGTAGGCTACCTGCTCCTCTTGTCTCTTCTGTTTCTCTGTTTTTGCTCTTCTTCTCCAACTCTACCTTTATTTGCCTTCTGCTGTTCCTTCCTTCAGATGAACCAGTGCTTTACATTCAGCAAGGAGGAAGAGCAGGACAGAGAGGTATTACCAACATTTCCATGTAAACACTGACTGTGGACACTCCTGTACATTTTCTTACTTGGTCAATGAAAAATACTCCTATCTCTTAAAGCTTAAAGGTCCAGTGTGTAACAATTAGGAGGATCTATTGTCAGAAATAGAATATAATATTCATAGGTATGTTTTCATTAATGTATAATCACCTGAATATAGGAATAGTTGTGTTTTCATGATCTTAGAATGAGCTGTTTTTATCTATAGAGGTTGTTCATCTTCCATGGCGTCCGCCATGTTGAACTGCCATGTTTCTACAGTAGCCCAGAATGGACAAACCAAACACTGGCTGTAGATAGAGAGTGTTTTTGTTTTTTGCAAGTTTTGCAGCCACTGTAATTTTTCCTACAACACAGCCCGTTCTCATTCCCAGATCATCAAATATAAGCAGTGTTCAGTTAGTAGCAATCGGAAACTTCATCACTAGATGCCACTAAATCCTACACACTGGTCCTTTTCATGAAGAAAGTTTGAGAACCACTGGTATAGGTCTAACTTGATATATCTGTTGTGTGGCGTAGCATCTGGGCGAGTTGGTGCTACGTTTCCTGAACAGGGAGTTGCAGCCTTCCTGTCAGCTGGCCTGTCTAGAAACGGTTCGAATCCTGTCCAGAGACAAAGATTGCCTGACTCCCTTCATCAGCCATTCTGCCATGTCCAGTCTTGCCCACTATGCCGGTATCGCCGTGGCTGGTACTGCCACAACTGCCCACAGCCACACAGTGGAGGGCCAAGGTAATTCTTGCCAAGTCTGTCAGGTTTCTCCAAGGTTTTACCACCTTCCTGGTGCTCCTGTTTTGTTGTTTCTCCCATGCAACTTCCATTATGTCAGTTTCCTCAATTCAACATACAACAGACAGGAAATAGCGTGTTTTTATACTTTAAGTTTATTTTTTTTATTAATTCACAACTACAGTGATTGTGTGTTAGACTCACACACGGGTGACCTAAACTACACACCCTGAACTCATCCTGTATAGACACAGACAGAGGACCAAAGCTGCTAGCTGTGCTAACATGCTGCAATCACTATGCCGCTATGCAGTGTAATGTGAAAATGTGTACTATACATATACGTAGATATATTTAAATTTGCCAGGTGTAAGCCTGGAGGGGATCATGCATTTGGGTGTGTGTGTGTGTGTGTGTGTGTGTGTGTGTGTGTGTGTGTGTGTGTGTGTGTGTGTGTGTGTGTGTGTCTGTGTGTGTGTGTGTGTGTCTGTCTGTGTTCATGTGTCTGTGTGTGTATCTGTCCGCAGCTGATCTCGCATACTGCTAGACCCATCAGTCTCATATTTTTGGTGCACATTTATGACTGTATGCACAAGGGCCTTTTGTGGTTGCAGTGATTCAGTCTTTGACAAACCAATGGTATTGACTGCTCTGTTGTATACCGCCTGCTGACTCCTCACTCCTCTTAATCGGCCAATAGGGACGCAAGGGATCAACAACTTCTTCAGTTTGGAATCTCGTTTCCGCTAGGGACAAGTAACAGTGTGGTTACTTTAGCATAGCTGCCAACTTTTCAAAAAACCTTGGAGTGAGATTTTGTCGGGTGTGACCAAAATGATGCCGCGCATGCAGCCACACAAGTTGGTGGCTCAGATATCAGAGGATTGGAATTCATTTGATGTTGTACCCATGTTGTACCCTGCATTCTGGTGGTTTGTGGGGAGACCCAAAGCCGCTGATAGGGACAGCCTACTGGAGATGGACAATATTGGTTACATTCTGAGAAGCAGACATAGCTGAAGGTCCACCCCCAGGAAATTTTGGATTAAGTAGATGTGATTTCCTGCATTCTAGTGGATTTTTGGGTGGTCTGCTAAAGATATGCACTACCTGAACTTATTCTGATTCATGTTCGGCATCATGACTTGTAGGGCTTTCTAGACTTGAGCTGAACATTCAACCAGAAAACTATTGTTGTGCCTAAATGACTGCCTGTATCACAATAAAGCCTTATTCATAGACCAGTGTTTAAGATTGGACCTAGGTACCTGTAGGTTGATTGATATTTTGATTAGAATGGTGTTAAACTGTGCGTAAATAAACAATGCAATGAGCTGAGTATTATTTTTTTGGCCTTTTGATGGCTTCGTTTGTGGGGGCGGCTGTGGGGGGGAGAGATGCCGCGCAGCAGGGGGCAGCGGGTCAGATTCGAACTTGGGCCGCTGCAGCAACTCCGTATATGGGTCGCCAGCTCTACCGACTGAGCTAACCGGCGGGCGCCCTGTCACACAATAGTAGTTCTTCTAGTTTTCTGTTGCTACTGTTACGTTTACTGTTCCCTTTTTTGGTTTGACTGGTTGTAAAGCATGTAAATGTAAATATAGAAAAAACATTCTGGACACACGCACGCACATACACACATGGACACCGATTCAAACGTTAATGTAAATGAAACCTCTGATGTTACCTGGGCAACTCCAGCAGACCGGTGTGCAAGCAAGATGGAGTGACAGCGGGGACGGCCAATCACACAAGAAACGGCAGAGCCAATCGAGGAGCTTGTGGGCGGGTCTAAACTAAGGGTAACAGGCTTCAGCTGGAGCGGCCGTTTTCCTCTTGGTCCTAAGGGGTATTGCACAAAACCAAGATAAGGGATTAAGCCGGGATATGTTGGTTATCCTGGCTGAATTTAGTTGGGTCAAGCTGCGCTTGCTCAATTATCCTGGATTTCTTTATCCTACTTTTGTGCAATACCCCTCTAGTGCTTGACGAGTCTATGTTTACTATAGCGTAACATTGTTTTTGGACGGTACAAACTGCAGGGGACCGAAACGGCCCAAGATCGGATTTTTTTAGTGTGAGAAATTGGATGTGTGGCGTGATGTGTGTGAAAACAGGCAAGTGCGTGTGTGAAACGGCGAAAGCGTGAGAGTTGGCAGCTCTGGAACTTTAGTGTTGGTATTTTCACTTTTTTGCTTTGGAATTGCACACAGCCTGCCCTACACTTCCTATTTCCCACTAATGGATAATTTCAGTTTAAAACATAAGTTTTATTTTTGTAGTTTTGGCCATAATTTATATCAGTAATTGTTGTTACAGAGTGGACACAGACAACAGGGATAAGGTGAAGTTAGGAAGGTTTATTAAAGGATAGCGGGGTGTGGGTGGAGTGGAGAGGTAGAAAAGATGGCTGGAAAGGGCAGAGGAGCAGTGGTAAATGTAGGCTGGAGAAGCATCAGGGTAGCAGGCAGGCAGATGTGAGGCAATCCTGGACACAAGGGAAAGACAGTTACTAACAGGATAGGAATCAACATATTGAATGGATTTCTGTATTAAACTATTCAATTCAATTCAATTTTATTTGTATAGCGCCAATTCATAACAGAAGTTATCTCAGGACACTTTTCAAATAGAGCAGGTCTAGACCGAACTCTTTATAACATTATTTACAGAGACCCAACAGTACCACCATGAGCAAGCACTTGGTGATGGGGGCAAGGAAAAACTGCCTGTTAAAAGGCAGAAACCTAGGACAGATCCTTCGGCTCTAGGTGGGTGGTCGTCTGTCTCGACCAGTTGGGGTGGTAAACTAAACTAAAGGCCTGAAGCGTGTGAATACCACAGTAGCTGAAACAATGATCTGGCAAAGAGTGTCAGAAGAGCTGGGGTTGAAATGTGGAAGTGTGTTGGTGGAGCATGGATCCAGGATCAAGCAGAGTGAGAGAGGGAGAGCCACACAAACACACAGACACAGAGACAGACAGGGGAGCTAGGGAGACACAAGGGTTAATTTCTGGGGCTCCGGCTTGGCATTGTACTCACCATAGTGATTGCTGAGATCTGGAAACAATGACATCACTAAACAGAAGTCTGATAGGGTAAGAAACACAAGCCTTCAGGCGATCAGACAGGTTGGAAACAAATCTCTAAGGTATATATTTGGAAGAGGAAACAAAGGTGAACAGTAAAATGATTACCCAAACTGTCTGTTGTTATCATCATCACAGTTTACAGATATACTTCTTGATTCAACTTTGACCTAATGTTATAAAGAGTCGGTCTAGACCTGCTCTATTTGAAAAGTGTCCTGAGATAACTTCTGTTATGAATTGGCGCAATACAAATAAAATTGAATTGAATTGAATTGAATTGACCTACTGTACCTCAATGAGAAGTGTAGACCTTTTTCACAGCAGCCATTTTAATATAAACCAGTAGGGTAAACACAGGTGTTACCAGTGATACTAATTAAGGTTCTGTTCCATTCCAGGTCAAACAGAGTGAGGGTGCTGTTGGTTCGCTGGAAAGGCTTTGCTGTACTGAATGGAACAGAACCTTAATTTACCTTTTCTAAGCCCCGCCCCTTTTTGCTCTGTGCTCCAATAACAGTTGGGTAAGCCTCAGTCAGAACCTCAGTCAACTTCCTCCTTTCCTGTACTTAGATATGCTAGGTGCTAGGCTAATCTATGTTGAAAAGCTAATGTCAATAAAACGCTTCCTAATTAGCTAGCTAATCTACATCGGTCGGCTAGGTGGTTACCTGGCAAAACACTTGATAACGACATAGTCAGTCAGCATTAATATATAGCTAGCTAGTTACATCTAAAAGCTAATGTTAGCAGAATGCTAGCTAACTAGCTAGTTTTAGTGTAGATTCACAGCTAGTTAGCTAGCGTTTCCCTAACATTAGCTAACTTAAGTGTGACTATATATGTGGCTTTTAGTTGTTTACTTATCTTAAAATGGGGTTAGTTTTTCAACATAAATTAGCCTAGCATATAGCATATCTAAGTACAGGAAAGGAGGAAGTTGACTGAGGTTCCAAATGGGGTGGTAATTAGGAAGGGCCAAAATGGCTCCTGTGAAAAGGTCTATTAAGCTACATTTAGCTACAACAGTTTGACCCTCAAATGAACTGTTGGTGTTTCCAACCTGTGTACAATGTTATTATTACTAATTTAAATTTGACTTAAAGGTCCAATGTGTAACATTTGCGAGGGATTGTCAGAAATTAAATCTATTATTCATAGTTATGTTTTCATTAGTGTATAATCACCTGAAAATAAGAATCGTTATGTTTTTGTTGTCTTAGAATGAGCTGTTTTTATTTACAGAGGGAGCGGGTCAACTTCCATGGAGTCTGCCATGTTTAACCGCCATGTTTCTGCACTAACCCAGAACGAACAAATCAAACACTGGCTCTAAAAACATTTTTCACATGTTTCACGAACATTGTAGGTTCTCCAACATGCTTGGTTGAGTCAAGGTGTTGCGTTGCTAGATGGCAAAAATCCTACACACTGGTCCTTTAGGTTGCAGTAAACCGTAATTATCCTGATAGTCTTTTCTCTACAGTTTGTCTATTCACAATTTGTAGCTGCTTTGTTCCTGCAGTTCTATTCCATTGTGTTTATTAAGTAGGTGATATTAATTGGAAACAGGACTCAAGGCACACATTTGTTCTTTGACATCCTTTCTCTTCCTAGTGGAGGATGAGGGAGGAGAGGCGGCAGACCTATCCGGTGAGGTGGTGAAGGAAGCCTCCCACCCTTCAGAAAATGCTGACCAGGAAGTAATTGTTGAGGGTCTCAAGTCCATCTGTAACATCCTGCTACACAATGAGAGAGGACAGGTCAGTCTGCTGTGTGTCTTCTCATACCTACATTTACATGAGTCCCTCAGATTATAACATTTAATTTGATTGGTGGTATTTTATAAAATGTATTTTTTTGGATGGATGGAAGGTGGTAGCAGCAGATCTGCAGCTGATAAAGGGTGTTGCAGAGAGGCTGAAGCAGTGTCATGATCCCACCTGGAACCATGAGGTAAGGACAGTAAGGTAGACATTTAAATGTAGAAGCCACATGAGACTGGAACCTGATTTTTTTCACAGATTATCTGTCTCATGTACTGCTGTCAAAAATGACTAAAAGTTATTTTTATAAAAGTTGCCTACTGCAGCTTTAACCTTACAGAAACATGTAATTATCTGTGGGAGGGTGAGATGGCACTGCAGAAGAAGAATCATAATTGGAGGTATGATGATTCCCTGGATTTTAAACCACCAAACTGACCATGAATTATTTGCAATTTTAACCTGGACCACCACTGTCTGTCTTTAGGTAAATTTAAAAGTTAAAGACTGTATGAACATAGAAGATGGGGTGACACTCTGAAGTAGGACTGGGTATATTTTGAATTTATTCAATACAGATGTCAATACCAAAATTCATCATGTTTGTTTCTATTTTTTTACAAACCTTTTTATTTTTCATTTATCAAAATCTGTCAAACCTCTCAAATACATTCATACATGTTTAATGCCGTCTCAACTCAAAGCAGTTGAACAAGACTGTTGAAAAAAACACACTGACCAAGCATTCGATTTCTGCGTTTGGTACTTCAGTGTTTGATACTTAGATTCATTTTCTTTTGCACCAAATAAGCGTTAAGGTTCATACATATTCAGCCCTGCAACGAAGAGGCAAATACAGCTAGAGAGTGAGTGATGTCTCATTTTGTCTCTGCTTTCCCTGACCAGGTGCGATTCTTTGACCTGCGCCTCACCTTCCTGCTGACTGCCCTGAGAGTGGACACCAGGGCACAGCTGGCTCAGGAGCTTCATGGCATCAGTCTGCTAGGTGATTTCCTGTTTATCTTGTGTATCTACTGACCTCAGAAACCAACCATCGTCATCTCTCTAGGTTACTAGTCTTAAGTAAGAGGCCATTCGCCAATGTCTGTAACGCCTAGGATGTTCAACAAGCCATGATAAATCTATAACCAGACTTGATAAATAAACATACTTAAACAAACATTCAAGAAGCAAATGATTCTGTAAACAGAAGGTACAAATGTGCTAAGTTAAAGAGCTTCCTGCCCTGTATATGTTACAGGCAACCAATTGGATGCTACACTGGGTCTGTGCTGGCCAGACACATTGGAAACAGCCAGGGCAGGGTTAGAGGGCGTCCCACCTGAAGAACTGCCCCCACTGAGCCGGCAGCAGACAGAACTAGCCATGGAAATACTGAAAATACTCTTCAACATCACATTTGACACAACCAGGCGCAAGGTTGACGAGGTACTGAAGAAAATTCCACCTTTTTTCGTATTAGTTTAGCCATGGTGTTATCAACATTATACTAATAATTGTGAATTCTGTTGTCAAAAGTCAGTGAGTATAATAGTTAATCCAGAATCAACTTACTGTATGTTAAAACAGAATTACTTATTTCAGAAACACCTACACTCATGGTTTTCTTTGTGCATCAGCTCATAAGGATGCACTTCTTCTGAGCACCTTTGCAGAGTCATATCAGTGAACAATCCACATAAAGGTCTTTTTTAGTTTTCACTGTATCGACTGCCATAGTGGGTCTTAAAGCCATCACCCACCCTTAATCTATACATTACATTAATGTTTGGTTTTTATCTTGCACATTGCAATATCATTATTTGTCACACTGCAAACTTGCACATTCCCTGAAAAATATTTTGCACATTCCTACAAACTGTACAGCTCTTCTTTCATTCATTAATTTAAATAACGGTTATATTGTACATATTGTCCTTTTTTATATTTGTATATATTGTCATATATAAGTGGGAATAAACACCATTCTGATGAGTAATGAGTAATTGGGGTAAACCTAAAACCGGTATCAGTATCTGTCTCAAAAATCTCATATCGGTCAAGCTCTAGCAAGAAACACTTCAATATCAGAAAACAACAGGATGTTAGTTGGTCAGTTTCCTCTGCCTGTCTTTGGAGAAAGTGAATACTATATGTCTGTACCATCTGTGTGTGAAGGAAGAGGCAGCAGAGTACAGACATTTGGGAGCCATACTGAGACACTGTCTGATGAGCCATGCAGACGGAGAGGAGCGCACTGAGGAGTTCCACAGGTAGGACAGCACACACTGTACTGGTATGTCTGTCTTTGCTCCTCTGTGACGCCGTCCCTCTAACTCCCACTGCCTCTTTTTCTCAGCCATACTGTTAACTTGCTAAGTAACCTCCCCCTGCCCTGTCTGGATGTACTACTGATACCCAAGGTGCAACAAGGCTCCATCGAGTACATGGGGGTCAACATGGATGCTGTCAACATGCTGCTGGAATTCATGGAGAAAAAACTTGACCGGGTAAGACAGGACTGTGTGTATGTGGGTCCATTACATCCAATGTTATAACAGTAAGTGTAAAGACATGAATTCTAATCTGAATTACACGAAACAATGGTGACAGTGTGTGGGCTGTTACCTTAATATAACAGCTTCGAAGTCATTTCCATGGTAAACGAACTTGTAGTATAGCGAATCATCCCGATAGCAAAGCTGGAGAGGGACGCCATTGGCAGAACCAGCAATGCAAGTCTGAAAGGTGGCGCCCCGCCAAATCTCGCGAGAATCACGAATTGCTTCACATACATCAGCGACATAAGAAACAGCCTCAATGGAAGACACTAGCAGGCATTCACTCAGACGTTACCTGGTCAGTAGACATCTTCGGAGTCTATCTTTGCCTGTTCGATGTCCGACGCTTCACTCCTACTGAACACGTACCGGTATACAGCGTATATAGAGACGGCTCTGGTGAGTGGTATTTATGACAGTTAACGTTAAATACAAGTACTCCGCAGCGACTCTAGGGGTAGCTGTTTGACAAAACCGGAAAACTGCATAGTATGCCTTTAAAGCTGTTTAGGGGAAAAAACATGCAGTTTATTGCATGTGGTATAAATGTGTTATTTTCACCTAGTGTATTTTCTGCATACTGGTGTTCCTAAACAGTGCTTGAATTGCATAAATTTGAAATGAATGGAAAGCTAAGACACATACTTCCTGCCACCCCTGCATAAGTTAGTGCCACACTTGTACCAACCCAGTCAAAAAAAATCTAAAAACACCCCTGGTCCTGAGACTAATCTCTATCGCTAGGTGGAGTTGTATGTTAACTGATGAATGAATGGTGTCCATGTGAAAAACATGAAAGTATACAGTACACAAATTCTTTATTCAAGTAGAAGTACAGATACTTGTATAAAAAACACTCCTGTAAAAGCAGAAGTAGTGATCACTAAGTAAAGTAAAAGTACAGGCTCAGGACATTTGCACCATTTCTACCAGCTGTTTCTGTGCAAAGCTTACTAAAACCTCATATAGGGTTGACTCTCTCTCTCTGGTCTGTTTTGTCGTTACATCGTTACATTCTTATGTTGTTTTCATCATGTTACATCTGTCATGTGTGATATGCAGTCTTGATGTCGAAAAGGCGTGCAATCATGAAAAATAATAAAAATAAAAGTCATTAATTCCCTCAAATGCATTCAAACTAAAGTAATGAGACTGTTTTGAAAATGTAAGGAGTAGAAAATACAGTTATTTGGGTAAAAATCTAGAGGGTAAAAGCAAAAGTTGTCAGAAGTATTTGTACTTACTTGTTACTTCTCACCTCTACAGCCCGGCTGGTCGTATTTATCATGAGGTTATAAGAGTTAGCTTGTCTGTTTCCCAGGGACATAAGCTGAAGGAGACCCTTCTCCCATCGCTGAACCTGCTGACTGAGAGTGCCCGCATCCACCGAGAGACCAGGAAGTTCCTCAGGTTGAAGGTCAGTACTGGGCTAATGAAGGAATGAGTATTGGTGGCTGTGGCTCAGAGGCAGAGCGGGTCGTCCACAAATCGGAAGGTTTTTAGTTCGATCCCCGGCTCCTCCTGCCACACGTTGAAGTATCTTTGAGCAAGATACTGAACTCCAAATTGCTCTTGATGATGTGCATCACTGAGGAGTGAATGTGTATGAAAGGGTGAATGTGGCATGTAATGTAAAAGTGCTTTGAGTGGTCGGAAGACTAGAAAGGTGCTATACAAGTACAGGTCCATTTTGCATTTACCATTACTGCTGCTGTTTTTATGGCTCAGGTATCCATGTACGTGTGTGTGTGTGTGTGTGTGTGTGTGTGTGTGTGTGTGTGTGTGTGTGTGTGTGTGTGTGTGTGTGTTTGTATGTGTATGTAGGTGCTGCCCCCACTGCGGGATGTGAAGAACAGGCCGGAGGTGGGCAACGCTCTGAGGAACAAACTAGTCCGTCTTATGACACACATTGACACTGATGTCAAGGACTGTGCTGCTGAATTCCTCTTTGTTCTTTGCAAAGAAAGTGGTGAGGGAAAAATCTGTTTGACTTTTTCCCCCAAATAATTCATCAAAATTCTTGTATGACTGATTTTAAGCCCATGGCTTACTGTAATATTGACCATCTCCACTGATCAACTGTGTCCACATCATTTCACCATAAAATTTGGCTATGGTTGAACGACTTAAAGCTGCTGTTGGTAACTTTTATGAAAATAACTTTTTGTCATATTTGCTGAAACTTTCACTATATCCTGACAGTAGTACATGAGACAGATAATCTGTGAAAAAATCAGGTTTCTCTGGCTCCTTCTAGTGCTCCACCGGGCCTGAATGAAAACAACCAATTAGAGCTGAAAAGAATAGAAAAGACACTTTGGGTTGGTGGTTTGAACATAGTTGATTGTTGAGTTTCATTCCCAGCAACTGATTTAATGACCTGGGAATGAGACTCAACAATCAACTATTTTTCTCTGAACCTGATTTTTTCAGTTTTTCTGTCTAATGTACTACTGTCAGGATATAGTGAAAGTGTCAGTAAATATGACAAAATCATATTTTCATAAAAGTTACCTACTGCAGCTTTAAGGACAATTCCAACAGGATTCAAATCACTGACCAGGGCAGGTAATGTTAAATTCCCCCATCTCCCCTATAGAAATCAATTCAGTCCGAATGGAGTTTAGTGACCCCAAAGAGGTAAAAACAGTTAAGATGTGATTTTGATATGGACAGTGTTAAGATGCACAAAGATAGTTCAGTAGTAGTTCAGTGAAGCTTCAACGATCACTTCATATCAACCATGGTTGTACTTCATGCCTGGTGATAAGACTGGAGTCCAACAGAAGGCTGGTTGAATTGGCTTGTATTCATGTATTAAAGTACTACCATATTAACAGTAACATGTTCTCTATACAGTTCCGAGGTTCATTAAGTACACTGGATACGGTAATGCTGCAGGTCTGCTGGCTGCCAGAGGACTGCTTCGGGGGGGCCGAGACTCTGGGATCTATTCTGAGGATGAAGAATCTGAGACAGAGGAGTACAGAGAGGCCAAGGCCCAGTCAGTACCTCCACAACACTGTTACCTTAACTAAGTGCCTTATGTATTATGTCTCATAAACTATGATATTATGTGTCTTTGACTAATGAACTTGACAGATAGATTTTTGTAGTCAGTAGACGATTTGTTAATTTTCAACATGGGGGGCGGCCCAAGGGAGCAGCCGACTGAAGAGAAGATGAGGAAGTCACTCACTATAAGCTATAGTTTAGGGCAGGGGTATTTAATTACAATTCTAGTAATCTACCAAGGTGAACCACCATGTTTCTATAGTAGCCAAGAACCATGGACAAATATAAAGATGGATGAATGACAGCTCTCCAAAAGTGTGGCCAAAACATCTCAATCACCCCCTGGTGGCCAAGTGCAGTAGGTCAAAAAGCCTGCTGCTGCCATGTTAGCAGATGGGCCAAAGTACATGTCAAATACATTTTTCCCAAAGATGTTTTTGTCAGTTTTGCTGTTGGGTTTAGTTTTTTCATCAGTTTGGTTTTAATTAGTTATTTGAAGCTATAAAAAGGGGGTTTCATGTCATGATTGACAGCTGAGCCCTGCTCACGATTGAGTTGGCCAGGCCTATTATACACTAATGAATACATACCTATGAATATTATATTCTGTTTCTGCAAATAGATTCTCCCAAATGTTACACACTGGACCAGAATGTTGCTGATTTCTGCTCTTTTGATATCCCCCCTCCAGTATAAACCCAATAACAGGAGTTGTAGAAGAAGAGCAGCCCAATCCCATGGAGGGAATGACAGAGGAGCAGAAAGAAATTGAAGCCATGAAGCTGGTCAACATGTTTGACAAACTGTCAAGGTCAATATAAGCAGCACACACACACCAACACACATACTCACACATGCAACTTGTCTGCTGGTCAGTTTGAAGTCATCCACAGTACATTGTGTGTCACTTTTCATTTATTTCAAAACTGTTATCTTTCACAATAGATATATTGTTATAACAGCTATATTCAAATATATAATTGATTTGATTTACAGCAAGTATTTTTTTTGTTCTTCTCAATTTATTATAACTGACAATTGCAAAGAATAAATAGATAAGACTGAGAATCAGAATCATTTAGTGGCATTTACCTCCTTTTCTCCTGTCCTGTACTTAGATATGATATGTGCTAGGCTAATCTATGTTGAACAGCTAATGTCTATAAAACTAACTAGTTGGCTAATCTACAACTGTGGTTCAAATTCTGTTGTCTATGTAGAACACTATGCACACTACTTGCGTAGTACAGTAATTACCGGAAATGATAATCACAAGATTTGCTGCTTCACCTTCTTCTTCTACACTGATTTACACCTGGACGGAGCATTAGTGCCAATACCGGCTCATTTATTAGTGGATTTATTCAAAATAATAATCAAAAACGAACCTGCTTCTTTTTTGCCTATTGTTTCATGCAAGGTAGAAATTACACCGTCTACAGAGACGTCGTCTCACGGAAAATGTACCATATGTTCTTGTTCAACATTAACTGCTTTATCTCCGGTATTCTGACTGAGGCACCCCACAAAAAAATGACTGAGTCATTGTTTTCACACTTTGCCTGCTGATAGGCCCTCCAGAGTCCCAAATGTACACAATCGATTAAAAAGTTGGTTTTACGTAATATGTCCCCTTTAAGCGAAATATTTGTTATCATCTTTCATTGACCATTGACCACCCTAGTGACAAGTGTCCAGTGTTCCACATTAAACTTTTTGACCGTTATGAGTGCACCATCCGTGTACTTGCACTCGACAGTGTGAACACACTTATGTACTCAACATTAGTGTAAGTATGGAAGTATTTGAATTGAGACACATCATACATAAACCTCAGCTAGGTAGTTACCTGGCTAATGAGTTAGCGTTTTGATACAGAGCAAATACGAACTAGCCAGTCAATCAACATGAATATTAAGCTAGTTACATCTAATAGCTAATGTTAGCAGAACGCTAGCTAACAATTTATGTAGATTAGCTCAAGGCTCATTGATGCACGTGGGGAGAGAAGGCTGGCCCGTGTACTACTGGAGCTCAAACTGCTCAAACACTTCATGCTGGTTCTGATGGAGAGGTGTCAGAACACACAGTGCATCAGTTTGCATCATACATACACACACATTACATTTGAACTATTTCTCCCTGCAGGACCAATGTGATCCAGCCCATGCAGCTCGGTATGGACGGGAAGATGAGGGAGATGACTCCTAAGGATCTGCATAAACTGGCCCACAATCCTTTGTTCCAGCCAGAAGAGCCAGCTAATTCAGACAGTGAGAATGAGGCTTAGTGAACAGAAGCATAAAGACAGAAACAGATTCAACTCCTGTGACAACCGTGGAAGATCTGTCTCATTATTTTAGAACCTGATGGGAGCTGAAGTACGGAAAGTCAGTGTAATATTATAACAAATACAGCTTAGACATGCTCTATATGATAAGTTCCATTATGATTTGGCGCTATATGAATATCATTTAATTGAAGTGAAATCAGTCAAAACACAGCATTATGTAACAGTTTGGGTCCGTGTTTCTCTGTTGAGGGAAACTCAGAGCCACGCTGGTACTGGGGTTTCCACAATACACTCTAACACATCATCCCTATCAAGCCCGGTTGTACAACTACTATTTTATCATACATGAACAAAACAGATGCCACACGTAGCCCAAAAGTTAATGTTGAGTTGAGAGGCAAAAGCAAAACAGGAGCTAAGCAACAGACATCCATTCACTGCAGGTGTACCGCTCAAATAACTCAAGGCAGGTTAGGCGCTGTCTGATGATGCTTCTCTCGTATCTAGGCAACACAGTCTCTTAAAGGCGCATTTTACAATTTCAGCTGTTACAAGTAAATGAAGCAGCTTAAAGGACCAAATTTGTAGATGACTTTGCTTCCTTTCTTTGTTTCACTTCAGTTCATTACTCAGTGAAAACCCTAAGGGCACTGTGGAGCACTGTATAACAACACCAAGTGAAACGGATATTTGTGCTGGTTTCCTGTAGGATGGTTTAATGTAGGTTTGGAAGGTCAACATTGTTCCTCAGTCAACTCATATAAGCTCCAAGAGATTCATTCTTTTGATTGACAGCTATTGCTAGCTTTCAGAAAGTGGTGGGGGAAATTCTTGGCGACTCAGAAGCCAGCATCTGGTCCCCTAGTATAAAAAATAATTCTACTTGAATGCAACAGAGAAACCAAACCGTCCCTGCTTACACAACACATAACCAGTCAGTCAGTCTAAAAATTGATGATGTACTTGGAAAATACGTGAAAAAATCAGCTTCCTCTGGCTCCTCCTAGTGCTTGTAATGGCAAAACAAAAACAACCAATCAGAGCCGTGAAAAATACTACTTATTATATAGTCTATTGTTTTTATTTTTAAATGTACCTACTGCAGCTTTATTTGGTTAATAGTTGCAGTTCATGTTTATTCACGATTCTCAGTGTGAAGATTATCACTGTGCCTCAGCTCTTTTATCATCTTTCATTGGTCATTGGTTATTTCTCATCCTCATTCACATGTCAGCTCCACACACGTACTGTATGCTGTGTGCCATTGTGTTGACCCTTCCCATTCCATTCCCCCAGCCTCTGTTGTAAAGCTGTTCATGGTTCTAGACCAGCAAAGGGTTGCCGCACTGGAACCAGTTTTCCCAGCTGAGGATTTTCCACCAATGTAGCTCTGATTATTGAACCGGTTTCGTTTAAGATTTTTGGAACCTTGTTGCTATCTAGTGAATCAGCCTGTGTTTCCACCAGTTTTGAGCGGAACCATTGTAATCAGATGCATCATCAACAGAGGGTGCTGCACAATGCACAGAGACCTGTGGAATATGACACACCCACTTTTGTTGCCAAGGAAAACCTGATACTTTTTGGTTCCAGTCGGGTACCAACTTTTTGGGTTCTGAACCACTTTGTTTTTGGTCAAAATGTTCCGAACTGTTTCAAACCAGGTGCCCTAAACAGAATGGAGTCAGTCCCCTGTTGGTGGAAAAGGCACAGAACCTGAACCTCATAAGCGTCATGGTTCAGGGTCATTTATTGCAGTAAGCCTTTATAGCAGCATGTTTAAAATGAATAATAATCAAATGAAATTATATGATGCAGTTTACAAAACACTGCAGCTGAGGTCACCCAGAACTTCCTACCTGAGACCCAGACCATCTGTTAGCCAAGATAGTTTGGATTTGATTAGTTGAGGGTCTTCACCTTTTAAGACTTCTGTGACCACCTCGAAGCTCAAAGGTGAAAGGAACTTGGTTTGTAATCTGTAAAGCTTTAGAAAAACTCAACAGCATCATGTTTTTCAGAAACAACACCTCAGTTACTTCAATGTAATGCGTGTTATTTTAACTAAAGAAAAGTTTTGAAACGGATTACATCAAACATTTATTTAAAGCTTTCGATGAAACAGCTTTTACTAGTAATTTTAGATGACACTAACTTAGTATGACAAGTTAAGGAAACTTTCCTGATTAAGCATTTTATTTTCACAGTACAAATAAAAAATGTAATCAGTTTCAAAAAATGTTTAGTTAAATTAACCGGTTTTACAGTGTGTTACTCAGGACAATCCACAGACCTCTATATCAACTTTGTAGGAATATTTTACAGAATGTTGGAGCATGGTGAGATGGAAGACAGTTGTCAAATCTACTCTTCATTTGAGCGGAGGAAAATGTATGGAAGCTAGCCAAAGAGCTGTCTTTCAGTTTGAGACAATGGAATCAACTGTATTTTTGAAATAAGAAAAAAAAGAAGACTTTTAGATGCCTGTTGTTTTTCAAAAAGCCCTTCAGATGTTTTATTTTTTAAGTGAAACATGAAACTGCAGACAGATAAGTTCTAATTTTAGAGTGAAGATTAAATAATTTTATGCAAAGAAAGACTATAATCTGAAACACATTATATATTCAATGTATACTCCTTTATATTGTTTAGCTTCTAGAGTGGACTGTAATGTACATTAAACGTGTTTAAAGGACAGTTCTCTCGTCTTATTTTAGATGCAGTTATTGTGCTAATTTAACCCGTGCTAAGTGCTTGTTGGACTAACGTATCTCATCCTACTGCTGCCATTCTTTTACAGCTTTAATGGGCCATATTCTGGTTGCTGGTTTGGTTAACATTTTTTCAATAATTTCATTTAAAGCATTAAAATACTTCACTCTTGTCTTTAAAAGTTGTAAACCCTCAGATACCTTCAATAGAATCAAACTGATTTCCTGTCAAAGCCAGATAGGCCAGGTAACAGTGAGTGACACAGTGTAGTTGAAGTCCAAGGACAGCCTGACATATCAATACAGAGTGTGTATCTAACTCTACACTGTTTCCCAGACCTGCAGAGGTCTTGTCTTTTATTATCTTCCTACTGTATTTAACAGCACAGGAGCCGAGCTCTGGCTGCTCTCTGACACACCCAACTACAAAAACTGGAACATTAATGATCCCTAGGCGAAGAAACAGCATGATTAAAGATAGAAAGAAGAAAATGATATGTGTGGAACATACTGTATTGAGACTGACACTAATAATGTGAATGAAAACAAGCTATATCAAAATATAAAAGATGTTTAATATTGAAACACTAAAGAAATAATATGATAATTTACTGATATTTTTTATAATAATGTTAATAATGTTAATAATAACTTGCATGTTTATAGTTTTTTCCTTCTTAAAACTCCACTATCCATCTATCTATCTGTCTGTCTGTCTGTCGGCATAAATGGAATATAATATTCATAGGTTTTCACTAACATAAAGGTTATGGTATGGCTGGTATGCCAGCAGTGTAGTACTGCACTCCCATAAAGCTGGTGCAGAACAAAATGGTCGAAGCAGCTGTGGCTTATTTACGCTAATATGACCTTGCTGACATCATCAGTAATATTTTAGACGGAAGACAATAAACAACAAAGTAAGCCAAAGTAAAAACAGGAGAGAAGAGAATTATGACACAACTCATAATTTTAATCATTATTAACAAGTATAGGTATGGATTTACACTCTGTTCATAACTTTGTTTTTGTTTGCTTTATGTAGTTTTGTACATATTCTGTGCGTGCAAGGCAAAGATAAACATGACAGTAGAAAATAAAATTCTCCCCTAGGATGAGACGGAGGCTCAGGTCGCTGACAGCACGGGGAGCTGAACTGAGGTCTGCCCTTACAAAACACACACCACTCTCCACAAGCACCCTGAGAGTTTGATAGACTGAACCAAATGTTGTTACCTCACAATATCTGACCACACATTGGGATCCTATCTGGTCCTCCCCATGATGGACTTGGTGATTACACATAATGTTGCCTAGTGGAGCGACTGAAACTGAACTGGTTTGAACGCCACATACTGATGTGATTCCACAGAAACATGCAGAGCTTTAGTGTCCATGTGTTAATCTGGAGACTGTAAAAGGCTTGATGTGAAGACATCTTAACAAGGCAAAAGAAAGAAGAACATTTTCCCACATGCATGGTATGATGGGACTTGTTAGAAATTGTGTAAATGAAATTGATTTGACCTCATTTGAATGTATAAATATAAAATATTCATATAATTGTGAGAAAATAACCAGAAAGGCTATTTTCTTTCATTGTAAATGTCTTTTGCAAGATGTTGGGACCCACCTCACCTTTATGTAGTAAGAGCGGAATTGGGAGGTATCGTTAAAAAATCCAAAAACATCCAATTAAGGCAAAACCTTAAGCTTTATGTAACCTGGTTCCAAATCTCCAGGTTGCCGCCCACGTCTGAAATTTTACTGAGGTGCAGAGCTGTTCTCCTGATTGGATGTTTCCCCTGAAACAGTCTTTTCCTTTGTGAGCATATAGGGTCAGTGCTGCTCCAGAGGCAGAATCCAAACAAATATGGTGCCAAGTAGGGCAACAACTAACAACTATTTTCATTATCAATGAATTGTTTGGTCTATAAAATGTCAGAAAATTGTGAAAAATGTCCATCCCAGTTTCTCCAAGGTGACGTCTTTAAATGTTTTGTCGGTCCCAAAGATATATATTCTATATATTATATGTTCTTCATATCTGAGAAGCAGAAAAAATACTTTTCTGACATTTTTGCATGAAAAATTACTTTAACAGTTAATCAATTATCAAAATAGTTGCTGATTATTTTCTGTCGAATAATCGACTATTCGAGTGTAAATGAAACTGACACAGCTATAGAGATGTTGTCCTGGACTGACTGAAATAACAGCCCTTATATAAGAACATTACACGGGATGCATTTCCTCATGAGAAATGTCTCGGTGCTGTTCTACCTGTTAAACCTTGAATTTATTTGATGGCCCCTCTAGTACATGAGGAAATGCTTTCTTCCTTGATGGTTTTAATTGAAAATAAAGAACACAACTAACAGAGCTTGCACAATGACAAGGAATTGTCACTGTGTGCTGCTGAGGTCCTGCAGTGATGTTACATCTATCGCCATATTGAGTGCTGCAGGAATGAGTCCTAAAACACGGAACTAAGTAAGCGTTTTAACACCTCTGGTTCCCTTTCCTCAATGTCAATAGGTTTCATTGTATGGGTTTTTGGTTAGATGTCTGAAATAAGGTCTGTGGTTGAAAGCTTAAGTTCAGTCCAGTGTAACATTTAGGAACATCTATTGTCAGAAATATAATATTCATATTCAGGTTTGTTTTCATTAGTGTATAATCACCTGAATATAGGAATCGTTGTGTTTTTGTTACCTTAGAATGAGCTGTTTGTATCTACAGAGGGGGTGGGTCACCTTCTATGAAGTCCATGTTGAACCACCATGTTCCTACAGTAGCCCAGAACGAACAAACTAAACACTGGCCGTAGATAGGACTGTTTGTGTTTTTTGCACAATTGGCGGCCAACGTAACCTGCTAATTTCCATAAATCTCACTGGTGGAAATAGGTTGCACATCTTGTATTCCTGCAGTTTACACAGTGTGTCTGGGGGAAATGTGAAACCAGCTACCTGCCTGGTGCCAGTGTGACGCCTGTTAGAGACTATTACGTACACTGCAGGACCTCAGTAGAATGGAGTTAAATGAACATGCTTGATATGTTGTAAAACAGATTACTTTGATTGACATGATGCAACCTAACTGGTAATTTGCTAATTTGCTGGAAGGATCAGCTAAAGGTGTGTTCAGACTGAATGCAAAGTGAATTTTAGAGGTGGCACGGTTGCATATCACTCACTGCGAAAAAATGACTACTTATCCTGCAGCTTTATGACTCAACGATCAGCGTAAGCAGATGAGATGATGATTCTGGAGCAAAAGAACAGGTATCGTCATTTCTGACATCAAGTCACACAGGTACACACCGTAGACACACAGTCAGTGCTTATGTTGCTAGCTAGCCACAGCTAACGTCTGTACATTAGCTTTTAAGGGAAAATAAGCTGCAAAAACAGCCCAGTGGTCACATTTGAACACATAATGCAAGCTAACACAACACAAACACAAACTATAACAGATTCTCCTAATCAACTCATAAAGTTAAAAAAAATCTAGCTTATTTTCAGAAGATGAAGTTTGTAGAACATTCAATGTATTTTTTCCAGGCACGCATACATTTGACCACTGGACCATCTGTGCAGTCCATGTTTATTTAACAACCAATATAGCAGCTGTACAGACGTACAGACGTACAGACGTCAGCTGTACACGGCCTCTCTTATTTCTGCCAATGCCTCTGTGGTTGGGTAGACCTACAACCAATCAGAGCAATGAAACATGTGATGTAGCGCAGTTGGTAAATTAAATTTACCCAATCCTGTCAGATAGCGGATTCAGCAGAACGTTCCACATCAGCAGCAGCCATCTTGTTTGTCAACCTTGCGAGGCAGCTGGACTATCTCTCCATCTTGCCAGGCTTCAAACTATGCACTTGTGTGTAGCAGCATGATTAATGCTGGGTGTGCGAGAAGTTAGCTCAAAAACAACAGTGGTGGTGCTAAGGAGGTTAGCGTAGACGCTACTAGCATCAGTTATATCAGAACTGGAGAGTATCTCTTCACTGAACGGCACTGAAGGCTTCTCTCCATGGAAAGGATGTTTTCTCTCTTCTCCTGACTGGCTTCAGTAAGAGTTTGACTACGTTATATGGTTCATTGATCTGATTGGCTGGAGTTTGCTTTTGACGGTGACAGACAGATGGTTCATCCAATCATCCGCTGAGTATTTTTTTTAAAAGGGCCTGGCTTTTCCTAAACAGTTTGAACAATGACCTCACAGATGGTTCTGTTTAACAAGGTTATCAACAATAAGGTTGTGCTCCTCTGTGCAGTCATCAGTATGAAACCCGCCCCATATTAGACAAACGGTTGTGATTGGCCCGACCAGATGTGTGAACGGGAGGGGGACCAGACGCATACCACACAAGCTTACTGTTTCTACAGAAGGGTACAACATTCATGCTGCTCTCAGACCTCATATACCCACCCAGTTCAGTGATGTTACAGACCCCTCCCTCCTCTCTCTCCCAGGTGTGCCCCTTCTCCTCAGGTGAGTCAGTCTGTGCATTTTATTTAGACAGAGGGGGCTCAGTTCTTTGGTCTGCTGGCTCTGCCTTTGTTGTGTGCTGTTTAGAGACCGCCTCTCCTCTCTCCTGTGTGCTGTTTCTCAGATCCACTGAGGCCAGATTGGTGCCTGGGCCCTTCTCCTTGTGGGACAGAGGACTCACTTGAGGGTTTTCTGGGGATTCAGCTGGGATTGTGCTGGGGGTCTTTTCTTCGGTGGGTGGGGACACCAGCAGTTTTTCGAGAGTTTGGGGCAATGCAGGCACTCTGCTGGGGCTCTTTTTCTGGGATGTGGGGGGTACAGGAGGCTTTTCCAGGATTTGGATTAGTGCCAGAGGCCTCTCTTTGTCGAGAGCTGCAGCTGGACCCAAGAGTCGGGGTGCTGATGCTTCTTGCTGAGCCTGAGCTGTAGAGGAGGGACACCCTGAGCCCGGGGCTTCCTCCTCTCCTGGAGGGGAGTGCTTGGTTTCAGCTACCGTCCCTTCGCAGCCAGTCCTTCCTCTCTCTGCCTTCAGCTCATCCTTCTGGACAGCCTCCTTCTTTTCTCCTGCTGTCCCTTTGTCACTGGCTGGGTGGATGAAGAACATACAGACAGATTGAAGGATACGTTTAGACCGCAAAAAGAAAAACAACAAATCAAAGAATACCAAAAACAGAAGGTAAGTTATGAGCATGACTGAAACACCGCTCTCACCCTCCTGAGCTCTTTGTGCTTCCTCCCCACTGGATGGAATTTCAGTGCAGGTGGGCAGATCGCCTCTGTTGCCCCGGAAACGGATGGGTGACCTCTGTAACACCGCCTTCAGTTCTAAGAGAGATGGAGGCAGACATAGAGGGGCTCGAGATTTATCGGAGAGCAGTGGCCATATTACAGAAACTTCTTAGACAAGGGTCTGAGATTCCCAGTGTGGTACTATAGAAGCAAATCCTAGCCAACTTTAGAAATTCTATCTCATCTCAGGTTTGAAAATCCTGACTACTTAGTTAAACATCGTTTATCAGCTTTTATGTCTGTTACCAAGCAACCAACATTATTCTCTCATCTCGCTGAGCTAAACAACTTTGTTAAGGATGTTTTTTTCTCATTGAAATAGACAAAAACTGGAGCGAGAACAATGACGGGCACTAAACTTCAAGACAGATGAGTTAGAGGGAACCTCGGGAGAAGACGTTCTTTTTAGGAAACAGTGCTAACTCTGGAGAATAAAGAGAGTTCCACCTCATTGACATTTGGTTGGTTGTGTAAAAGGAATAAAAGAGAAGACATATAAAATAAACAAGTTTAGCGAACACTACCTGATGGAAAAGTGTTAGGAACTGTTCATCTGTAATGTCTTCTTTTCCTAAATCAGGTCCCAACTCTAATTACCATGGTAACCAAACAGTTCAACGATCAGTGTGTAGGATTTAGCAGCATGTAGTGGTGTAGTTACTGACCGCACATTTTCGCCTCACCCTCCCTTTCAAGCACAAAGGGGAAACTACGGTGGCCGCAAAACACATAAAAAACGCAAATGCCCCTATGTAGAGCCAGAGTATGGTTTGGTTTACCTGCTTGAATGCCATCTTATTTGCAGACAAGGCGAATATCAGCCAATATATTGGTGCATCCCTACTCTCCAATACCAATACATCCTCATAAATGTTACACAGTGGACCTTTACGCTTTCACAGACGTTATTACTATAATAAGTATTTTTTATTTTTAGTTTTTTACGTCTTCATTAAACGTAGTCTCACCTTGTGTCATGGCCAGAGTGTCCTCGTGGACGGACACAGCCCTGCGCTGCGGAAGGGGCTTCAAGTGTTGCCGTGGCTTAGGAAGACTCTCTAGAAGAATAAAAAGCACACAGCTTTAAATCTACTTTTTGGAAAATTTTGAAAGATGTAATATTATAACAATTTCAGTGCCAATTGAAAAGAGTGAGCAAGAGACTGACAGAGAGAGAGAGAGAGGGAACCCTGATGGGTCGTATTATTTTTCAGATCACATTGTAACATGTTATGATCACAACAATGTTATATAAATATATTTGTTACATGTAAATGTAACCAAACCACTGAATGCAACCTCACTATGTAGGACATAAATCTATCTATCCATAGTGGTTTCACAGCATGACTCTCACATGGTGCCCATGTGGCTCATGTGTGACTATGTCAACTGTCATGTCACATCCAGGTGATAATGACCCAGAGGTGTTAAATCTGTGGGCCTGTTAACATGGTGAGTTTACAGACCACCATGAGCCCCCCTGAGCCCCCCTTTAAGGACCACCCCTTAACTGGTTTCTCATAAAAGCTCACAATTATTTGCTGTTACTGAGATCAGACAGACTTACCGTCAGTCACTGATTGTGCTTTCTCTGAGCGATCCTGTGTGCTGGGACCCCTCCATGGGGACGGGGCTGGAGGAAGCAGCTCTTTCCTGGGGGATAAAGCTGTGGCTGAACCCCGGGGACCCTCCTGGCTTCCATTCTAAGGATGAAGATCAGAGGGTGCTCAGTGGGACATGACACCAACAGTATGACTGCGACTGCAGTATGTCACAAATGATATTAGCATATGTAATCATAGAACAATTGTGTCAGTATGGAAACTGTGTTATGTGTGAGAGGTATTTCTAATATTTAGTCCCTCACTGATATTTGGAGTGAACAAAATATTAGAATCACTATCAAGTTTACCTAATAAACTGACAACTGAGTGTATTTGATTGTACTTGATCATTTTATGACCACAAGGATTCACAGTATTCTCTGTTGAGAACGTCAGAAAAAGTAGCTCCTTCCAAAAACATTAACATTAGAAAAAAGACAGAAACAATATTAAATTAGTATATAAGTAGTTCCTATTTGGTGCAACAGAGGGCTCCACTCTGTGTATCATACTGCTGAGAGTTCCACTCCTACTGTAAATATACTATCAAATATCATTCAGTCATTCATCACTTTCTAATTACAGAGCAGTGGTCCAATGTTTTAATACTGCATTTCCAGTATGCTGCCCCCCTAATAAACTGCTGAACTGGGGGAGCCACTCCAGCATGTCTTCAACCTGAGCCTGCAGCTGGGGAGGGTCCCAGTGCTCTGGAAGACTTCATGTCTCAACCTGGTTCCTAAGAAAAAACACTCCAGGGAGCCGGGTGACTTCAGACCAGTAGCACTGACGTCACACATAATGAAGACCTTTGAACGGCTGTTGCTCCATGTCCTCAGCCCCAGATCCACCATGCACAAGATCCACTGCAGTTTGGATACCAGGAGAAGGTGGGCGTGGAGGATGCCATCCTCTATCTGCTCCACAGGGCCCACTCTCATCTGGACAAGGAGAGCAGTGCTGTGAAAACCGCGCTTTTTGATTTCTCCAGCGCCTTCAACACCATCCGGCCGCTCGTGCTGAGAGACAAGCTGACAGAGATGAGGGTGGACCCACTCCTGGTGACCTGGATTACGGACTACCTCACGGAGAGACCACAGTATGTCAGACTGAAGAGCTGCACGTCAGACACTGTGGTCAGCAGCACCAGAGCACCACAGGGGACCGTGCTCTCTCCCGTCCTCTTCACCTTGTACACATCTGACTTCCAGTATAACTCGGGGCTCTGCCACATGCAGAAATACTCGGAGGACACTGCGATAGTTGACTGTATCAAGGATGGACGGGAGGGGGAGTATAGGAGCCTGGTCGAAGACTTCGTGAGGTGGTGCAGGTCCAACCGTCTGCAGCTGAACGCCTCCAAGACCAAGGAGATGGTGGCGAAATTCAGAAGGAAGAAAACAACATCACCAACCCGTGTCCATCGAGGGGGTCGATGTGGAGGTGGTCAGGACCTATAAATATCTGGGGCTGCAGCTGGACGACAAGCTGGACTGGACAGCAAATATGGACGCTTTACACGGGAAAGGGCAGAGCCGTCTGTACTTCCTGAGAAGGCTGGGGTCCTTCAACATCTGCAAAAAACTACTGCAGATGTTTTACCAGTCTATGGTGGCCAGCGTGCTCTTTTATGCTGTAGTTTGCTGGGGAGGAAGCAGCAGTAAAAAAGAGAGACACCGGTCGACTGAGGAGAGCTGGCTCAGTGGTGGACACAGAGCTGGACCCTCTGGTGACAGTGGCAGAGAGAAGGACCCTGGACAAACTGCTGTCCATACTGGACAACACCCACCACCCTCTGCACGACACCTTCACCAGGCAGAGGAGTGTGTTCAGTGGCAGACTGCTGTCCCAGTCCAGCTCCACCAACAGACTCAAAAACTCTTTCGTCCCCCATCAGACTGTACAACAGCTCTCAGTAAAGGCAGGGAGGACAATAGATAATAGACAATAGATAATAGACAATGGACGATTTCTACCTGTATTTTGCACATCCATTTGCACTGTTTTACTTCCATTTGCACCGTTTACTGTTTGCACCGTTAATTGTAGCTACTGTTAATTTTATATATTATATATATATGTATATGTATATCTATATATATATATAATACATTATATTTTATCTTCTATTTTATTTTTAATTCTATTCTTAAGGTTAGGGATTTTAATTTTAGTCTAATGTATGTTTAATGTATGTTTTGTATTTTGTATGCTACTGGATACTTGAATTTCCCTCGGGATAAATAAAGTATCTATCTATCTATCTATCTATCTATCTATCTATCTATCTATCTATCTATCTATCTATCTATCTATCTGCATATGCTAACTGTACTAGCAACTACTTAGTGGTCCAGGCTGGGAGTTTGAAAGACAGGGGAGGTTTATTTACACCTGAACCAGCCTCCAACTGACGGAGGCCAAATAAATTGTAAGTAACATCATATCGTATCGATAAGTCTAAAAGCATTTGTTTTTGTGAAGCTGGAAGTTATTTATTCTGTGTTTTGAGACTTTAACTGTTCTTTTATGTGTATTGTTACCTATTATTTTATCTTTATTTTTACTTGTTGAAGGTGATTTTGCACTTGATAATTCTCCTGCTTGATTTTATTTGTCATTGTCTTGTAAAGCACTTTGTAACAGTAGTTTTAAAAGGTGCTATATAAATGCAGTTATTATTATTATTATTGTGGTGGACTGTTGCTAATAATGTAATAAAAGGAAACATGTAAGAAGAATATCTGAGTGTTACAGTGTCCCTTCCCATAATGCATCTTGATTGTGTATTTTAGTATGTCCATTATTTAAAAGCATTTTAAGCATTTTTTAACTGCATTAGTCTTTCCATTGTAGTCTGTTGCATTGAAGTCACAACACCATATTAATTTTGTTTCTTGTTAAAGCCTTTTTTAATTCTTCAATCATAATTCTTTTACTGGGATTATACAGATTTATAATAACGATCTCTCTTTTATTCACCCTTGAAATTTGGGTGAATAAAAGAGAGATCGTTATTATAAATCAATAACAACTCCTTCTGAGTCAGTCCTGTGATTAATAAATAACATTTCTAATGTTAGTTACCTCCTGGATTACATAACACTTCTCTGTGACACTGGCTAAACATTGCTGCCACCTTGTGGTCTTTATTAATCTCTGTACCTAATGTTGTTGTTGTTATTATTATTATTATTATTTTATATAAACAATATGAAATATTGAAAAGATATTTTTAACTATATGAATTATTGTATCAATGAACTCACAGATCCCACAGATACAAATCTAACACTTATTACATTCTCACATATTCATCTTCAAAGTGTTTTTCTCGGTAGTGGTATTCGTTTAAAACAAGCCTTTGAGGTAAATAAATGAGACGACAGCTATGCCACTGGGTGTTAAGCCTTACATCTGAGTGACCTTCCCAGCAGCACTGAAGGAGTGCTGGATTACCTGTGCTGTAGTCTCCCCCGGCCTGCCATCATGAGTGTGTGCTCTGAGCTGGACTCTCTCTACTGAGATGCCTCCATCTGCAGGAGCAGCCGGGGTGGGGAAGGGAGGCTTGGCTGCGATAGCAGGTTTGGGTGGAAGGGGGCCAATGGGGCGCTCCGGGAGGGCGGGCTTCGGGTGAAGGGGAGGATCGGGTCGGATGGGATCCAGTGCTCTCATTGGATGCCTAGGGTCTGCTGGAAACAGAGGGTGAGAGCAGCAGTACATAACAAGGAGTCGTACTCTGTGAAGGATTCTGGCTGGTCCAATCAGTGACTCCAGGTTGGACAGATGTAAAACACAGAAACTGTGGCACCACAGCAGAGACCCTCCTGTGTTCTGTCGTCACAGGCCCACAGACATCAGGAAGGTTGTGCTGCACACAGACTGCTGCACACACAGCTCAGGCTGGGGGCCATGTTCATGATGTCACTGGCTCTTTCCTACACTTGTTTTGCTTTTAGTAATTCTAGGACAACAATGTATGTAAATTACAGTGACTAAACTAACAGTGACTAACAGCATGAAACAGATTTGCCTATTGTACATTACAATGTGTGCTGCAGGAATGAGTCCCAAAACCTGGACCTTCGTTAGCATTTTAGCACCTCTGGTTCCCTCTCCTCAAAGTGAGTGTGTTTTCTGAATGGCTTTTTGGTTAGATTTCTGAAATAAGGTCTGTGATTAACACAAGCCTTAGAGATTTTCACGATTGTTCTATGACATAAAATATGTTGTCATATGTCACACAGTGAATTTAGAAGCTTTTACGTGTCTTTAAAAAAGTGGTTGCTAACAAGTGTCTAAATGAGACTACAGAGGTTGTGACATTAAAACACAGACTTATGTACTCACTAGTCCGCATTTACAGCCTTGTTGTCTTCATACTACTATACTACTACTACATAAACTATTCTAACTATTCTAAGTTGTAAGTTTAGTGGTGGTGACGTAGAAGTCATGCCACCGTGGTTCGTTTATAGCCTAATGTTAGCTTTTTGATTCTGGTAATCCCCTCCAAAATCTGTTTGTGAAAATGATCTTGTATAAAACGTGTCATTTCTACAATAATCCAAAACCCAGTAGAACAACCCCATTGACTTTGTGTCAAAGGAACGTCCGGGTTGGACCACAAAAACACATCATATGCAGCACTCTATAGTGTGGAACATGTTAAACCATATTATAGAGCGTTTTGTCATTATTTTGAATCCAGTATATGACCTGCATGTTCTACTGTCATACAGCTTTTATGGAAACCATGAACAGGTTGATGTAGATGAGTTATTGCTAATTTTGTTAATCTATATTTTTGAAATTGTCAAGAAATCCCATGGAAAGACCAAAAGCAACAATTTAGTGTTAGTATCTCTCAATACTTCATGACTTCCCTACTCTTTCTGTGGCTCTTAGCTCATTGGCTCCTAATGAAGACGCAAATCTCACAAATTCTCACATTTCAGTTAAATTATCCTTTATAAATGCCCGGAGGAAAATTCATTCTCTGCATTTGACCCATCCTAAGTAGTAGGAGCAGTGGCAGCCACTGTGCGGTGCCTGGGGACCAACTCCAGACCTGATCATGCTTTGAGACACACAACGTTTGTTAGTAGAATCAACTCAGTACTGTTTTGACTCTGCACATGGGAGTATCAATATGGTCTTTATGTAGAAATGGGTGTAGACAGGATTGATACCTGATGAAGTGGACATGGTTCTGGGCTTCATGTATGTGGGAGGTGGTTCCGGTTTGTCCAGGATAGCACCTGAGGGACAGACACAGTAGACAGTGGTACAGCCAAAGGGCTATTTGAACCCAAAGAGTACATGTAATGAATACAATATTAACACTTGGACTCCATGGAAGGTGTAAATAAAAACAGCTCATTCTAAGGTAACAAAAACACAATGATTCTTATTTTATGTGATTATACACTAATGAAAACATATCTATCAATATTATATTCCAGATCCTACTAAATGTTACACACTGGACTTTTAACTTGAATTTGCAGTGTCACTGCAGATAGTAAAATAAAATAAAATACACAAATCCAAAAGTTTTGACAGTTCAGATTTGGAGGGAGATGTAAAATGATCTGCTTAAAACAAAAAATGATTAATGTTGCTGTGATTGAGACATTGTATACAATAACACACATGCTTACCTTCAGAGTTGGCCTTTCTCAGCTCCTCGTCTTTGTTCTACAACAGACACATTGGACAACATTAAACAATAACAACTTGCTATTGCATGACTGATCTTATCCTTCTTGCTAACAAAATGTGCCTCTCTGCCCAAACCTGAGTGGAACCAACCCATCGGGATATGTTCAGGCCCAAAGTTGCTGCCGTAGGGTTGGGCTCAGAGTAAGATTTGTTTTTTAAACATATATATAAGATTTGACTAATAATGCATGTTTTTAAGTGATAATAATATGTACTATATTATACACATAATGTAGTTTACTTTTGCTTGTATAAACTGTTCATGAAGAAATTTGGGTTGAATTGCTTCCATGGTTCAGGCCTGGTTCGGGCACGCTCAAATCTTTTTCAGGCTCAGGTCAGGTCGGGCCTGATTTTTTGGGTTGGATCAAAGCTCTACTGCTTGTGTTTCTGACGTCCTTTTAGTGATGCCACTTCATCACTAGCATGGTGTTATCACTGATAGCAATAATGAACAAAACATTTTAGATCAAGGAACCTCCACGAACACTTAGGGTCAGCCAGGGTTGATAATACAAATAAACACAATTTTTGAATAATCTGTATCAAAAAAGAAAAAAAGGAACCAGTCACACCCCTCACCCATCCTACCTGGCTCGTCTTGGTGTCAGCAGGTGGCGTTTTGGCCACGCCCATTCTATGTAGCATCACCTGAAGCCTCTGTTCAAAACTAGATGTGTTCTCAGACGCATGTTTCTGGAAGACGATACATGAACATTCAGAAGAATAAAGATGAACGCACACACAGGCTCAATGATGAACTGGCAGTGACAGAGAGGAGCATCCTCGTCTCCCAGCCCCTCCATGACATGCTGGTTGAGGACATGCATCTATCTATCTATCTATCTATCTATCTATCTATCTATCTATCTATCTATCTATCTATCTATCTATCTATCTATCTATCTATCTATCTATCTATCTATCTATCCAATATCAAATGATTAGCACAAACAATTTTCAGCTCCAGCTGAGGAATCCAGCACATAAGGTTTTAGCTGCTGCTGACAGATGCAATCGCATGAATGTAAAGAGATAAGTCCTTGGCTCTTGTTACATCTTTTATCTCTCAGTCTGATAAAGGGCCTGTTCATTCCTCAGTCTCAGTCTCTGCCCTCAGACTTAAAGGCCAGTACAGCCCATTTACAACTGATAAGTAGCACTTAAATTCCAAAAACGAAACATAGCTTTTGAGTGTGTTTTTCCTTCCAGTTAATATGCCAGTTAATATTCCAGCTTGGTGTTTTAGTGTGTACAAGGAAAAATAAGCTTTTGTATAACAATGACATAAGCCTGCCCAGTGAGGGACGGGGGCTATGTGGCTGTAATATATTTCTGAGATTTAAAACATTAATATAGCAGCAGTAACTATTCTCTATGTAAAGATATAGTGGAGTCATGGTGTCATCTTCTTCATGTTCATCATCATCAGTCACTACTATTAGTTTAGTTGTTGCTACTGTTGTTGCTGTCCACCTCTGTCTGTCTGTCTGTCTGTCTGTCTCTCTCTCTCTCTCTCTCTCATCCCAACTGGTCGAAGCAGACGACCACCCACCTGGAGCCGGGGTCTGTCCATTGCCGGTCTGCTCCATGTGCAGCTGAGTAGAGCAACTGAAACTGCTGTTTTATCATCTATGTGGCTGATTGTTGGAATAATTGAAAGACTAACAAAGGTGGTTTTAGTGAGGTTTATGTTACGTTGATGTTACGATGATATGTGAGGTAAAATTACAGTTTTTCTCTATGGAGTCTGGTAGAGAGTGATGGTGATATTACTGCTGTTTCTGGTTAAACAAAAGATATATCTCTGTAGGGATCCTTTCCATAATGCTGTCAGACTCTTAGAATAACAATCTGAGCCTGTCAGTGGCAGAAACAACAACTTTTAGTTGACAGACTTTGACAGTACTTTTCACAGCTGTTTTCATTAACCTGGATATATGTCTTCAGAGACCATACACTCAAGCCATAATAAAATAATTAAGGCTCATTTACTGTATTTATGTTGATTTTGTGTTGTGATTTCAATGTTATCTTCGTGGGTGTACCGTAGATTTGCAGGGCCTTTAATCTATTGTTAGTTAAAGAAAAAAACTTCGTGCAGAGGTTTCGCAGTGAATGTTTATGTGCAGAAACTGTTGAGTTTTAATAGTATTAATTAATTAATATATTATATATATATGTATATCTATTATATATATATATATATATTTAATACATATATGTATATCTATATATCTATATATATATAGATATATATAATACATTATTTTTATCTTCTATTTTATTTTTAATTCTATTCTTAAGGTTAGGGATTTTAATTTTAGTCTAATGTATGTTTAATGTATGTTTTGTATTTTGTATGTTACTGGATACTTGAATTTCCGTCGGGATAAATAAAGTATCTATCTATCTATCTATCTATCTATCTATCTATCTATCTATCTATCTATCTATCTATCTATCTATCTATCTATCTATCTATCTATCTATCTATCTATTGTGGTATAAAAAGAAGAACCATGCCTTCCGGAGCAAAATCATTTTCATGTAAGACAACGCACCATCCCATGCTGCAACAGACACCATTGAGGCCTAGGCCGCTATGGGCATTAAGGGAGAAAGAATCACGGTGTGGCCACCATCATCTCCTGACCTCAACCCTACTGAGAACCTGTGGAGTATCCTTAAAAGGAAGCTCTATGAGGGTGGGTGGCAGTTTACCTCAAAACAGCAGCTCTGGGAGGCAATTCTGGCATCCTCAAAGGAAATACAGGCAGAAACTGTACATGGACTTACAATGGATGAGAGAGTTGTAATGTGGTATCAAAGAAGAGCTCCTATGTTAATATGTAACTCGATCAGTAAAGATGTTTTTGATTTAAATAGCTTTGATTGAAGAAGAATTATCCCCTCTAATGCAGAAAATACAATAGATTTAGGTTTTCAATCCTTTAGAAACTATTAAGTGTTTTGAAACTCTGTTTTGCATAATAATTTTTGAAAACTGCATTTTGAGTTATTTTGCAAAAATGCCATTGTCATCATTGGTAATTGTGTTTGATAAAATCCAGATTACGATATAATTGTTGAGGAATAAAAAATTCTATTGACTGCCAATTATATCGACTATTTAGTAAGAAATACAAAAACAGTATATGCATAATAATTTGGAACACAGTGTAGATGATCTGATTTGTTGAGTGTATTGTCAGACTTACCTTACTGTGTGTGTCATCCTTGTCTTCAGGCTCCAATCCAGTCAGCAGTATGAGACTCTGGCTCTTGCCCTCCCTCAGTGACCTCTTGGTTACCTTCAGTCTCCTCTCTCCATATGGAGTCCCTCCCAACTTCATCTCCTTCATCAGCACACCGCTCCTCTCCTGCTCAGTGAGAGGGGAAGTGACCACAGGACTGGGGGTGCGACCTGGCAAGCCAGGAGCTGCCTCTTCTTCCAGGTTGGAAATAGTAGCGGTGGTGAGGTCAGGGCTTGTGGCGATGGTGGGGTAAGAGGGAGCGGTGTCACTGGGAGGCGTCATCGTGGTTAATGTCTTGGCAGGCACCATCGTTCCCCTCACATCGCCTGCAAGATGGTGGCTGGTGGCAACGGTTCCTTCTGTGGTGGCGGCATCATTACAAACGTTAGCATCCTCCACTGACCTTGCCCCTCTCCCCTTCTCTCTCTCCCTCTCTCTCTCCCTTTCTTTGGCCTCGCGGAGGGGTCGAATGAGGTCTGCAATGGAGGTCCTTTTGACCTTCACGCCCTCTCCTCCTCCATCTCCCCCTCCTGCCTTGGCAGCTCGGCTGGCTCGAGCCCTCTTGAAGGCGAAGAAGTCGCCAAACTTTTTCTTGATGTTTTTGGTGGGAAGTGTGGTGGTGGTGGGGGTGGTGATGGTGGTGACAGAAAAGGAGGCAGGGGGAATGGAGGATGTAGAGATGGGTGGAACATCAGTGGATGTAAAGGATGTGTCAGTAGATGGGACAGAGGGAGAGGTGACAGTGGTGGTGGTAGAGGAGGTGATATTGTCAGACGAAGAGGAAAAGGGAGTTGAGGCTGAGGGGGTGGAGCTTGACTCTGAGGGAGTGGCTTGGGCAGAGTTTGACTCCTCCCACCGGCCTTTTCTGCAGCAGGGAGACAGCAGAAAGAGCAACAGACAAGAAGAGACACTCAGTACTACAACTACTGCTACAGGACTCAAGACACATGCTCAGATCAGGTACACAACAAGAAAGGTCATGCAAACAGCACACAGAGCAAAAACGTCCACCAGTGGCGAGACCTGGCGCAGAGATGTTGGTCAGTTGTTCAGTTTGTGCTGCTCATCTACTCAACACTTCAGTCCAGTGCAAGATATCTAGATGACTACCGGCAAGATTACCATGAAATTTGGCCTGGATATTCATTGCTTCCTTATTAAACCCCCTGACCTTTCGGCTTGTCAGATAAAAATTTCTGTCCAACCAACAAGAAGTACTCAGGGCTCAACAAAAAGGATTGGCCGATTGCCCGGGAAAGTAAAATGGAATGTCTGGCTAATAAATCTAGTAACTCACTTACATTTTTTTTTAATGGACTGTACTTGTATAGTGCCTTTCTAGTCACACAAAGGGCTTTTACACTACTACCAATTCACACACAAATTTACAGTAATGGCAAAGACCATCCCACGCAGAAAGTTACTCATTCACTAACATTCATACACTATCAGGAGCAATTTGGGGTTCAGTAACTTGCTCAAGGACACGTAGACATGCAGCGAGAAGAGCCAGGGACTGAACCGCCAACCTTTTGATTAGTGGATGACTCGCTCTACCTCCTAAGCTACAGCCACCCACACATGATGGAAGTAGCTAAGTGAGCCATCTTGCTTCCTTCTGTTGAGAGTTGGACATGTACAGTACCGATTGGACTCTCGTGAGAAAATAGCAGTGAGTAAAGACAAAGTTTATGTGTTTATGCCAAGAGCATTTTAATTATCCTGGAAACAGGAGTTTAGTTGGGTAGCATTAGAAGATGTGGGAGAAACTTCAACTGTTTGCTGCAACTTTGAGAGCAAGATGGATGGAACGGGATGTATTCCGTCCAGATGGATGGAACAGGGTCGTTATTCAAAGACATGTTAAGTATCCGAAAAACGCTAAAAACAATTTGTACAGGAGCAAGTGAAAATTTTGTGAAAAAAAACTTGATGTTGAACACTGGTACCTCAAATACAGTGGCTGGACTAAAGTTTGCTTGAATGAGACTCATGGTTGACCCTGAATCTCACCTGTAATTCCATGGAAAAAAACTGAACTCTGCATACACATCACCTTCTAATCTAAAAGCTGATGGCTATCGTATTTGCAGAGGCTTTCAAGTGATTAACCCTTTTGATGTCAATGATTCATAGTGAAATGCACAGACTTTCCAACACCCTGTCTACAGTGGACAAGAGTTGTGTTTTTTGGTTATCTGTCTGACAGGGACACACCTGTAACAGTGGTAGACTGTGAGGCCATTTTGGCATAAAAACAATGAGTATACAGTTCTATAAATCCATCAATGCAGTGGACAGCAGCTGCTGATGTGGCGCTGCTGATGTGTTGCTTTTGGTACGTGGCTGGTGTCGACAAAGGGTGAAAATGAAAATGTAAAATGGACGCAAACAGCTGTGCGGTCAGCAGACATGGTTTTGTTCATACTACATTGGATTTCAGGAGCATAGGACTACGGGGGAGGAGGGCCCACAAAGACACTAAAATAAATAGCTGTGGATGTGGAGATGAGCCCATAGATCATTAGGGTCTAGGGACTAGAATTTTGTGCTACACCCTATTGGATGTAGTTGTTATACTACATGTATTAGTATGTATTCTATGTATAAACTAGGTTAGTTTATTAGGAACCAGGTCAAACTGTCACACAACAAGCTAACTGCTCATAGCCACCTAATAACACACGCCAGCTAACACAATTGACTGATTGAGTGATTACAAAATGCCAATTCATTCTTAATTTCTGGCTAAAAAAAATATAACCATGTTACTCCTTTTCTGTTCAGTGTGTGAAAACAGCAAGCTCAGGCAGGTCAAGAACAGAATTCAGACAAGGAATGTGTGTTTATGTGATGTTACACTGAGGGTCTGTTAAACACTACAAACACATTCACCATGCAGGATGCACACACAGCTATGCGGAAATTAATCCTTTATTACAAAACAATACACTCTTATCTCAGCAGTTATCGGTAGTTATCAGGTGACAACTGGCCTTTTTTGGGGGGAAAATGCAATAGTATACACTTAATAACAGTTAGAACTCTTTGTTCACTCACTAGTTACAGTAAATCGTCATTATTGAATGAGTAAATTGCTTTTCTTGACCCCTTAAAATGGGGGCAATTAATTTATTATTATTATTATTGTTATTTCATTTATTCATTTATTTATTCATCAAAAAGTAGAGATGTTCTGAAACCAACTTCCTGATATCAAGTCCAATACCTGAACTTTGGGTATCAACCAATCTGATACATGTGCTTAAAAAAATAGATATAAGCCTGATTGCTATCATTGTTGTATGGCCTGGTTAAACCCTTTGTCAGAGTCAGAGTAGGGCGTGTCATGACTTCGGAGAGTAGGGCGGGTCATGACTTCGGAATCCTGAGGAAAAAAACAACGGGACAGTACTGGGAAGTAGCAGAGTTCCGTTTTGGATGTGTTATAGTAGTGTTAAAACATAGAAAAACTGGGGCAGACACGGACTGGTTAAACTTGGGGAACCTAAACAAGAAGAAGATGTAGGTACAGGACATACCACACTTACTATACACGCTGTCTCTAAAACAAAAATTTAAAACTTGTTTTTGTTATGGTTTTATTTTTGAAGTTTGATAACTGTTTAATCGCTTATAAATTAATTAATTAATTGATTGATTACTATACACGCTGTCTCTAAAACAAAAATTTAAAACTTGTTTTTGTTATGGTTTGTAATTTTTCGAGTTCGGTCTAGACCTGCTCTATTTGAAAAGTGTCCTGAGATAACTTCTGTTATGATTTGGCGCTATACAAATAAAATTGAATTGAATTAGATTGAAATTATGGAGGCAGCATGTACTGTATATTAAACTTTTTTTGCAACCACCCCTTTCCCCCAGTGATTACTATTGCAATTCCATAAAGTTTGGGGCTTCACAAGAGAAAAGAGAAAAAAAGTTGTCAAAATCGATGAGGTCAAGATATCCTGACTTTTAATCCCTTGTATGGTCTGATGGGTATTTGATCTGATCTGAAGTATGCCTAACCCCAGGGTGGGTATCACGGATACTATTTTAATACTTCTCATTAACTGCTGTTGGTAGTCGGAATTCAGGAACTAAGTGTATTCCACACTTCATTGTGGTCTTCTGCCCCAGACAGATGGTTATCACTTAATGTTAAGCATCAATTAAATTGATAAGACTGAAGAATAATCTCACCTCTCGCATTGTAAGCATAGATATAAAATGTGATATATTTTATCAATGATTTGAGACATACATTTCTTCCCCTCCATAAATGGACGTAGAAATACAATTAAACATCTGTTTGCGTATTGTGCTTTCCCACTCATTAGACCTGTCAAAAGAAGTACTGCAATTTCACCAACTGTGCCGCATCGAGGTGGTTCTCCAACACCAGCAGTCATTATGCATAGCTATGGCTATTTATAGTGCATTTGTAAATGTTTTATTATATTATTATATTAAGTTAAAGGTCAAGTGTGTAGGATTTAGTGGCAACTAGTGGTGAAGTTTCAGATTGCAACTAACTGAACACCACTCGCATCTGTATTTTGACAATTTGGGAATTACTTGGGCTGTGAAGTGTGTAGGAGAAACTATGGTGGCTGCAAAAACACAAAAGGTCCTATCTAGAGCCAGTGTTTCATTTGTCCGTTCTGGGCTGCTGTATAAACATGGTGGTCTAACCATGGTGGAGATAAAAAAACAGCTCATTCTAAGTTAACAAATGTACGATTCTTATTTTCAGGTGATTATACAGTAATGAAAACATACCTATGAATATTATATTCCATTTCTGACAATAGATCCTTTAAAATGTTACACACTGGACAGTCCCTCCAGAAAAACGCGATTATGCGATCGCATAATTCAATGCATAATCAGCCAAAGTCCGCATATTTATGCGGGGGCCGCATTTTTTCAAATACGCCGCACTTTTGCCGCATAAATTGCCAATTTCCGCGCAAAATATGCAGGGCTTGCATGATTTCATAATCCCCGCATTTTCGTTGCAAAAAAGTCACATATATCTTAGCAGAAAGTTAAAAAATGTTGCGTTTACTTCACGCAAGAGCAGCCATTTTCCCCTGTTGCCATGGGAATGTTATGAAGTGACGTAATTACGCGACGTGAACATCATCGAAAAGCTGCAAACCCCACGATGAAAACCTTACAGTTGTAAGTATATTAGTAGTATGTAAATTTACGTTACAGTAATAGATTGCACTTTGTGCATTGGAAGCACTTATTTTAACAGAAGATGTCTGTTTTGTATAGCTACCTCTGTAAAACAGGAAGCACACATTTTATTTTTTTATATTTTATTTATTCATTTTAACAAAAGTTGTAGCATATTTCTTTTGTAAAGTTACAGAACTTGTTTGACTCATCAATGTTTTGTAAGTTTGAGCCATGTGTTTATTAAGGTCTGAAATAAAACAAGATGAGAACTTAAATATTCCCAGCACTTTCTGTGATGTAGTATGCTTGCTTATCATAGGAAGTAATAAGAAATGACTCTTTACATTAAGCTAGTAGCCTAGTGAGAACAGGGTGTTGGGGGAATTACTTTTTTTTCTCTTTTTCATCAAACCGCAATTTTTGCAAGTTCCTGCAATTTCATCGCATAAAATTGCATAAATATCCCGCATATTCCATCCCATTTTTTAAGAAAACGTGCCGCATAATCAGGATTTTTGCCCGCAACAATCACAAAAAAATTTTTCTGGAAGGACTGACTGGACCTTTAAATAATCTAGGTCTCAGTCATTGGTTTTAGTCTTTATTGAAATTCCATATTGGCATCAATGTGTTAGATTCATTTTAAGCCCTGTTCTTAGTAGAGAGTAGTAGTATACTGTTGCCATAAGTGGATATTTGTTGGATAATACAAAATGTGTGTGTGTGCTGTGTGTGTGTGTGTGTGTGTGTGTGTGTGTGTGTGTGTGTGTGTGTGTTAGTTCAACTCACAGTGCATAGTCAGGGATGATTTTCTTGGTGAAGAACTCCTCTACTCCTTCATCAACTCTACCCATCACCTCAATGGCTTCATTTTCTACCTTTGAAACTGGCTCCTGTAACAAAAAACACAGTATAACATACAGTGCTACACCTTGCATTGTGTGTGTGTGTTTGTCTGCCTTCCAGAAGACACCAAAATCAATTAATATATCTATACATCAATCTACTCTACCTGCTTATTCCTATTCAAACGATATTGTGACATTTGGGAAATCTTGTTGTGAGTCAGAGAAACAAATGAGAGAAAGGCACTAACAGGCACCCAACAGCCAGCATCATTATTCCGAACTCTTTTCTTAACATCTGTAAAAGCATTTATTATCAGGAAAACAGAATGAATTTAAAGATGCCATTGGTCATTTTTACAAGAAAAAACTTTTTGTCATATTTTCTTAATTTTTCACGATATCCTGACAGTAGTACATGAGACAGATAATGTGTGAAAAATCTGGTTCCTCTGGCTCCTCCTAATGCTCCTAATGGGATTTACAAGAATCCACCGGGCCTAAATAAAAACAACCAAAAGATGCTTTGGGCTGGTGGCTTGAAGATAGTTGATTGTTGATTTTCATTCCCAGCATCAATATTTACTTACACTATTTATATACTTGGGAATGAGACTCAATAATCAACTATCTTCCTTCCTTTAACACACTGTACATTTATACTGTATTCTAAAATAACTCATCAGCCCATACATTTAAGCCCATTTGCATTTTTCATTATTAGTGCAACTGTAGATTAAAAGCACTGGTTTTGAAATGGACGTGCTGAAGCTGCGTGGACTAAGCAATAGTAGCTCCAGTTCAGGACAGTTGTCATGTGCAAGCATTATTCTAATCGGGCCAAGCCCAGTCTGCAGAACCACACATACAGTATATTAGCCTACCAGAGTTGCAAACTAACCCTTAAAAACCAATGTCATTTTTTTCACATTTCTGTCTGTTTCTATATGTAGCAGCACACAGTGATGGGTCACTTCAGCTAATCTGTGGTATTACCAACTCAAGAAAATATCATGAAGGCATTAGTTAACTTATATTTGAAGGTATCCTGGCACCAGCCTGTTAGGTCCAAGCACATGAGGCACAAGGCTGAGACTAAAACAAGCAGAAGGATTCAATGTAGGGGAGGGACAAAGGCAAGACAGTTACATTTAGTGAAGGTACAGTAGGAGGAAGAGTCAAATAGAAGGACAATATCAGGACATTTTAATGGTTATACAGAAGGACAGCCATATCCACTTCCAGAGGAACTATAAACAAACTAAAAAACAAGGAAGGGTCATTACATCATAACACCAGTGTTCTAATGCTGATTGATGCCTGTTCTATTAAAGACTGGGAAATATACTAAAAATAGATAAGCATACTGAAACGCAACATATCAACGTCGTATGACATTTGATGAAGAGATGACTCTACCAAATGAGAGAACTCCAAAGACTAAATTTGTCAATTTGTTTATTTACTGTGGGTCTCCAAATGGTATCCAAAAGGGTTTATAGGCAATACTTTACAGGGATCATGACGAGTCAAATACATTTCTCACCATTGCAAATAAGAAAAGGTTGGTAAATGGACCTGTACTTGTATAGCGCCTTTCTAGTCTTCCGACCACTCAAAGCGCTTTTACACTACGTGCCACATTCACTCAGTGTCCATCAAACAGAAACTAACATTCATACACATTCACACACCGATGCACGGCATCGGGAGCAATTTGGGGTTCAGTATCTTGCTCAAGGATACTTCGACATGTGGCACCAGGAGCCAGGGATCAAACCCACAACCTTCCGATTAAGGAACGACCCGCTCTGCCTCTGAGCCACAGCCGCTGCAAGTGAAGCAACCCTTGAAAATGTTGAGTTTAGGATAAATAAATATTGTTGACAAAAACCATTCAACTTCATTCCTTCTCTCTTCCTTTAATTTTGACACAGGGGCTGCTTAAGGATGATAATAGTTAATGTTATGGGAATATTATTTCCTCATTTATGTCAATCAAAACCAAAATCAACACTATCACAATGAATGCAGCTATTTAGAAAGTAGCTATAAGAGCAACTATTTTGATAATCAATCATTTTAGTCACCTTTTAAAGAAAAGGACAGATATTTGCTGGTTTCTGCCTCTCAAATGAGAAGATGTACTGCTTTTTTATCTTATGTGACATTATACTGAAAGCCTTTGGACTTATGAAGAGGTCCCCTAGGAATCGTGATGAAAACGTGTCACTATTGACCCTCAGTCAATAGTGACACCCACAGTCAGAACCTCTGCCAACTTCCTCCTTTCTTGTATGCTATAGGCTCTCGTCTCTGTTAAAAAGACAACCACATTTTGAAGACGATGATGAAAAGATAAAGGAGACACATCTTAAATTAGCTAGCTATTGTTAGCAAAATGCGAGCTAACTAGCTAAATTATATAGTAAGTAATGCTAGTAAATTAGGTAGCCAGTTAGCTAGCATTAGCTCTAAGATTTACTTTATCAATCCCCTATTGGGGATTTTTATTCTATACACAGTCTGAAATGCACACTCATGTGCAGGGCTTGTGGACATGCAAACATGGAGAGAAACAGTGGAGTGATGGGCTACCATGAGCAGTTTTTAGGGTTAGGTTGAGGTGCCTTGCTCAAGTGCACAGGAGATGAAACTGGCACCTCTCCAGCTACCAGTCCACACTTGGGAACCGGCGACCCTCCGGTTCCCAAGCCAAGTCCCCACACACTGTGCTAATGCCGCCCACACTGAGCTACTGCCGCCAGATGTAACTCGCTTGATGATTACTTAAGAACTACTGTCAGTCTCTAATAAAGGCCTTAAAGGCCCAAAATATATATAAAAACTCTACACATCAAAGATGGTAACAGTGGTTTACTTTTTCATCAAATGACTAAAACTAAATCAAAATCAGGTGCCAAATTGAATGAATCCAAAGTCATAACAATGGGATTGTTTTCATGTTGATGAAAGCAGTATTTGGCTCTATCTTTCAGATCCTTCCATCTATCTCTATCATCCAGTGAATATTATGTGCCTCTCTTTCATTCTCTGCCACCTCCTTTACTGCCACCTGTCTCTATGTGCTACATGCCAGCACGGCACACAATTGTTGGCATCTCTCTCTCTCTCTCTCTCTTTCTCTCTCTCTCTCTCTCTCACACACACACACACACACTCACACTCACACATAAACACACACTCTTGTTACCAAGGGGCAACAGAGCTGTCTCCACATACCAATCTGCACACCCACACACTTACGTTGTAAATGCAGATAGTCATACATACAATAAGCTGATGAATAAAACAACATTTATACAATTTAAACAGTTTCCATTAACATCCTGTCAGAGGGTTTTTCTTACAAGTGTTGATACAGTTAGGTTAGTGTCTGTGGCTCTGCATTAAGCTGCTCTCTGCTTACCCAGCAAGCATGCTGAATGAACAGCAGGGGAGCAAACACAACTCCTCCCATGGGGGCACAGACAGACGAGCCAAGGCCGCAGCACACTGCACACACCGCAGGCCTGACTGGGCACACTAGAGCAGGTGGAAGTAAAGCTTTAGCAGGCAGCAGATGGGCTGGAGAAGTTGGTGTGGCAGCAAGCAGTGGAGGAAGAGGCCCTCACACCTTATTAGGAAAATTATGTACTAACTTCTACATCTTATTTTCTATCATCTACACTGTAAAACCAGAATGTTGAAACGGATTACATAGGAAATTTTAAGTAAAACTAACTAACTTTTGTCAGTCAAAAAAACATTCTTGATCAAGTAGCTTTAGTAATTTTAAGTGACACTGATTTAATTTTGTCATTTCTATTTTTGTGAAAACCAAACACCTCTTAAAAATTACTTAATCAAGAATGTTTTTTAACTTACAAATTTGAGTTTAATTTTTTAATGTAATCTGTTTCAACAATTTCTGTAAGTTCAAATAACGCAGTGTACTTGCTCCAAATACTGGAGGTCCAGATGCAGGAGTTCATAAACTTATGATATGCATCTGATGATATGCATATAAAATGTAAATTCCTTTTTTTCAGGGTGATAGTATGGGATATGGGATTTGAAACTGATACCAATTTTAGAAGGGAAAAATTCACTAATTACCAATATGGCAGTCAATTTTTGAGCTGGAGTGTAAGAAGACCTTTTCTATGTGAATAGTGCACTCTCTGTCTCCGTGTCTCTCTCTCTCTGTCTCTCGCTCTCTCGCTGTGTGTCTCTCTCTCTCGCTCTCTCTCACTCACCCCAACTGGACGAGGCAAACGACCACCAACCCCAAGCCGTCGCCAAGTGCTTGCTCATGGTGGTACTGTTGGGTCTCTGTAAATAATGTTATAAGGAGTTCGATCTAGACCTGCTCTATTTGAAAAGTGTCCTGAGATAACTTCTGTTCTAAATTGGCGCTATACAAATAAAACTACATTGAATTGAATTGAATGTAACTCTGCAAAGGTACTTAGAAGCCTGCTTTTTTAAACAAATAACTTGCATATCAGATAACATACAATAACAATATGTCTGTAATAGGTCAATATCAGTCGACTTATATGTCGGTTGGGCTCTAGTAATAGTGTAGACAGTCCTTTTATGTACTTGGGAAGAAAGGAAAATTACTAGCAGAAAGCAGCAGGAATAGACCCCCATCTTTCTGATACAAGGCTACAGTACTGTGCCACATAGTACGCAGTACAGGGACTGCTGAGCCGGTCAGCGCTGGCTGGGGTATAGACTGTAAGCAGAAATAATGCTGTCAGTATTGGGTGTACTTGAATTATTGTTCAGGAAACTTAGAAATAAAGCCCTTATTTTGTAAAAATAAATAAAAGTGGGACCTCACTGTGGATCTTAAAAAGGTCTTGAAATCATTGTCATTGTGGAAGCGTGTTCTTCATGGCACCATAAATGTTTTATGTAGAACCATTTGAGCATGATGCTAGAGAACCTTAGTGAAAAGGGTTGCTTTTAGCAACATAAAAGGTTCTGCTATGGTACAAGCCTATAGAAAAATCTGCCCCTGCAACAAAAATCCCTTT